ATTTAAAAATTTTAGTATTCTAAAATTTTAATATTTTAAAATTTTTACTAAATTTTATAGTTTCGGCCTCTACGTCCCTCTAAATCTAAATAACTTAGACTTATAATTAGTAGTAGAAAAAACGCGGCTTAGCCTAGTAATTATATAATATTAGCGTAGTATAATAAAATATAAATAATAATATATTAATAACTTTAAAGTTTATATTTTAGAAAGAGAAAAAGCGGCGGCGAATAAAGTAAACTATAATTAATTAAAGTAAAATAAAGTAGAATATAAAATTAATAATTTTAAATAATAATAAAAACTAACTAAATATAATATTATATTTAAAGAATAAAAAAATTATTATTTTAGTTATATATAACTTAGCGCTAGTCGGCCTTAATCGCTAATATATTAATTAATAAAACTTATATTAGAAAGCTATATATAGAATAAAAAAAAAGAGAAATAATAATAAACGCGTTCTTTACGCTAGAGCTAAAAATAAAAAGAGTTTTTTATATTTAGATTTTATTATCTTCTAATAAAATAATTTTTTAATATTATTTTTTTTAGATCTTATTATTTCTTTAGAAGGGCGGGCTACTTACTTAGAATATATATATATATTTTATAGAGAAAGCGTCTTCGCCGTCGTATTCTCTCTTAAGAGCCGAAGAAAGATATATTAAAGTATAGAAACGAGAAACGCCTAGCTATTAACTAAGATAGTCTAAGACGTTCGAGTAGGCGGTAAGAACCGTATACTATAAAAGTCCTTTACTAGTAGCGCTCTTCTAAGGAATATAGAATCCGTAACGAAGGAGAAATCTAGCGGCTCTTCTCGCGGCACTTCTAGCATTCCATACTAGATGGGCGCCGAGAAAGACGACGCGGGGAGGAGTTATAGAAGCCCGATCGTCTTCTATCGGTTAATGGGAGAATACACAAACGGAGCTTGGTGCTCCGCGTACGGCGGCGGAAACTGGCCGCCTTTAAAGGGTAAAGACGGCGACCGCTTGGGCGCTTTTTAGAATTTTGCTTCGTCCACCACAGTCTTCACTTCTCCAATGCCCGGGGATCCGAGAGGCTGACCGCTAGTCCATAACGCCGGATGCACTTATATACAGCGGATAGGAGCTCGTAACACTCGATGCACGGGGGGCTCACTACGTGTTTTACGCTCTCTAATGCTGTGAGTTCCGTATCTTATTCTGCAGGTGGGAAGAAGAGTGATAAATCCCTTATGTCCTGGGGCACGTAATGAAGTGTTGGAGGGCATCATCGCGACGTAAACCGGTTCTTACGTGGACGAAATGTAGCGGACCAACGCGGCAATCCTTCTGGGGACCAGGATGGCTATGACCAATTAGACACCTGGTCACGCATGCATTTGTAAGCCCATGTAGCCTAACACCCTATAAGTTCTTATTTAAATTTATCAGCGCGGTTTGCATTCCGCAGAAAAAGTGCTCTGCTGATTAAAGACATTGCGTGATTCATCCTCTGCTGAACAATGCAACCAAGCATTGCGAATTTGAACGCATGCCAAGACAGCTGGTATAAAGACGTGGTGCTTGAAGTGGACATATTAACTCTTGCGTCAGGCAGTTCTTTGTCAATCTGGATTCTAGCAAGTGCAAGAAAACTAGGGGGGGAAAGAAAAGAAACCGCAGTCATGAGCGGCGCATACTTTACCACCAACGGCACCTCCCTCTTCTACACCCTCGAGGGAGACGCTACCGCACCGCCATTCTTCCTCGTCCATGGCTGGACCTGCGATCTGCTCGACTGGTCCTACCAAATCCCGTTCCTCCTCAGCCTCGGTTTCCAAGTGCTCGCCCTCGACCTGCGCGGCCACGGCCGGTCCGCCGCGTACCCGTCGCCCACTGCGTTCCCGTTCTTCTACTCGCCCACCGTCTTTGCCGCCGACGCCTCGGCCCTGCTGTCCTACCTCAACTTCACGAAGCCCGCGCTCGTGGCAGGGCACTCGCTAGGCGGGCTCGTCGCTGCCATCCTCGCCATCGAGCACCCGGCGCAGGTGCGCGGGGCGGTGCTGGTCGACTCGGCGTATTATCTCACCGCGAACGATACGGCATCGCTGAATGCAGACATTCGGAACGACACGTCCAACGCACTGCAGACGATCACGGCCTGGTTGGAGGCAGGGATGGTGTACGACGAGCGGACACCGGAGTGGGAGAAGACGTGGCACAAGCTGCGGACGTGGGGCACGGATCTGGATGCCGTGGTTCAGACGGGGCTGGAGCTGAATGGATACAACGATACGCTTGGGCGGTGGGAGAATGCGGAGGGGTACTTGAGGGAGGGGTTTGGGGCGAAGATGGGGGCGGAGAGGGTGCCGAGGCTGGCCGTCGTGGCGGAGGAGTATAAGGTCGATATGGAGAAGGCGATTGGGTTGGATGAGGTGGGGGTGGGGGACAGAGTGAGCGTGCTTGCGGAGGGGCATTGGTTGCACCAGCAAGGGGCTGAGCGGTTCAACGGGATTGTGGAGAGCTGGCTCGGGGATAAGGACTTTTTGCCATGATGTCACGTACCACACGTCCAGTCGCCGTCTCTGACCACTCATCACCTTGAATCCATAAATTGACTGTCTGGGTAGTATATATGTCTGACCATGCATTGTGTGTGCGTCAGGCGTGCCCTGTTCGTGGCTGAGTCTCGCGACGTAACTCGGAAATAGATTCGTGTATAGACTCCTTGCGCATTCGTAGAGTTCTACGGTGGCGCACAGCTGCGTCAGACGAGCAGACCATGTCCCACTAAGTGTTATGATATATGGTGTTGAACACCCTTTCGAGCTGAGGATGGACGTCATCATCAAGACAACAAGAATGTGCTTAGGTTCATCGTCATTCATGAACGCTTGCATATTGTCGTCATCCAACCAAGCCACCAAGTCAGTCCAGACGTCCGATCTGTCTCTTTGCCACGTACGGCATCAACCCACCGTGTCGTCCGGCTATCTGATCAGCCAGCCAATTCCAGAAGTTTGCTCTGGCAGAGAAGAGCACCGGTGGCAATCGCAACACTATTGCCATTACCAAGCCACATCCTGCTACAGCAATCCTCTGCAGTATGTTGAATACCTCGCCGCACGATGTGCCGAGTCCCGTCGTATCAAATGCTGGAGGAAATTGGGGGCCACGCATTCGCCTTTACGAATACCCAATTGGAGAAACAATAATCATTTCTTCCTCATGGGTCATCAGGTGCACAACCTTCCACTGTGCTGCTACCTCTCCGCCACCACAGCGGGCCGTGGTCTCGAACCGCGCCCACTGGCCCAAAGACCAAGTAGCTTGTCGGAGAGGGGCCGCTTACGTGGTCAATATATGTCTCGTGGCTCTCATATTTCGGCCATGCAGTCGCAGATGCCTTAGTCCGGTTTCTCGATGACTTTGGCATGTTCAACGGACTCAGGGAATCTCAACCCCATGGTGTGCAAGAAAGTCGTTTATCTTCACCGACTCCTCGCGAAGATTGTGCAGCGAGGTTTCGAACGTGCTCGACAAAGCCTGAAGCAGTTGGGCGATGAATAGCTGGCCTGACTGAAGCCTCTCCACCTTCTTTTGTATCTTGTCGTGTCTTGCAATCAGCTTGGCTAATTCCTGCTCGAGCTGCTCGATCTCGCCCTTGAGCCTGTTTGTATCGGCTAGTGAAAACGTCGCGATATCGCCGCGGAGCCGTGCGTGTTCTTCCGTTCGAACGTCGCATTCTTGGCTTTTTCTCTTGAATGCATCTTCGAGATGTTGCCGGTCTTGTTGGAGGTGGTGCTGTACAGCCTGCAGGACCTGCGTGCATACCTCGGCATGCTGTTGCTTCTCTTGGAGAAGTACAGAATATTTATACGGTTGGTTCCGTGAGCAAGCTGCGAGAGTGGCGATAAAGCGGTTGATTTCCATTTGCTCCGTCACTTGGGTATTACCAGTTGGCAGTATGCACCGCAAGACCAATCGCCATACCAGTACATCCCGACAGCCCTCCTCCGATGGTGCAAGGCCCGAGATACTGTAGAGACCCTCGCCCACGATGGCTGGGGTATAATCCTCAGCCGAAAGCTGTTTGCTTGTTAGCAGAACGCAAAGAGCTGTGTGGGGAGAGAGGCCAAAGCCTACTATAGTGAACCGCTTCACCGAGAAGCCCCAGTCTCCCACATCAAGGTGTAAGAATGCTTCAGCAGCGTCGCGCTCGCCACGACCGGGTCGAGGAGCATGAAGCGTAGCAAGCCGGTTTTCCGGGTCAAGGTGTAACAGAAAGGTCACTTGATGTCGAAACTCCAACACTGCCAGCGTCTGGTGGCTTTTGTCGCGTTGCGATTGAATCCGTTCTTTGAACGTTACTGTGGGAAATGAGATGCGGATGACCTGGATGTACTGGGGAGCGAGATGTCGAAGAATGTTGAAAGCGGTTCCTATGTGATGGCGCAACTGGCTGGAGTCTGAGGAGCGTCGTCTCATACTCGGCCCAGCTGTTGTTGCGGGAGGCTGCGATGGCGAGATGGTCGGAGTTGATGGCTTGATGTGAAGGGGGGGGGGAAAGGGGTCTTCTTGAACAAATCGTCTCTGGGGCACGTTGCGCCCTATTCTGGCCACGCGCACGGATCTGCCGTGATCACATAGTTCACCTATCACCTGGTCCATGTTTTTGGCCCTGGTTGTTTCATTTCAAATTCTACGCCCGGATCTCAAGAGCCACCTTCCACATTCGCGAAATTTTAGGTACCACGTTTGAAACGCCAGGCGGCTTTCCTCCGTCTTCTACTTTTTATCTGTCCACTTTCCGTTATTTTCGTTAAAATCAGCTATCCTAACCGTACTATAAGAATCTTCTTCCATGCTGTAATTTCATCTACCTATGCTACGGCACTCGAGCCGCTGGCCAACTAAACCCTTTAGATATCGCCAACCCAGCCCGTTCCCCAACTACGCACTAAGCCTTAGTATAAAACCGACCTTCTACAGTTATAAGTATGTTTTATGGATAATAAATCGTTGGTAGTATCATCTACTTACGTTGAGCGTACACAAACCATGTCACCGGTCAGGAAGCCCAACTTAGGCTAAATAAAATTCCAGTCAATTCGCATTGTCAAAGCGGCGCACCAAGTAAAGATAAGATGTATATCCTAATAAGCAGACCTAAGAGTCGCCTCGTCGTTTTGTAATAGCGAGAAGTCGTTGCCAAAGTAATCACTGTTTTTTAATGGAGTTTCCGAGTGACTGGGACCCATGTCTTGTAGCTAGTGTAGAGTTCTAATAACCGTACCGCAATACTTGCTGTAAGCATAGTTCGGCACCAAAAGTCGCGATAGACGAATAGAGAGCGGAACTCGTCGCGCGACTCGTGCAACACCTGCGCCCCTCGGGTTAGGAAGTAACAGGTTTCTTGCTTTTTGAGAAGCCGAGACCAAGCTGGGTAACGTGGGGTAAAGTTTTCCGCGGATTCCGTATACTTCAAGCCACGTACTGACAATCGGCCGTCCTGGATGCTCTCGGAGTCCCCAGCTCAGGTATCCGGCACGTGGAAGAGTCCAGCCTGGCAAACGCTAAAGAATGGCTCATCGAATTGCAAAAGATGAACAATACGCGCGCGACACGATGGAAGAGGTGGCCCAAACGGATAGGCTTAGCCCTATGCTTTGCGCCATCCGACAGACGCTATCGGAGTCATACCTCGACCTCGACATCCAGTTTGGCGACGTCGATAAGCTGCAGTACCACCTAATGCATTGCGGTGTGAGGGTCGTCTTGGGAGAATCTTTTCCTACACGCAGAGAGGGTCTTGCCGGCCATTGCCTACCGCAAGCGGCTTCATCTTATAAGTCCGGTTATCGACGGGATGCGTGGCCGGAAGATGTACCCTTCAAAACCAGCCAACACCAGGATGCAGTGTTTAGACAACGCGGAGACTGTGAGGCGCAAGGAATTTGATGCGGCCTGTCCGGACGACGACCTGGCCAGCAGCGGTATTCTTTGTCTATCCCGTCACGTACTGTTGCCTGTCGGTCTTCTGTGGTTGGGGCGGCTGCAGAGGAAACCGTGTCTCAACGGGTTAGAGGGCACGGGCGCCTCGCCGGGTGGCCGACGATCACCATCCGTTGGTAAAGGCGCACCTGAGCGGGCCGGGCCAGAGTGGCCAGCAGCGCCACTCTACTTCGTATGAGCAAATAATAGAGGAGTCGTTTTCGGAATGCGGAGTAACTACTAACTACCTATACCGCCGCTACATTCAATCGTGTTCTTGATCCCATTAACCGCCGCAACGACCAGGCAAACGCGGAGTGGCAGCGAGTTGGTAATGATTTAGCATATCTTGAGCAAGTGCAACCTTTTATCCGCCAGCGACGACTACGACGGGGCGCGGCTAAGGGATCGAGTACCACTTGTTGAGCTGGTTGGCCCCTTCAGTGTTTCACGCACGTCACTACTGTTGTAGATAGTGCCTAGACGGCCCGCCCCCGCACTAACTACCCACGTCGGAAGAGCCATCGCACCGGAAGCCACGCGATTCCGAGTGCCGACACAGGTAGAAAGGTATTAAAGTTGTCGTTTCTTCTTTTAAGGTACTAGCCAAATCAACTCTCGCCATGGCGCTCACCGAACACTTGCCGACGCTCGCTCTCGGGCTCTCCGCCATTGTAGGATACCAAACGCCCAATTCACGCTGACGTCCGCGTCTCTTGCTGACTTCCTGCTACAGACGGTCCTCGGGGTACTCCTCAATGCCGTGTACAACATCTTCTTCCACCCCCTACGGCGGTTCCCGGGTTCCAAGCTCGCTGCCGGCACGAACCTCTACCGCCTTTACATGCTCGCGACAGGCGAAGAGCACACATGGATCGCCGAACAGCACGCCAAGTACGGCCACGTCGTGCGCGTCGGCCCCAGCCACGTCAGCTACGCCACGCCCGACGCACACAAGGACGTCTACGGACACCAGACGGCCACGCACAAGGCCAACGACAAAGACCCGGCCTTCTTCCTCCCCGAGGCCAACGGCGAGCGCTCGCTCATCACCATGATGGAGCCGCGAGAGCACGGCCGGGTGCGCCGCATCTTCTCCAACGCCTTCTCCGACCGGGCGCTCAAGGAGCAGGAGCCCCTCATCCGGAAATACGTCGACATGCTGATGGATGCGCTGCGGAAGCACGCCGTGACCAAGCCTGAGACGCCAGTCGATCTGGTCAACATGTTCAACTGCACCACCTTCGACGTCATGGGAGACTTGTGCTTCGGGGAGCCGCTGGGCATGCTGGAGCGCGGCGGGTACGATCCGTGGGTGGAGATGATCTTCGGCGCCTTCAAGGCGATCCGGATCCTCGAGGTGCTGCGCGAGCTGCCGGTCGTGTCGACGTTTGTGGACCAGCTGATGCCGCGGTCGCTGGCGGACCAGCGGTTGCAGCACTTCAAACACTCGGCCGACCGCGTCGACCGCCGCCTGGCCACCGTCACCGACCGCCCGGACATCTGGACACTGGTGCTCAACAGGCAGGAGAAGGGCGACGGCATCTCGCTCGCCCAGATGCACTCCAACTCGTCGCTGTTCATGGTCGCCGGCACCGAGACCACGGCCACGCTGCTGAGCGGCTTGTCCTACCACCTGCTGCAGGCGCCCGACAAGCTGGCCAAGCTGGTGGCTGAAGTCCGCGGCGCCTTCACGTCCGAGGACGAGCTGACCATCGGAAACCTCGCCCGGCTCGAGTATCTGCAAGCCGCTCTGGACGAAGGCCTGCGCATCTACCCGCCGGTCACGACCGGATCGCCGCGAATCGTCCCCAAGGGCGGAAACACCATCTGCGGCGAGTGGCTTCCTGCCGGGGTATGTTTGCTCTCTTCCGCCGTCAATGATGATATCCAACTAACGGTTTCTGTTGTAGACGCATATCTCCGTGGCGCACTACGGATCCTACCGCCTGGAACGCCACTTCCACAACCACCACCTGTTTGTTCCGGAACGCTGGATCCCGGCGTGCTACACGGACGAGGCTTCCGAGTACAAGGTCTATGAGTCGGATAGGAGAGATGCCCTGCAGCCGTTCGGCGTTGGTCCGCACGCTTGCTTGGGGAGGAAGTAAGTCTTCTGCGTCTGTCCGTCTCTGCTTTTGCTAACCATTGCAGCCTTGCCTACCACGAAATGCGTTTGATCATCGCCAAATTTATCTTCAACTTTGACATTGCGCCCTACGTCCCGGGCGAAAAGGCGGCCATGGAACTTGGGCCGGGCGCCAAGATCATGTCTACAAAAGACTGGATCCGCCACAAGGCGTTTGGGCTTTGGGAGAAGCCACCGCTCTACGTGAAGATTACTCCGGTAGTCCGGAGCGGTTGAGCTTACATCAAATAGAGGGCATATATAGACTGAAGCTAGGGTTATCTGGGCTCTTGGATCGGTGGGTTTTATAGATTGGCTTTTGTTTCTATCCGGCAAGAACTACAAATGTAGAACAGTGCAATAAAAAACAGTCGTCTATTACGCGATTAGCTACGAGAAATCACTACAGAGCGGCTGTTCAACCATCTTCTTCCACCAAACCTGCATCAATCACAAAAAGCTTTCCGCCCCATGTCCACCATCCAAGGCTGAAGTTGAATGCACTACTTTGGTATCAGCCGATGCACCGCTGCTTGGTAAAATCCATGTTGACGTGGTAATCAAAACTGACAAATTGATACTCCTGCTAGAGCACTGGCATTGGGAGCCGATGAGGGGCTGACCGGGACTCCGGGAAATTGCCAGCTGTTGTCGGTTTGGTAATTGCAGAGGGTTACATTATAGTAGCAGTGGGCGTTGGACTAACCAACTCCGGCTGATTTAGTCTCCTCGCTTGTATTTCAAGCCTCTGCCAAGGCTGTCCCTCGGCTGATGTGGTCCAGGATGCGGTCAACAGTCTCCACGGGTTCCTCGCGTGGGGGACACGGGTGCAGCGCCACCGAATCCTTGGGGGGCAATGCCCCCACACACGCACGCCGCCGACATAGCCAAGAAAGCCGGTTTCAGGTCGGGCGCAGCAACGCTTCCCCATGCCACTGCACGTCTACCAGAGCCCGAGAAAGCGAGTTGAGAAGGCTCTGCGAGGGAACAGGAGCCTCAGACGGCTCTTTGTACTCTGGCTCCGACAGCCCTCCAGAACACAATGGCCCTCAGTGCCCGCCTCTCTCCACACAGCACGACGAGACTGCAAAGCCATCATCATGGGACAGTTTCGAAAGTACTTCCAGCTTGGTGACACAACTTGATACTCCGGACAACGACTCTCCAGAGTCTGCCGTGCTACGACAAGAGCCTGGACGGCATCACAGAAGACGGGCCCAACAACACTCTCTCGCCACAGACAGCACCACCATCCCTAATCTCTGCCATCCTATATACCGCGCGTTTCTTCTTCGAAAAATAGCTAGGGCCGCGGTGGGGGCGTGCTCCCAATCTTCTGCGAGCGCTGCAAGGCTCCATTGAGTCGGCCACGCCCGCACCCCACTTCCCGGACAGCGTGTGGTCTGCAACTGGCGCCATTTCCGGCCACCAACCTGCCTCAGCGCGCGCGTGCGCCGAGCGGCTTCAACACCTGTACGAAGGCCACCAGTGCGTGAAGGAGGGCCGCGAGAAGTTTGCATGTGCCACGCGTTGCTGCTCCATCTTCCTCGACCACGACCTCGAGCAGCTGCTCAACGACCCGCAAAAACTCGTGCTATCCCAGGGCCGCGGCAAGGTGAGCCTGCAGCAGCATCACTGGATATGCCTACTCAGTAACCTGTATGAGATCCAGCACACGGAAGCCAACGAAAGCCAACCTCAGGGGTGCAGTCGGCGTCAGAGCCGGAAGCGCAGCCGTAGCGGCCGGGGGTGCCACCGAGGCACTGGCAGTAGGTAGCGCCGCTGCCGGTCCCGAGATAACCATTGGGACATTCCGCGCTGACTGGACCCTGGACCAAAAGGTGTGGTCGTGCGGCAGAGGTCGTATGGCCGACAACTGCTGCAATGACAAGAGTGAGGAGCTTTATGCATCACTAACCAGGTTCACCAAACCTTGTCTTTCCTCCTTTCGATGATTTCAATTTCAACTGTTGGTACGCCAGATTGACGCAGGCTCTGTCAATTAAACGCGAAATGGCATGCAAACCCACCAGGGAATTTTCGCTACCTTCAACAAAAGGATCCTTCAGCAACATGCACTACCGGGCCGCCCCTCTGAGGACAGCGATTTGGATCTTATAGATGACGATGCGAGTGATCAGAAACACGAAAACACCGCTCGCCATGCTCACTGGAGCTTCCGGTACTGCGCCATTGGCATTGGGCTGATATCACTCTTCGTCATTTTCGGAGGTGGCTCCTATCCTATCGTCAACCTGGAATATGCGGCGCCAGTCCCGCCGAAGCCCGTAGCAACGGCTGTGTGTTCGACCTTATGATGTCCGGGTGGTTGCATCCGCCGTGCTACGACCAAGAGCTTTCGGACGGGTTCCTGCGTGCGAACAACTGGACCTTCTACCCGGAGCGGGAACGACGAACGTGATGCCGGAGGAGGAGGCGCTGCTGGGCGAGTGCACGACCATCTTCGTGAAGGGGAACTTCCGCTACCAGCATTGCGCCTACATCTGGGTGAAGCAGATGAGGGCTAAGACGAGATTCCCGCTGGTGTTGGATAGCGCGTCACGGTCCGAAGAGCACAGCAGGCACTGCATCAATCTCGTGGGAAACCCCAATGTTACGAAGGTCGGCGACGGGGACAAAGTCAATGCAGACGCAGGCAACTCCAGATTCGAGCCTGCCTTACGATGCAGTGGCACTGATGAACGTAGGCAGGTACGTAAAGTTCTACCAACTCATCTCCGTCGTCACTTGGGAAGCCAGGGGAGAGCCAATGTTTACGCGGATCTCTGACAGACACCCTCGTCGAAGCTGGACTTCAGTGAATTGTTCATCGGGAAGATTGGGCAGAGGGAAAGGGGCCGAACCAGCAACATAACTGGGCCACATTTCACGCGTGTGGGCATTGTGCGATTCCGGGTCGCTATAGATGAAAGCCTCTCTGAACTCTTGGGATCTTGGGTCATCTTGGACGATAGAACTTCGGCACGTGCTCACGGACACGACTGCAAACGCGGTAGGACTCACCTTGAGCTATGATATCTTTGGACTGAAGTTTGACAATTGCTGCCTCTACATCTGAAGATCGAATATCTTGGACAGCGATGACGAAAATCAAAGAACAGATTATAACGGATAGAACAGCTATCGTGCAATGCAAGACTTCCGAGTTCTCGAAACAGGGAGCTGACTGGGTTGGTGCATCTTTATCGGAAGAGCCATCTTCAGATGTAGGGATTCGAATAAAGCGAATTTTGGACTGGGTAAGAATGCTGGAAAGAGAAATTGAAATTGCCACAAGAGTTGCTACGAACTGAAAAGATGGGGGAGCAACGTGTGATTAAATGCTGGGAGGCGGTAAACATCGTGGTCGCTAAGGGTAGACAATGGACATCTGATCGCCCAACATATGGTGCTGATTGACATGGATGCTAAGATCGCTAGGAGACACATGGTCAACCATCATGACGCCCGGTTCAAGCCGGGATTAACTTCTCTGATGCGATTGTGGGGTCTCTCCATTTGAGTGAGAAAAGCAAGCCAACGGATGGCTGTACAACTCTGCGTTGAGTGTGCAAGAACAGCGATCTCATAATAGTAAAGCTGCTTCTTTAAATTTTTTAAATGTATAGTAACCGTGGAAAGTTTTTTAGGGGAAGCGTGCTTGGACGGCAATCGTGGTGGTGGAGTCTCACCTCGCGAGCAGCACCAAAGACGTCCACCGACATGGTTCCCGAGCATACCAGACTACAGCGGAAGACAGCACTATTGCAGCATCGTCCGCGTTCCTTACCATCAACCCTGTGTGTGCCCACCAGCCTTAGCTTCACTCGGGCAAGTAACCCTGCGCCTCAAGCCAAGACCGTAGCTTCTTATTAAACGTCTCGGCATCCTGCTGATGCAGCCAGTGCCCCTCCTCAATCAGTTCCACCCGATCCGTCGCCTCATCAACACCGATCTCATACTCCAAGTCCACCTTTCCCTGATCCGCGCATGCCACGAACCGCGGCTTACCACTGCGCCCCCTGTTATAGACCAACGCATTCTCCCTCCGTCCGATGCTCTCCTGCTTGCCATACAGCTCCCTAATCACCGCCCTCACAATGAGCGGGTGATTGCCCAGCGTGCGGTGCCGATGCCACGCCTTCAGCCACGCGGGCGTCGTGTCCGTGTAGAATGCCTGCTCGAAGAAGGCCACAGCCCGAGTTGGCGCGTCCGGCTGATCTATGTACGCGACGAACGGGTCGAGCTGCGGGCCGGGAAGATAGTACACAGGGTCGACGAGGACGATGGCGCGGACAGCGCGGGGGTGGCGAACGGCGAGGGCGGAGGTGAGGACGGTGCCGAGGCTGTGGCCGAGGACGATGGCGTCGGTGATGCCAAGGTGGGAGAGCAGCGCCGCGGCGGCGTCGGCGAGGGCCTCGGGGCTGTATATGGTCGGGCCGTCGACCAAAGGATCGGGTGGCGGAGGGGCCGCGGAGCGGCCGTGCCCCGGGAGGTCGAGGGCGATGGTTTGGAAGCCGAGGTCCTGCAGGAAGGGCTGCTGCCAGGACCAGTCCAGGTGGTCGCAGGTCCAGCCGTGGAGGAGAAGGACGGGGGCCCCGGTGCCCTCGACGACGTAGAAGAGGTCCGAGCCGGCGTGGGTGAAGAAGGCGGCGGGCATTTGATGGCGAGAAAAGGGGAGCGATTAGCTAGGCGGGACGGCGGCAAAGGCGCAACATGACAGTTGAAGCAATTCGGCTTTTCGGGTTGGCGTGAGCCGCGCGGATTGTGGAGCTGGCTAGTCAGTATACACGACGGTTGCCGAGCAATCGGTGCGCCCGGCGAGGACCGGCAGCGGTCTGCGGCTGGAGAGCGACGAGGAGATGTTGAGTCGGGCAGGCCCCGGGTCCGCGCAGATGTATATGGCTGCTGCCTCTGTTATAGGCATGCAGTGTGACCGATATATCCAGATCTCACCAACGATCTTTATCCTGGCGAAAGATGGTCCGGGAGCACTCGTAAGTATATATTGGTGAGGCCGGCCGTCCCTGACTCATCATCGACCCCCGGGAAAGTCATATCCGCCCGATCGGAGACGCCACCGGGAGCGTCACTACTCGCTCGTCGCACGCGAGCAATCTACCGGTACGAGGATTTAGGACAAAAAAGCATAGATTCTGACGCTGGTGCGCGCGAACGTGTTGTTGGTACGGTTCGGCGAGCCCCTCCGCCGCATTATTTCCACACCGATACTTTGTACCCTCCTCCTTCGCAGCCCTACCACCTCACTAGCGGAGGCGAGCCGCTCTAGAGCTGGTATATACGAGGAATAGAGTCGCACTATGCTTTCCCAAGCTACTGCAGCCCAAGGAGCTGCGCCGAGACCGTAGTCTGCAGATCGCCGTTGTTAAAGGATTTGGCCTACCGCGCTCCCTCGCATCGCAGACATGTAACGTTTCTTATCCCCACCTTGATTTTTCTGTCCCCGTAAAACAGCAAGAGATGACATCTTGAGCCGGGCCCGGAAGGTCGAATCCAACAGTGCCCTGTACAGGGACGAGGGATCATCATGAAAGTGGTCTGGGCAATGCTGGCTACGATCGCCGTGTTCCTCTCACCTGTGTATGCCACCGATCCTCTGGCTGACTTGGCATTTCCCACATGTGCCGTAAGTACGCGTGTGCCTTAGCCGTGTCTTCGCTTGCTGATGAAGAGCCCAGTCGCCGTGCCTCGATGTTTCTTTACAGCTGCCCTTCTGCCCGGACGGAGATGAAGCATGTGTTTGCAACAGCGCTGCCTTCGCTCGAAAATTCGAAGCGTGTCTGGAGGCCAGCTGCATGCCGCGAGACCACTTTAGTGCGATGGCCAACAAGCATGATTCCTAGAGCCGGTCAGACTAGCTAACGTGTTGATAGCGTCAACAAACATGACACTTACCGCCTGTGGAGCAGAAGTCAGGAACAAGAGCCCCACCATAGTCTGGGTTGCTGCTATCGGTGCCGTGTTGGCTTATTCGGCAACTGCATTACGGCTCTACACGCGATATTACATCAATGAAGATGGGCTGAGATGGGATGACTGGTCCAGCATTGCCACCGGGGTACATTGCAGCGCCACATCGAGTTTGATCTTTACTGACGCCGTGTGGTAGGTTTTCTTGGCCCCCTTGACCGCCGGTGCCGTCCTTCGTAAGTCCTTCGTCACTCTTAGGGAAGGAATCGACGCTGACTGCGCTCCTATCAGTGGCTAAGAGCGGTGTTGGGAAAGACGTGTGGACTTTGCCCGCTTCTGACATTACACAAGCGCTTTGGGTATGCAAGAAGGCCATGTGCTACCGACTAAACAGCGGCTGACCGGCACTATAGATATTCTATGTACAAGAACACCTCTACGTCATCTGCGCCGTCCTCGTCAAACTCTCCTTGCTCTTGTTCTACCTACGCATCTTCCCCGACGCCGGGTTCCGTAGGATAGTATGGGTCTCACTCATATTCACCATCCTCTTCGGACTCAGCGCCATATTTGCTTTCGGGTTCCAGTGCACACCGATCGATCACACGTGGAACGGATGGGATGGGGAGCACCCGGGCACATGCGTCAACATGAACGTCCTTGTGCTGACGGGAGCGTCACTCAACGTGCTGCTTGACTTCTGGGTCATCGTACTTCCCGTTCCGGGCATTATGAGGCTGCAGTCGTCTGTCCGGATGAGGCTACAGATCGTCACCATGTTCTGCACGGGGTTTTTGTAAGTACAGGTATGGCTTCTGCTGCATTAGTACATGGTCTGACCGCAGAAAGCATCACTGGAGTCAGCATCTACCGCACCGTGATGCTTACGAATTTCGCCACAACGAGGAACCCGACATGTGCGTATACCCCTCCCCCTCTCGTCGCCCGCCCTAAACTGTCCTCTGACAAACCATAGGGGACTACTGCGATGGAGGCTACTGGTCCATCATTGAGGTGGATGTCAGCATCATTTGCAACTGCATGCCCGCCATCCGCAAGTTCCTTGGCCAGCTCATCCCGAAAGTGTTCGGGACAACGCACAAAGCCACGACTGACGACCCCTCGAGGGGTGCTGGTGGCTGCTTGAGAACCGCACGGGGATTCCAGTCTTTCAAGGGATCAGGGGCAGAAGCGGAGAGCATCGTGCAGCTAATCGCTATCGAGTCGAGATCCCCTGGTATCCAGCTAGAAGAGGCAAGGGAAGAGGCCAGGGAAGAGGCCAGGGCAGAGTCTAGAGAGCGGGAACCATCGGCGAGAAGCAGTGTAGTTCATTGACAAATGGTTTGTGAGTAAATGCTGCGTACTGATCAAAAGGCTCCGTGTGACAGAATAAACGGTGAACCCATATTGTTTACTTCATCCCTATCAAGATGCTTGTATGGTCGATAAGGCGTGCGAAAGCAACCCGGGCTTCAAGGTTCTGGCGGTGTTCGTTTCAGTCGCGGACCAAATGATCGCAGTCACGACAGATCATGACTCAGCGTAATGCAATAATCTATGGCTCCAGGGGTTTTCAAGATGCGGGAGTTCACCGTGGCAAACGATGGAGTGTCCGGGCGGTCGACTGAGCCGCGGACCGGAACACATGCTTCATCGTTATCAGGACAGATCGGAGGCTCAACTACCGGACCGAGACCGGATAAAGGTAAGGCTGGAATGCTAGTTGAATTGCCACGAGTGGCGATCGCGAGATCGTGGTGAACACCTTATCCACTTTGAACCCTATCGAGTAAACCATGGTGTGTGATTTGAACTACGACGGCATGGACATTCTGACGACGATGTACCGTGACTCCGGGGCCACACAGCGCACGATGGTCTTTTCAGACCAGTTCAATGTTCTGAAACTCGGGCGTCTTCTCCAGTGCTTCTCCATCCATGATCCCATGCACGTATGCCTCGCCCACAACCAGCCATTGCGCTTGCCCGACATCACGCAGAACCAAGGGAACATGGGCGCCAGGCAAGATCCAGATCGAGTCTTGTTCGGAAAGATGCTCGGGCCCGATGCCCAGAAACCCTCTGGCGGTCCGAAACGGGCGTCTTCCGTGGAGCTTGTCGCGGACAATGTCCGCATACTGGACTCCCGGGGACACGGTTCCGGAAAGCAGAGCCAAGTATGATTGCCTTGTGTGCTCGGATGCTCTGGCTGTCTCGTAATTGTGCATGAGCGCCCGATCAGCAATGGGGGTTCTCCAGAGCGCTTCAGAGACTGCCTCTTCCGTGTTGTAAGCTTCACCGCCATGCCCCAAAAGATGCCGCAGCCCTCTAAGCCAATTGAGAATGTCGCAGGGCTCCAACAGGATTTGTCCAGGTTTAGAAATGCTGTCGACGTATACGGCCGAAAGGTGGAGGTGATTTTGGGAATCGAACGACTCATCGTACAGGGCCTGGTCTGTCCCTTTACATGCATCGTATGCTCGGCTCCTCCCTCCCTCTCTGGCAACAAACCTGGAACTCACACTTAGCGGCGGCAGAAGCGTTTTCTTTGCGAAGTCCGGTGCCCAAGAAGGCGCCGAGGGCCGATGTGACATTTCCTGTGCAGATGAAATGCTACATAATGACAGGACAACCAGCCCGTAAAACGTCAGGCATGCCTTTGATACCTCGGTCCTGACTGTGTTCCAATCTCTTGAGTAGTCTGCCCGAATTTCCGGGCTGTAGTGGGCGTCGACGAGACCCAACAGAGAAAATATGTAATCACGCTCGTCCGAAGCTTGAAGTCGGACCTCATTGGAGTTGCCGTACAGCACCGTTAGTAGGTTGATCAGTGGCTGGTCGGCAGCTGCATATGCAACAGGCGTCACGTTCATCAGCTTCGAGGTCAGGAGAGATGCCAAAGAGGGGCACTCTGCTAGTGCAGCGTCATTGACCATGTTGAGGTAGTCACGCGCGCCGCAGAGCACCCAAAAGCCCATGTAGAACTGGTGCCAGGTGATGAAGTCGTCGCCGCAGACCAGAACAGGATCGATGGATAAAACCCGCTCCTGGATAACCCAGACCCGCCGAAACCAGGCCCGGTCAAACAGAGAAGCAAGCGCATTGAACACGCGGAAGTTCCTGTCACAGAGGTCTTTCAAGATGGCATCAAGCGCTCGCTGAACGACAAAGCCACGGGACCCTGGAAGCGGGCTTTTATTGAAGCGGAAATGGGACCAGGATTTGATCTGGCCAAAGAGTTTCTGCTGCACTGTTCGACTCATCTTTCGTAGGCTGTCCAGCGCAAGGCTGCTATCGTCGCTTGAAGGTCCGAGCCAGACGATGGTCTGAGAGGCCTCTTTGTAGACTTTGTCAATCTGGGAGACTTGGTGCGTCCTCTCAGACACGTTCGACTGGTCAATACAGACAGCATCCACCCACATGGCAATTTCCGCCTCTCCGTTGGTGTTGCAATCCATGGCGAGGTGTCGGAGGGCAGACTCCAAGTTTGCTGTGACTTGGAACTCGTGCTCATCCAGAATGATTCGAGCTGTGGTGTTGCGATCTCCCCAGACATAGGAGAGTGCCGTGTATTCCGGTAGCTCATCGATAACAGCATGTCGAAGGGTACAGCGGACAAAGTCATCTATGCGCGGCTGTGCTTGCACATGGATCAGACGGATCTCATGCTTGTCGGTCCGAAGCGGCCGGTATCGAAAGTCATTCTCCCATTGTTGATCCGAGCCAATGTTGGTGTCGGATTGCAAGGTCATGTCCCGGGCTCGCAGCGGTGAAAGCCGAGGTTTCCGCTTGGTAAGCTGTTTCAGAGGGACCTCTTGCCGAATAGCGATGTCGATGCCGCGGATGCGTTAATGAGTGGAGATGGTAGTGGTAACGGATAGTGAAAGGGAACGGCAGGGTAGCGACCGGAACGCCTGACATCTGGAACGCCACTTACGTCAGTAGTGTGTAGAAGCACATTCTTATCCCCATCACTATTGTTAACAGTTGAAACAATCCCGTCTCAATTAAGATGAGAGTGTCGAGCCTGTTTTTCCTGTTCGGACAGATGTCTGGTCGGATTGTCTCGTCTTGTCCTGCCAGGTGTTACCTCTGAATCCCAAAATTACTGCATCGCTGGTCACCTGGTTCCCATCGAATCAAGTGAGCAGCGTTCGCCTGCTCGTGAATGGAAGCCTTGCACTCGTCTACATAAAGCGAACCAGTCTGGTGAAAATCACTGCGACTCTACCAATCCTCCCGAAACCTCATAAAACATGTTGCCATTCCTCCTTGCTTCACATATTCCAGTCACCCCTTGCCTTATCCTTTTCGTCTCACCCTGACGACTGGTTATGCGGGACACACGGTTGCGATGGGGGATACGACTACGCAGGATCGGACGGGCGCCGTTGATGCTGCTGGTGATGTGCAGGAGGAGTGGAGGATGACTAGGGCCGAGGCGTTGAGGGTGGGTACGGGGAGGACGGGGAGGACGGGGGTAGATGGGAGCGGCAAGACAGAAGAGGATAGGCGTGGGACGACGGGGATGAAGACGACAGCTACTGGTGATGGCTGCGGCGGCGGCGGTGGTGGTGGAAGGAAAGGAAGCACTGCAGCCACTGCGGTGGGGTCATTGGCTGTAGATGGTGGTAATATAGATAGCTCGGTAAGGTTGTCGCCGTCCACGGCTTGGGTGGGGCGTGGGTGGGGGCATGCGCCGGTGTGGGAATTATTTGGTGCTATGATACTTGGGCGGCAGTCGACGTTATGAGGCACAATCTGTGGGGCTGCGGTGTTATGGTTCGTTGCTGTGGATGCTCGGTGTAGGGCGTCTGGGCCACAGTTTGCTGATACAACTACCCTGAACTGCCGTAGATGGAGAACAAAAGGGGAATATAACTCGTGCCACAACGAAGTCTACCCCGGACAGAAGTACCAGCAGTTACTAAGATGAGACTAATAAACATACCGAAAGTTTAGGTTCTCCTTATCCGTCAGATCCGCAAATGCTGTACTGCCCAGCTCCTCCTCGGAATCACCAGGCCTCTGCAGCCCGTCACGTCTCCGGTTTTCCCTTCGCAACAGGACCCAGAGGAGCCCAACGACGACAACCTCCAGCAAGTGGGACACAATCATACTCCAGATACCGAGTGCGTAAGTCGGTGCTTGACTCGTCTTGTAAAAGAATGGCCCCGCAATATTCCCGACGCAATAACCGGTGAAAAGGCAGGCGTTGGTCACCACCTTCTTTGTGTGACCTGCAATGTTGCCGGTTGTGAGAGACAACAGCATGACGAACGAGGCATTGTACGAACCACTCAGCTGGCATCACGTCAGAGGGCGAAACTTGGTTTGGAAATCACTTACGTAGTAGCATATCAGACGTCCCACCCTATGCTGGGTTGAGATAAACCGCATGCCCACTGCTGCAACAATGTTCGGTGTAAGGAAGAGCAGGAGCATGAGACACCGTTTGTTCCCCGGCATTTTGTTGTTGATGAACACACACAGTAGGATCATCAGAGAGATGAAAACGCCGTAAGGGATTTGAAGAAGGCTCGTTCCGACTGCGAAGTTGAGTTATTGTTACTCTCTGTTGTTCGCTGAGGAAACTCACGTGTCGTGTATCCAAACCCCTTCACGATCAGCGTCCCAAAGTTTGTGATACCACCATTGACCAAGGCCTGAAGCAATGCAATTATGAAGAGCAGAAGTACCTTCAGATCGGTAACTGCTTCCACCAGCTGATACATCTTGAACTGCTTGCTCTCGATCCCAGTTTGGTTTTCCCGCAGCCGAGCAACAGCCAGCTTCCTCTCCCTCATGGTCAAAAGCGGAGCTGACACTGGAGAATCTGGCAGAAGAAAGAACATCACAATGCCCCAGGCGGAGCACAGTGAGCCGACAATTATGAACTCGTACTTCCAGCTCGGAAGCGCACCACGGATCGTTCCGATGCCGTAACCAAGGAGACCCCCACCCGCGATCCCCAAGCCAAGGGAGGTGTACCACAGCCCTATCCGAATCGGTTGTTCTCGGCGGGTGTACCACATGACGGTGATGATCATGAAGGCGGGGTCTGCGCAGGCTTCTGCTGCGCCGCTAAGCGCTCGAAGTGCAGCTAGAGACGAGAAGTCGGTCGCTGCCGCTTGAGCCATGAGAAGCAGCCCCCAAAGGATGATGTTGATGGCCAGATATTTTCCAATCGGGTACCGCTGCATCAGAAGGTTTGTTGGCAGTGCCCAAGCCATGAATCCGAAGTAGAAGATGGACGAAAGCCAGCTGTACTCCACGTCGTCAAGGTGGATGTCCTCACTCACGCCGAAGATGGCGGCATAGGATAGGGTGGTTTTGTCGAGCTGGTGGCCTGTCAGCTGATGTATTCTGATGCAACAAACAAATCAACGGATGGGCTTACGTAGAAGAAGACGTAGCAAACGGATAGATAGGGTAAGATCATCCAGTCAATCTTTCTGATGAGCTTCCCCTCTTCAGCAGCATCGCAATGCTGGTGGACATCGTCCTGGTCGCTGAACAGGGTGAGAACGGTATCGGCGTTCTTGAGCTTCCTCATGTGAAGACTTTCAGTGCCAACGGCTTCGATGTGAGCCGCAGATGACTTCATTCCATCATCACCAGCGGCGTGAGTAGATATTGAGTTGTGGCTGCTCATGGTGGAGGATCGAGGATGGTATCGAACGGGAGCGGGCCTGTCCGTTCGGTCCCATTTGTAGAGGATGGATTGTGGAAACTGCCAAGTGCTTTTCCGCTGCAGCTGGCTGAAGGCTCATTTTTCCGAGGGCGTGGTCAGCAGCTGTCGGTGTTCCGCGGCAAAGCGTTTCTCCACACGGCTGATTGGCCCGGCCGCAGGCATCGTCCATGGATTGGATGAATTTATCGACGAGACTTGAGTGGTCCAAACGATCGAAAAGCAGTCAACACCATGAACACTACATGAGACTGCAGTCAAGTGCGCAAGACATGATCCTATCTGATTCGTAGCCCTTGAGACACCTCCATTGCATGGATTCTATCTTTGGAAAATGAACGAAGCGGAGGAGCAACGTGCTTGGGATCTCCAAGGATCAGAGTATATGACTACCGAATACACCCCGCACTCTGCAGACCCACACTCCCACTTGGGGCTGCGGGGTATCCGCAGGTGCCTCGGCTATCACACACGTGCGCGGATATAAGCATTAACCACAAGCATTTCCCGAAGAGACAGCCAAGGGAGCCTTCTCGTCCTCGGGTGGAAAGCCTCGTCAAGGGATAGCTCGTGCGGGTGACTACTGGAAAGTGTACGTCCCTTGTCAATATACAAACACTTTTTATACACCGAGGCCACGCTGCAGGAAAAAAGAGTCGTTGCACTGGCACCAAGCCCTGCGTCTCCTGCTTATCCCTCGGAACATGCATTACATGCTCGTGGCAGGCCGCCACGTCCGCCAGCTGAAGAGCCTTGCAACGTATATCCGGTATGACGCAACAGGGCGTGCAGCACCCAATAATAGCCCTATTTCTCTCTTACTGGCTGGTGCCCCTGCTGAAGACGCACCTACCTCCGAGAGTTCAGCAGAACATCCCACTTCAGCTGGAGAGCTGGCCCATCTGGCTTCTACAAGGCTGGTGGACTCAGCCAGCGACGGGCAGGGCAATTTCGTGGGCGGCTCCTCCAATGTCCCCTTTTCCTCCGAACTCCAGACTCCCGATCAGGCTCTAGGACACAGCAACTTCAGCGCCCGAGGTGTCGATAATTACATCAGGGATGCAGCGCTTCCGCTGATGAATTCGTTTCCTCCAGCGGAAAACCAAGGTGGAATTACCGTAGACCTGGATCATAAATAACTGAATCGAACTTTTTCAGGAGCTAGTCAGCTGGCTGTAAGCATGGTCTTTCTTGTTGATAAGCAAGAGGACCCTTGCCAGGTGCTGGGAAAACAGCGATTCGATTTTCCTGGAATCCACGACGCCGCCGCTACCTTCTCCCAAGCGCCACCGGCCGGCCAATACTCATATCCCCTCGCTCTTTCGAACCCTCAAACACGCCACAACAGCCGCAATCGCAGCCAGCGTCCCCTCCGGATCCCTCACCCTCACCGTCTCCAAACCCATCTCTTTTGCCGGATAATCATTCCCCCCCGGAAAAATGGCATCGCCCACGAACACGAACCTTTCCAACGCGATGCCGCTCGCCTCGCTCAACTTGCGCAAGCCGTAGGCCTTGTCGACGCCCTTGCGCGTGACATCGATGGACGTGGCGCCGCCCATATTGATGGACAAGCCGGGCAGGCGTGTCTGCAGATCGGCGCGGATGACGTGGCGCTTCTTAAAGTCCGGGTCCCACACCTCTTTCGCCTTGACGGGGGCGTGCTGGCCGAGGGCGGAGAAGGTGATCTGGCTGCCGCGGTCCTCGATGCGGGGGCCCCACGTCTGCTCGGGCTGGAAGCCGGTGGCGTCGAGCGAGGCTTCGAAGGCGGCGACGATGTCTGCACGCTCTTCGGGGCTGAAGAGCTCGGCATAGACGGGCCGCCAGGCGGACGAGGGCGCGTCGTACGTGTAGAGCTTGGTGCCCGTGGTCGGCAGGAGCCAGAGCTTGGACAGGTCGGCGTGGGGCGGCAGCCGGGAGGCGACTTGCTTTTCGAACTGCGGCCAGTCCCCGCCGGAGATGACGGCGACGTGGGCGACGGAGAGGAGGGAGGCGAGCGCTTCGCCCATGGAGTCTTTGAGCGGCTGCTTGCTTTCGGCGAGCGTGCCGTCGAGGTCGAAGGCGATGAGGGAGACCATTGTTGCTTTTTCGCTCTGGTAGAGGCGAGAAAAGACGCGTATTGGAGACGAATGGGGCGATGAGCTTTGTCGGCGTTGAAGACAAGGCGCCAGAAGATGGAGTCGTGAGTTGTGCAGGGAAGAGACAGACACGTGTGCCTTAAGTACTTAGCGGATGGGTTGGCCAATCAGGTGCCGTAAGTGGTTGTTGCGATTGCGTGCTTATGTTTCGGACTCTAGGGCTAGCGCGCTTCAATCAATAATGCTGGAGTAAGCAAGGGCAAAGGATGACTGACCATGCTCAGCCCCTGGCGGAATCCAAGGAAGCCTGCAAGTGGTTGTGCTTCCTGTCACTGAATGAAATGCTGCGTTTGGGCAGGCGACTGCGTCGCAATCACTGCTGCCCACTGCGTTCGACTCTCAATATGTTTCGCCTCGTTCCCGGTCCCCTCTAAATACTTAGCAAGAACCACCGGTTCGTATCTACCGGTCAGCTCACATGATTACCTGACGGCTGCACACTGCTCGTTGGGTATATTAGTTGAGGTAACGACATCCGATATTGAGCCCATCACAGCAGCAAGCGATCGTGGAGGACATGGGTGAGTTTCTGGAGGGCACAATGGCGAAGAGGCTCAAAATAGGTTAAGCTAAGGAACGAAGTACGTTACGGGAGCGGGCTTCCAACGGAGTATGTATATCACAATAAACGAAGTAGACGAAACACAGTCTCAGGTCACGCATAGCCATCAGTACAACCACCACCTCCATCCCATCCGTCACTCATCCATCCACCCACGACGGTGAATACACACACTCCACCACCTCCTCCCCCTCCCAATCGTCCTCTGCAGTAAACTCCACAGACCCCGTCCTCCCAATCGCCCACCATTCCGTACTCACCCTCCATTCCTCCTCCTCACACGCCCCACAGCTTCGCCGCACCTCCGCCCCACTTCCCCCGGTCATCGTCTCCCGCGACCAGACACTGACCTCATACGACCACGCATCCGTCACCGGCAGCCGTAGATCGGACGTGTAGGGGAGATTGTTGAGTGGAGATCGATGCTTTTGTTACTTTCTTCGGAGTCAAAGGTCGTTGGCTTTGTGACGAGATGTTTCTATAGGGTCCACTGAGATGTCTCTATATTGCTTTTTACGCCCTGCTACTGTGCCTTACTAAGTGCAAGCTGTCTCCAGTTGGTGCCATCAGTTCCTTTCCGGTGTGATGAATACTCTATATAGAGCGGAGAAGACATCCCAGGCCTTTGCCATACGCTTGGTACCACACCTCGTGACAACCACTGCCTGCATTCTGCATCTTGTACTCTGCATCCTTTCTACAATAAAAAAAAGATGTAATCCTTCGCAGTCCGTTCGGCAAAGAACAACACCTGCTTGTAGAGAACATCATTTTATTATTCCCATGTATTCACCAGTCATGCCAAATACGTTTCTTACTGCTCTAAACCGGGTTTGAGCTACTTCTAGATTTGTGTGGTCGTATTGCACATCTATTAGATCATACTATGGTACTGTTTTCCAAGAAACATCAGGCGACCTTGTATGGACGTAGGCACCTTTGGGCAAAAATAGATTTAGGTTTCGAGCTTATTTATATTTTCACGAGACGGCTGGACGCTAAAAGGCTTAGAAGCTCTCTACACTAGCGTAAGGCAGCCAACAAATACGAGAAGAAAGTACGGCAACAACGACAGTGTACGAAATATATGCGGCTCGCTGCAGCCACCAAGCGTATGAGCTGAGAATGGTTCGATTTGCCTACATGAAGTGCCCAAATCTTCGATCCAGCTGGAAATTTGCTTGAAAACAGCTCGTTGACCAGTCAGGTACCATAAAGGTATCTGTCGGACTTGAAAAAAGGTACGACGCCGTACTTTTTTCAGTACTGGCTGAGGGCCTTATATCTGACAGTATCTCAACGCTTGGCCGATCTCCAGGTCCGAGAGACGCAGTGGTCTGGGAGCGCAAGGCAACAGCGGGGTGATGGGGGTCGTATGCACTGCGTCGGGCGGCATGGATCTTAGCGCCGGTTGCCTTCTCATCGATCCCAAAAGCATTTACAGTCATCAAGCATTACAGCTTTCACTCGAAGTTGACTAGTTGGGTAGAGTAAACGGAGAGTTGCTGGATTTCTTTAGCGATGGATGATGTAGTATAAATAAAGAGAAAAGAAAGCCGTGACTATCAAAGACAAACCAGCGAAAAGCTGTAGCCCAAGGTAATTGCCCGTGGCCTTGAGGAGTGCTCCAGAGATAGGCGGGCCGATAAGCGAACCTATTCCCTTCAAGACCGACACCATTCCCAGACGCGTACCGAGAAGACCAAGGTCCGGCGTGATGTGTGTCAAAACTACCGGAGCGAGCGAAACAACTCCCCCCGAAAAGAAGCCGTACAGCACAGAAAAGGCAACATTGCCGGCGGTGTTGGTCACGCTGATCCAATAGAGTATACTGGCGCCACTGAGAGCGGATATCATGATGTAGCACCTGAGGGAACCAATCCAGTCTGCGACGAACGAGGGAACAATTCGGCCCGGGATGGAAGAGGCGTTCAGGATCGAGAGGAGATAGTTGACGAGGTTCTGGTTGCGCATGCCATGCGCCAAAGCATAGCTTTGCAGGTAGAAGATGGGCTCAAAGTATGCGACGTTACTGAAGAAGATTGCAATGGTATAAATGACGAAGGTGCGTTCCTTTAGAGCAGTCGGGTCAATGAAGCGTCGTGGGGAGAAGCTCTTCTTCGGGCCCATCTGACGCGGCCGTATGACAGCAACAGAAAAGGAGCATAGGGCAAAGCAGATGAAGCCCATGATACGGACGGTCCATCCAAAGCCGATGCGCGGCTGGAGATTCTGGAACAGGAGAGGGTATATTGTGGCACCAAGGCTGCTTCCGACGGTGGCCAGGGCCATTGCACGGGCTCGTCGCTTTACAAAATACTTGGGGACGACGGCAATGGATGGTATCTGCAGACAGCATGTACCGAGGCCCATGCAGATGCCCTGAGCAAGAAGGATCTGCCAGTAGGCTTTGCAGATGCTTGTCATCATGAAGCCCAGGGTCACCAGGAAAGTACCAGCGACAAGTAGTGCTTTGCAGTGGCCCGCATCGTAAAGGGGTCCGACGAAGACGCTGACGGACATCAGGCAGAAGACCTGCACTGAGCCAATCCAGGAGATGGCAGACGGCGACGAGTCTTTGAGGTGGTCCTCGTAGTATGTTTGAAAGACGCCAAAGCTGTTGAGCAGTCCCCTGGGCTTCGTCAGTCATGTTTTGCACTTTGCAGGCTACAGTTGACTTGCAGGTGATTGAAGTAGAGGGCGAAAGATGCCGCGACTTGCAGCCAGGCCAGGAGTCCTCCATCTGGCGGGTCGGAAGGGAGCGAAGTAGCCTCCGGATGTGCACTTGTCTCTTTGCTGGACCCATTCAATGCGGATGGCGGATTCATGGTTGGTTGTTCGATCAAGCTTTGCACACAAGCCTCGTAGCCGGGCCCTGTGGCTGTTTGACTGGGGCAGATCCTGAGGGGAGTTTGTAGTGTTCCGGCATCTCTTTCTCAAAGCTGCGACATCGGGCCTCGATCGGCATCGGCAGTGGGTGTCGGCATTCCGGCTTGCAGACCGTTTGTTGCGGCACTGAACGGCTGTTGGTCAATTTTCTTGCATGGTTACCCCGCAGGTTCCAGATTGGAGAGCTGCAGGATCCTTCGGGGATTAATGCTTGCTGGAAACCCCGCGTTCGGGTAAATCTGCCTCTTTAACGGTCTTCATTGTCCACACTTATATACAAAGTCATCACTCCGCCCCCACAGCAACCACCTTCCCCCCACCCACGCCTCCTCCCGACGTCGTCACATACAACACACCCTGATCGCCATCCGCCCTCCCAAACGCCGCCGACGTGGCTCCGGCGACGCCCTCGGCCACCACCTCGGTCGTCCCATTGAGATACACCCTCTCCACCACGCCCCCATTCCCGCTCGACGCCACAAACGCCGCGTCGCCGCCGTCCACGACGGCGAAGTCATCGCCCGCGAGCCCCTGCAAGACGGTCTCGTATTCGCCGACCGCCTCTCCAGTCGCGGGATCGACCTTGACGCGGCAGAAGAGCTGTCGCCCCGTGTTGGTGTAGTAGACGTAGGCGTTGGTGGCGTCGAAGCGGACGCCGTTGACGCCGAGCGCCATGGTGGAAGTGCCGTTGGTGACGGCGGGCGGCGCCATGGAGTCGTGCTGGAGGGCGATGGCGAAGGCGCCGGTGGCGGTGTCGACGCGCCAGATGGCGCCGACGGTGGTGTCGGCGACGAGGACGGTGCCGGCGGTGGCGTTGAGGGTAGTGAGGCCGTTGAGGAAGCTGGCGGCGGGGATGGTCACGACTTTGGACACTTGCGCGTCGCCAGTGGGGGGGAGGGAGAGGGTGTAGATGGTGTTGTGGTTGGCGCTGACGGCGAAGGTGTCGGGGCCGAGTTCGGAGATGCCGTTGAGGCGGGTGGTGTTGGAGAAGGCGTGGACGAGCTTGGGGGTGGTGGTGGTTGCGGCGTCGCCCGGGGTGATTTCCAGGACCTGGGCTTGGTAGAGGAGGGTGACGAGGATGGCGCCGTTGGAGCGCACGGCCAGGTTCTCGACGGATGTGCCGTTGGGGAACTGGTGGAGGGCGGTGAGCGTGTTGGCGGCGGCGGAGCAGAGCTGCGTGGCTGCTGCTCCGACGAGGAGAAGTGCCTTTGGAAACATCATGATGGCCGTGGGGGAGAAAAAGGCAAGTACGAAACGCGTGCACGATTTATACTCCGGTCGCCAGCACGCGCGGCTTCTTCTTAGTATGATTCAGATAACACGGCTACGCATAGACGCACTTCCGAAGCAGGGCGTGCCAAGGCAGGTAGCAGGACTACCTACCTTTACTGGTAAGAAGGAAAGGAGACATGCAAGGGACTATAGACGCCGAATGTTCTCCTTGGCCGGGGTTGTGTCATGCAGGTGTTATATCCGAGCCCCGCGGAAGCTTAACACCGAGCGCATCACGATGAAGCAAACCACGCCTTGCGGTAGTCCCAGCAGGAACGGCCGTCTATCTACTCCTAAGCCTATTCAATTGCCTAGAACAAAGGCCACCGCAAGGCATGAAGGGGAGGCTTCAGCGTTGTCCGACCATGGAACGAAGCTGGAGAGGCATTGTAACAAATATGGTCACGGAAGCATCGACAATCAGGCAGAAGAGAATTACGAAGTAGACCTTGGCCCGTGATCAAATAGATTTAAACATTAGGTAGCCAAGTTTGCTCTCAGGAATCACTGCGACAAATTGCGAACCCGACGATAGCACCCTTTTTTCCCCCACACAGAGCCCGTTTGCGATTGCTTCTGGAAGCATGGCGCGAAAGGCGTGAAAAGTGGTTTCTTTAAGCAGTGGCCTCCGAGACCTGCACGCGGAGACGATCCTCGCACACCAGGCCGCCCGTCTGGATGTAGCACACGCCCCGGATCGGCGCACTGCCAACCACAGTGGTGTTAGTGGCATCGATCTCGACCGTCGAGTTGACAGAAATAGCTAAAACACCAAGTCAGATCATATCAGGTCAGTCATCAGGCATCGACTCACATCTCTCGGGCGCCACGGCCGTCTCGAACTGGACCTCCAACTCGCCGGAGCAGAAGCTGTTCGGCGCGGCTCCGGCGGCGGTGACGGTCTTGGAGCAGCTCGCGGACCCGCCGCCGCTGTAGGCGAAGGTGAAGTCCTCGGTGGCGTAGCCCTCCTGCACGCTGCTCGTGAAGTTGCGATACGTCACGTCCCAGTAGCCGTACTGGCTGTCCGGATCGGACGCGCCCGATTCGTCGAGCAGGTCGACTTCGTTGATACCGATGGAGCCCGAGGCGCTGCAGGTCGAGTCCGAGCAGTCCTGGGTCGGGACCAGGCCGTCGCTGGCGACGATGCTGACGGGGCGGCTGGTGAGGGTGGTGTTGTAGTCGATTTGGATCGCTGCGAGGGAATGCGTCAGCCTTGTTCTAAAGTAAAGCGCATCGAGGGTGCTTACACTGGCTCGCGTTGCCCCAGTACAGAGCGAAGTCGGGCGTGTCGCATTCGGTGAGGAACAGCACGACCTTTGTCTTGGTTCCGAGGGTGATGTTCGGGTTGGGCCCGTCAAAGTTGTACGCCCAATTGCAGGCCGTCTGCAGGCCGAGCTTGGTGTTCTCGACGGTGAAGTTGGCCCAGTTGATGCCGCTGGCGGGTCCGCTCGTCGCCGTGACGTCAAAGGTTCCCACGTCGCCGCTGAAATCCGTCACGTCCGGAACGGTGGCGGCGGCGGCGGCTCCGACGACGGCCAAGGCGAAGGTGGTGGATGAATGCATTTTGGCTTGGAAATTAATAGAAGGTTGGGAGGAAAGGTTGTCGGGACCGTGGTAACGAGTGACGGCGGTGAAGTGCTCAGTCTCCTTGTGGGCGTGGTTCCTTATTTAAGTCTTCGCCTCGGCGGTTGCACTCGTATAATCGATGTCGGACAGCCTTGCTGCCGAGCCGCTAGCAGGCATTTCTCCTGGTCAAGTTTCACGTTATTTTGGCCCGCATATACGAGTCTGTGCGTGCGTCAAACAGGACTAGTAGTCTTCAGGAAGCTGGCGAAACAAACAATGCCAACTCGACACTCACTCGAGAGCTGCTGCTGAAAAGCTTCGGGAGTTATCGAGCGTCCGATCAAGTGTTGGATGCAAATCCGGGGAATGGTCACGCCAAGGTCCGACGCGAGTTTATGGTGGCCGATCACGGTCGGTGGCTTTGCGGCAGTGGCTGGCATGGACATCCCAGAATAGCTCTCCCTCCGGCTCTCGCTCCGCATTCGACCATGCGGGAGTGACGAGCCGATGGCGAACCGCATGAACTCACTAGCTCAACTCGCTTGCCACCTCTGTCGCCTCGGTCGATTATTGCGAACATCTAGACGTGGAAGACGCCCGAGCCGTTCCCCGTTGATGTAGCATTCAACTTAAAGTATGTGGCTTGCTCCAACGTAGGTTTTGGCACAGGCTCCGTGCAAGCAATATCATCCGACATTAATGTTCCATTATGCAGTCGCATAAACGTGCCCTGAAGGCTCTCCTTGACCATTGCTATGGAGTAGGGAACATGTGCTCGCCTGCCATTGGCCCAACGTGCCACCGTTGAACATGAATCTCACCCAATCCGTACCGTCTCAAATGCATTCACAAGTCCGGGAATATTCATGCTTAGTATACGACCAGCACAGGCCCGCGTCGCCAATACGCTACAGAAAGCAATCGCAATCCTACAAGATGATGACACAAGGAGCAGCAACATCGGCGACTACCCAATTATCTGCGTAGTCTGCCTTACTGTTTCGCTTAAGCTGTTCCTGAAGTATTGATGGTACTTGTACACCTTCTTTTGAAGATATGGAGAGACGGAGCGATATCGACCTTTATCCAGAAAGCAGTTCGGAGTGAAAAGTTTTTACATCTATATCATCTATTCACCAGCAGAGAATAATTGGAATACGCAACCTGCAGTCCAACAAACGGACCACTGTGTAGATATTTGAGTAAAAATATTGGGGTTAGTCGAAGTGGCCAGAGTTTGCAAGGAAATTGTTGGACATCACGTATATTCAAAAAATTCGAGGATGATCGTCATCATCAACCCAACTGGGACGTCTTCAGCAACGTGTTATCATAAACAACACCGTTGTTGGATACCCCTTTCTTCGTTCATTTATATAAACACCACGTAGTAGCAGTGTTCAATAGATCATCCACTCAACCAGCTTCTTGCTGCACCCGGCTGTGATCACCGACTGACAGAAAGGTAGGAATATAACCTGTTGTTGTTACATGCAGAAGTCAATGCCATTCAAGTGAGCAGAGCTCGTGCGTCATTACAACCAGCTCGTAATTAAGTATACAGAAAAGGCTCCTAAGCCCAGATAACCCGCAACCATCCATCTATCAACTTTTGGGCCTTCTATACGCTAAATCATCAGAAACACACAGTCTCAGAAACAAGACAGACACTACGCCAGATCATCCAATTCCACCGCCTTCTCCTGCGCCACAAACCCCTGCGTCGTCTCCAAATCTCTGTCCAGCGAATACGCCTTGGTAAAAACAACACTGCACACCAACGCCACGCCAGCCAACGCCGTCATAAAGATCCACAGAGTCCTCAACGACCCGCAATACGCCGTCACCAACTCGTCCCTCAGCGCAATCTGCACCGCATCCGTGCTCTCCCGCATCGCCTTGATCGTCTCCACCAGCGCACTCACATCCTTGCTGATGGAGCCCGCGTGCGCGACGAGATAGGCGTTGCCCGAGTCCTCGAGCTTGTCGCGCATGGCGTTCTGCACGACGGTGCCGCCGACGGCGACGCCCAGCATCTGGCCGTAGTTGCGGAAGAAGGCGCTGAGGGCGGAGGCGATGCCGACCTCGGCGGCGGGGGCGGCGGCCTGGTTGCACAGGCTCTGCGAGGGGTACAGGATGCCGAGGCCGAGGCCGCTGACGAGCGCGAGCGGCACCCAGATCTTGGTCGGGGTGTCGGCCTCGTAGATGATGAGCAGGCCCATGCCGGCGCACACGCACACCCAGCCCGACCACAGCGCCCACCGGTACCGGCCCATGCGCGCGATGAGGAAGCCGACGATGACGGCGGCGGGGGCGACGGTGAAGGTCCAGGGGAAGAGGGCGACGCCGGCGCCGATGGGGGAGAGGTTCTTGGCGCCCTCGAAGTAGAGCGGCATGTAGAAGAGGATGCCCCATTGCACCATGCCGTGGATGACGAAGGAGAGGTAGGTGACGAGCGAGGTGCGCGAGGCGAAGAGCGAGCCGGGCAGGATGGGGTGGCTGGCGACGTAGGACGACCAGAGGAGGAAGAGGACGAGGCCGAGGACACCGACGCAGAGGGGGGTGAGGGTGCGCCAGTGGGTCCACGCGTACATGGTGCCGCCCCAGGTGATGGGAATGAGGACCGACGTCGTGGACGCGACGAAGAGGAAGGAGCCGACCCAGTCGATCTTGCGGAGCTTGTCGCCGAGATTGCCGCCTTTGTGGGCGAGGTTGAGGAAGATGGGGATCATGATGAAGGCGACGGCGCAGAAGGGGATGTTGAGCCAGAAGATCCATCTCTGCGAGCCCGAGCATGCGTATCAGTATCGACCACGAGAAAGGGGAGAGCGTGTGAGTTTGCGTACCCAGGAAGACTTCTCGACCAGCACACCGCCGATGACGGGACCGGCTACGCTGCCGACTGCCCAGGTCATGGCGATGATGCCGACGTATTTGCCGCGCTCCTTGAGCGGAGCCAGGTCAGTGATGATGACGTTGGACAGCGCCTGGATACCACCACCGCCGATGCCTTGAACTGTGCGTCCTATTAAGAGAACAGCAAAGTCCTGTGCGACGGCTGCGATGATGGCGCCCGCAGTGAAGAGGGCGAGGGCAATCAGCAGCATCGGCTTGCGCCCAAACACTTCGGAGAATGAAGCGAAGCTGGGCTGGAAGACGGTTGACGCGAGGAGGAAAGACGTGCCGCTCCAGAAAGCCTCAACACCAGAGCCGTGCAGCTCTTCTGCGATGGTCTGCAAGATTGCCCTTGTCAGCAAGTCGTGTGGAAAAAGGGACTGGGCAGTGCTTACGGGAAGGGCAACCGATAGGGAGGAGGCATCCAGGGCGGAGACGAGGTTCACGACGCAAAGGCAGCTGAAGGCTGCATGGAAGCGCCAACCAGATGCCGATGCTGCAGCTGGTTTCTCATCATCAAGCGAGACGAGGGACTTGGTCGACCTGGCCGAGAGGCGCACCGATCCAAACTCGGCGGGGTATTTGAGATCGGTAGTGACAGACATGGTGGGACTTGGGAGGCCGCGCTTGAAGTCCGTAGAGATGCAAGCCGTGGCAAGAGAAGGCAGTCCATATATACAAAAAGGAAAAAGATGCAAACGTCGACGGAGCGAGTGGTATGTAGTCCAAGCACCCTTCTGCAGACTCGACTCAATCAGGAGACGGATTGAAGCGCAAGCCACAATGACTGCAAATCAACCGTGGTACAGCCAAAGTTGGCGCGTTACAGCTGTACCGAGATTGTGCACAGCCATGGTGGCTGGATAGGATTCAACAAGTTGACAGCCCTGTGGGGCAGCATGCGTGTCCCTGAAGCCATTTTAGCGGCCCGCTAGTGACAAGTACCGGCCATGCCGACAAGGCGGTTTGGAGGCGTTGAGGCTGAGATTCTGGTCGAGATCTCGCCCGTGCATCAGCCAGCCACGAAGCCATGAGGCTGTTCTCGCACGTTTTTTTGCCGCAACGGGGCGCACTCGAATGCATCCACACGGGGGAGGACAACACATCGTTGCTGCAACAATGCTCTGCACTTGTCCATCCCACTCGGCGAATTGTTCGCCACTGACTTCATGTGCCCGCACCAGACTCAACCATCCTACCTATCGCAAACCTGGGGAAGGCGGGGTCCAGCTCTTCGTCATATTGGCCGCGTAGGGCCTGGCTCTGGGCCCCCCCTCTAGCCTAATGGGTCTATCCGCACGCGAACGCCCACGTTTCGGGAACACCGATAAGTATTTCCACATCCTCTTTCGCATGCACTGCTGGACCCGGTTTCCAGAAGAGTGCCATACGCCGGCGAATCATGGCCAGCCTGCGTCGTCAGCGTCTACCCGAAGACACAAGCTTTTTGTTAGCTCCTACGCCCAGCGGCGATGTCCGCTGCCCGAACTGCCCGATGCAGGAATGGAGATATCCGCCATTCGGCCCGTCTGAAGCACCATGCGGCATTCTCGAGCCTCCTTGTTGCTCCCGACCTCAGCCGCTCGGTAGTCTTGGTAGATAAAAAGCCGGGAGAGTACCTATGCCGACCGTTTTTTCTTTTCGCCTCGCGCACACCACTTTCCTTAATGGCCCTCCACGCGTCTCTGTCACTATTTAGTCAATAGTCTTGTTCTTTAATCTTTTCCTTGATACCCCACCCGAAATGGACTGCGACTGTCTCCACGATACCGTAGGCTGCGTGGCCTTCTATACCTGCAAGCCGCTCCTCATCTGCCGCGCCATCCTGTCGACAGCATGGAAAGCCGCCCGTATGGTGCACGGATTGGCTGCCGAGAACGCCGCCTACAGCGCCGTTCACTCTTCTTGGCCGCCTCCAGCCAGCAGCACCTTCCAGCCTCGCTCTGCCAGACCCGCCGCCCGCGAGCGTCCCACTTCGAACTACTATCACACGCTTCAACAACAACTGGCTCAAATCGAAACCGAGAGGACCCCACAGCGGTGGAGCAGCCCCCCAACTTACCGCCTTCACGACGACAACGCTCCGAAACCAGCACCTCTCAACTTCAGCGTTTCCCAGAAGCACTCGTACGGCGACTTGGCATGCGAAAAAGAGATGCGGATCGCCGTGTATCCCGTAAAGGAGGAGCCAAGCCCGGTCGACTCTGTTTTCCCCCGCAGCCCGGTCGACTCTGACTTCCCACGAAGCCCGATAGAGACGATGAGATATGTTCCGATGGCGACGTAGCCTTCTACAGACGCCATATCAAAAGCCAATGGGAGAGCAGATTGTGTTCTGCATTGAAGCGCACTCCAAGGAGCATGCTGACCGCGGCCACGATGGAATTTCTTCTCGCTGCCTTGCGCCATCGTTTGACACCACACTTCCGAATCCCCCACTTGACCTTCCGGACTTATGGATCTCCGACACCTGTTCTACGTAAAGGACTGACTCGGTGCGACGATCGAGTCCTGGGACAACATGGCGTACAACAGGCCCTCGTAGCGTACCACCCAAAGCTTACCCAGCGGCCCACCGCGTCCGTTGTCGGCCATTGCTATCGACATGTATGCGACGAATGTCGACACCAATTGACACGAACTGCTAGAGACTGGCAAGTACGACGTCCCTTTCACTGAGTCTCGAAATCTGGAATCAGCGTTGGGTGGATCGCCTAAAGGGACCGGAAGCTGCAGGAGACGTTTTTGGCGGCGAAGAAGCGGAGTAGTACTTCTGGGAGCATTGTGCATGAGTCTATTGTGGAGCAGATGTTGGTGGGAGGGGAGGAAGGCTGGGCGAGAGGCTGGGCGAGGTGCGTGTGAGGTGAAGCCGAAGGGAGGAATGAAAGCATTATGAGAAATGTACGGTGGCTCGAGCTGTCGAACACGTACTTTTCTGTTGAGTGTAAGTCGCCAACGAGGGGGGAACTGCAGAAGGGACTGGAGGCTATCAGCGCGGCTCTGGGTAACGATGCGTAGAAGCGCATGTGCATTTACGAAAGAAAGTGCATAAGGACGACGGAAAACATGATTGCATGGTTCTGTAGGAAAACAATATTCCATCTGCGGCCCACCTCTTCATTGAGCATCATCTGCCCACCTTGAGCGATATTCAGTCCATTGGCGGTGGAGGCAGAGCGGGGAAGCTCAGACCGTCCAATGTTGATCTCGCTCCATGCGGGGACAAGACATACTTCCCTGACGGGAAAGATCAGACTACCGACGAGCCCTCTTCGGTGATTCCGCTGCCTTGCGACCCACATGATTGTACTCCACATCTCCACTGTCTCCTCTCGGTCCAGCAATATTGACCTTCGCCGACACAGCACAGTATTCTACCTGCCATCTTTGCTGTCCTTTTCCTTGTCGGATTCTAGATAGTTGTTACATGGTGGCGGTTACGCGCTTGAAGATTCGTTGTTGGGACGCGCGGTGAAAGTGCCAGCCGGCGCCCCACAGTGCTTCGTGTGCATGCACTCCAGGCAGTAGGATAGTATAATATAAGATAGACGTACGATGTTGTCAAAACCATTTCATCGTGCCAGTCATCACCGTATAAGCGGGCCAACATGTTTCCACTTCCAGTCGTCACACGTCAAAAGCTCCACCCGAGCTGAACCATCGGGCTGACTTAAGATGAAAGCCATACACCTTAGCATTATGAGAACTTGGGTATAAAACTGGACGAGGTTGCGCAGATGACGAGCCATTCAACTTGTTCATCAGACCTCAAGTCCAACAAATACAACAAGCGCGCAGTATGCGGTTCAACTTCGTCGCCATCTGTATTTCCTTCGGGGCCGGCATCTCCTGCGTTGCCGGCGTACCTATGGATGATCTTGCGAAGAGGGGTACTGATGGCGTAAGTAGCCTTGAAACTCCGAAAAAATGTTCGAGCTAAAAGGTATGCGGGGAGTAGGAATGCAGTGGTAACCTTTGTTATTACTATGGGTCATATTACCCATGCGCCGAGGGGACTTCTGTAAGTACATATGGGTCAGATTACTGTAGTGCACAGATGCGTTAACACTTTTCAGTGCATCGGGCCAGGTGGTGGAGATGGAGCAACTTGCAAGTATGGGGTCGAGTGCCCTGTCAAGGTTCAAGGCAGTTGATCAAGCCCACCGGGTGGAAAGGTCAAGTTGTAGAGGCATGTAGCTAGTCAATTATGGGATCGATCCAGATTCTTCTCGCTCGCAGAAATATATGGGAGCTACAGAATAAGCCATCTACCTCAGGGCAGCACTCCCTGCCTTCGCGTTAGACACAATAAAATCTGCCGCCTCATCTGCGTCACCCCCATAGCTCAAGTGCGGCGCCAATACTACAGCCTGCCCAGCACATATCAAATCCCCACTGGCACAGATGACCTTCTGATTCCCGACCTGCGCAATGGGCTTCGGATTGTCGGGGTCGCCGAATATAACCGCAGACGAGACCTTCGAAGCGGTGCTGCCGTCCAGCTGCTCCGCGGCGTTATGAACGAGCTGGCCGCCTTGACTGCCCATGAAAATCAGCGTCGGCATGTTCTTCTCGGAGCTGGGCATGTTACCTGTAGCCTGCCATGACAACGTCCGAGTTGGGACAGCTCGCGACGGCCTGCGTGACCATTTGCGCCATCAGTTTGCTCCCACCCGCGTCACCGCCGGCCAGAAACCCGGCCACATCGGCGGGATAGTCGACGCCCTGGAAGTCGACATTGCCAGCGTCCACCTTGTTCTGCAAGGCGGATTTCAGCGGCGGTCCCGCTATCAGGCCGATGGGGGCGGGCTCGGTAGTTCCCCGGGCGAAAATGACCATCATTTGCTTGCAGTCGTCCGTTTGGCGGCTGGTGAGGCCGGTTTGAAGGTCTCGGTTGAGAGGTGCAGCAGACGCCAGCGTCAGCAGTGTGATGAGATGAAAGAGCGGGTCGAAGAAAAGCATTAGTAGAGCAAACCAGTTTTCAGGCTGAGGTTTCTGGCCGAGGTTGGATGTTGAATCTGAAGCGATGCAGCGACCTGCGTATATATGTGCGTTCTACCGCGAAGCTCTACGGGCGAGAAGTACTTCTGACCCCACAACATCCAGCCATGCTGACACCCGATAGAAGTCCAAGCGGCCGACTAAAGAGGTAAGCAGTGCGTGAAACTGCTTCTTCGTGGCGGTGCTTGCCCAGGTCGGCAAGGAGCAAAGAGCCGAGGTATCGATGCTTGTTGGATTTCTGGAACAAGAAGTGTCGTCGGTCGGGTTGCAGATTTTGTATCGTGAAACAGTGAAAATAAGCGTTGGCTTGCTCGAAGCGGCAACGATACGTTCCAGCACTATTGGGTTTCCGCTGCTCTACAGCCACAGGACTTTGCAGTAAAGCACAAAGATAGGCCAGTAATCACATGCTCGATTGAAGAGCAGACGGTTGTTCAGTGCCAATACAGTGGGACGAAAAGCAATCTGGTCGGCAATCGTATTCGCACGAAGGTTCGGTCTCGTGAGACACACGGCGCTTCTGATTCCTACTAGTGCTATCCATGGTTCAAGCGTCGCCGACCGGGAGGGCGCGATCCGGGTGCTTGCCTCGGCCTGGCCCCCGATTTCACCCCAGCAGCTAACAACATCAGTCGTGCATCTCCTCGATTCTCACTACCACATTCACATCCGTCCGCAGTAAGCTAAGCCGAGAGTGATTTTCGCAAATCTATTATGTCTATTCGTACGCCAGCCTGTGGTTGCCCATTGCATACATAGTAGCTCTACCCTTACTACTCCACCAACGCCAAGTTCTCCCAAGAGCCTTAAAGCTATGTTGATCCCATGACGGAGCTGAACTCCACTCAAGTAGCGGCACCCTTGATGTCGACGGTGCTGACAGTCTCACCCGCCACAACACCATCCGAGTTGCCAGACTCACTCTCGTACTCCGCTTTGGTGACTCCAAACTGCTTCAGAACAAGCCAGGCAGGCCAGATAGACACGGCCCACAGGGCAAAATTGAAGTACACTCCACCAACCTCGGCGAACAGCGTCAGAGAAGTCAGCCCGTAGCTTACCGCCTGCCATGCCGACTCGACTCCCCGCAACAAGGCAGCGTATCTGATGACCTCTTCTTCGCCCTCGGCCAGATTGGTGACGATGAAGTACCTTGAGTCTCGTGAGCATTCGTCGAATTTTCGGGGAAAAAAAGGGGGAGCATCTTACAAGAACAGGTAGTTCAACTGGAAGCCGACGGTGAGGAATATGTAGACAGCAAATGCCGCACCGAATCCAGAGTCGACCCAATCATACGTAGGCTTCGTGCGATGGAACCTCGTCACAAGCACGGTTGCCCATGTCCACCACGCACCCTGGAGGACCACGAGGATCCAGAAGGTTGATCGAGAGCGCGTCTTCAGAGCCACTTTGGAACGATCGAGCCAGTGCTGGGGGGAAATGTCAGTACTCTCAGCCTCCAGAAGACGTGGTTGTTTCTCTTACCCCAAGGCCATTACCGCAGATGACTGCAACGATGCCCGACAAGAAGGATCCCAGTGCCCTGGACCGAACAGAGAACCACGCTAACGCGATGTCAGCTTTGAAGACGAGCAACCAGGAGAGCTACGCCCAAACTCACTGGCAAGGTACGTGAAGAACACAGCTTCGGAGAAGACCACCTGGCCGATAAAGAGAACGATGAGGAGGAACTTGGGGGTGAAGAAAGTCCGCGTAGTCGCCTTGATCTCGAACCACGGATGCTCGACAATAGACAGATTGACCTTCTCCCCGTCCTCGCGCTCCACATCTTTCGGCTTGTTCAAGAAAAACGCAACGAACGGGCCGGCAGCCTGCAGCGCAATGAAGACGATGAACACGGTGTACGACACCTTGCCCGCCTTGTTGTTGTCGGCGTTGAGCCCGAGGTTGATGGCGCCGCCGAGGATCTGGCCGCACAGACGGTACGTCAGCCAGTACCCCAGCGCCTTGCCGCGGTTCCACGGCTCGGGATAGGCGATGGCGATGGAGGCCTCGGCCATCCAGAAGACGCCGGCCGAGATGCCGCACAGGGCGGCTCCGAAGAGCATCAGCCACTCGGTGCCGAAGCGGTTGTTGGTGTACAGCCCGGCGGCGAAGGGGGCGTATCCGATGCTGTTGCCGGGATCAGACGGGGAGAAGGGGAAACGGGGGCGGAGGAGGGTGGTAGCTTACGTGCCGAATATGAGGGAGCCCTTGATCCCGACGTAGTGGACGATGACGCTGGAGAAGTAGCAGGAGACAACCATGAGGCAGAAGGTCAGAGCGTTGGCGGCGTTGACCAGCTGCGGTGAGGCGGCGCCTCCTGCGCCCAACGAGTTCATTGCGGTCCAGATGCCAGGTGCTGAGAGGTTGCAGAGGCCGAGGATGGTCATGTTGTAGAAGGTTGAGCGGTGCCATCGCACTGCATGGGGATGCATAAGCGGCTGTTGTCAGAAGGCCTTTGGGTCGGACAACTTACCCGGATAGCGCTCCGCCTGGGAGAGAGCAACGGATGCGTCTTTTACCATTTTGAAGCGTTCTGGTATATCGCTGAACGGCAAAGGTGCATCAATGGTCGTGCTGCTGGCATCTGGACTGGTGAGTCCGTAGGCGACGTTTTATGCACTTGCGATATTTTCTAGCTCAATCACGGCGTTGCAGCCCACAATGGTGTCAGACGAGTAGATCTTTTGCCTAGCGCCTCGTGGGGCTCCCCAGACTCTTTCTCGTGCGAGTGGGTACGTTCACAGAGTCATGTACGGCATTGTGGGAATACGTCTTGGCAGTAAAGACAGTAGATGCATGTCTTTTCACGACCGAAACAGCTAGCTCACCAATCGCCGTGCTTCCTCAACCAAATACGCACGTGGAAATGCTGGCGCGGTCTTATCTTGGAAGCCACTCAACGGGCCGGGGGCGGGGTTGCGAAATTCTTTAGCCGTAGCACGTCATCACGGCCAAACACCCACCAGAATCTGCGGAGCACGATAAGCGTTTCTACTCTGAATGATCCCGATTACTTATCTACGAGACCAATGAGGCATAGAACTGTATTGGCTCCCGGAATTCCACACTGTTGTGAGCCAACCAGATGATGCTCCATAATGGAGTTCTGAGACGCCTCCAAGCCGGACCGTCAGGCTCCAAATTTCCTCAGAAGGCCTTGAGCCCAGGCCTCGCCATGTGGTCCTCGCGCCATCTCCAGAACGCCACAAGAGTAGCGCCCGGCCCAACCAGCACATTCCCAAGCAGCAGCACGACCACGGCCTTGGCCACGGGCAAGCCGACGATTCCCACGCGCTTCATGTCCCAGACGTTCAACGCCAGCCACACAAGCGTAGTCAGCACGACCATGAGCAGGTCGAACTGGAAGAAGATCTTCATGCCCGCCGCAACGGTCGACACGGGGCTCAGCGGGTGCGCGGGCACGAAAGCGCCGACGACGGACGCATCCGGCGACGAGGCCAGCAGCGCGAGCACGGCGACGTGCACGGCAGCGGCGACGAGGAAGAGGACGTCGTAGAGGCGCTTCAGATGCGGCATGTCGAGGTCCTGGTAGTCCTCGACGGGGGCGTCGGCGGCGCTCTTCGCCGGGCGGCTGCCCCCCTGCAGCTTCGCGAGGGCGATGCTCAACGGGCTGACGAGCACGGGCGTCAGCTGCCACAGCGCGATGACTTCCTGGATGTACGGCGACTCGGCGCCCAGCAGGACCATGAGCGCGGACGGGACGAGGAAGCCGAGGAGCACGGACGGGAGCAGCGCTTTGCTGGCCGAGTGCGGGACGCAGCGCTCGGCGGGCATCCAGTAGGCGATGCCCTGCGAGGCGTGGAAGAAGGCCAGGACGTACAGGGGCAGGACGATGGCGAGGCCGAGCAGTTGTGCCAGCGGCGTCCAGATGGCAGGGCTGTGTGGCGGTGCAGCAGTCAGTCAGCGAACGGCACGTACGTTGTTGTTGTTGTCCGGCACATCGCAATGCGGCACTAGGTACTCACCTCCAGAGCAGGGACCAAGTGTTCCTCTTCCGATACGACTCGACCAGCATCACCGCCAGCAGCGGCAAGAACACCGAAACCAAAAAGTACCCAGCCTGCAGCCTGCTCTCCCCGCCGCGGGGCCCCGCACCCGCCACGACAGGCAAGAAGATGGTCACGAACACGCGCGCCATCCTGCCCAGCGCCGACCCCTTCCCCAACCCAAACACCTCCTTCAACCGCAACCCGCCCATCTCCTCCACCGCCCCCCTCACCGCATTCTCCCTCACCAGCCCAAACGCCCCGTTCGCCTTCCCAACCCCAAACAACACGTACCGCCCCAGCGCCGCCATCCCCACCAACCCCGCAACAACACCCCCCACCCTCCCCATCCCCCCGCGCCCCGCCCCCGGCTCCCTCAGCAACTCGTCGTGGTACGGCAAGCGCCGCGGCTTCTGCGGCACCGGCAGCGTGGCCAGGCTCACGGCGCCCGGATACGCCTCGGAGAGGAGGCGCAGCGCGGCGGCGGCGCCCATGCCGGGGTAGACGTAGCGGTTGAGCAGGCGCAGCGGGAGCGTCTCCATGGCGAAGCGGTGCTGCGTCTGCCGCGAGACGGCGACGAGGGCGGCGGCGCGCGGCTGGCGGAGGGATTGGGTGGCGGCGAAGGCGGCGGCGATGGCGGAGGAGGGGATGGGGGAGGACGAAGAGGCGTGGGACTGCAGGAGGGCGTGCAGGTTGTTGGTGAGGGCGGCGCAGGTCTCGATGGCGGACATTCCGCCGAGGCCGATGATGGGGTTGAACTTGTGCACGGCGTCGCCGACGACCATGCAGCGCGGGGAGTGCCACGTGCCCAGGACGTATTCGTGGACGGGGGTGCAGACGGACATGAGCTTGCGCTTGTAGAGGGCGTCGAAGTTGACGGTCGGGGTGATGGCGTCGTCGCGGTGCTGGCGCACGGTTGCGGCCTCGTCCTCGTCGGTGTAGGGCGGGAGGTCGTCGCCGTGGTAGGTGGTCCCGGTGTTGATGAAGAGGCACCAGTACGTGCGGTCGTTGGGGCCGGAGGCTGCGAACAGGGAGGAGCCTATGTTGGTCACGTGGTGGAGTACGTCTTCGGCTATGCCGGGGACTTTCTCTGAGATGCCGAAGAGGCAGCGGTACTGCACCGGAAGCTTGTCTGGAGGGTGGTTAGCTGAGTTCGCTGCTTCGTCGGGAGCGAGGGCACCTTTCGTGGCGGTGGGGTCGCGCTTGCTGTTCGTTTTCCAGATCTCTTTCCCGACGGTGCTGTGGATTCCGTCGGCGCCGATGACGATGTCTGCTGCGAAATGCTCGCCATTCTCGGTGGTGAGCGTGACGCCGTCGTCGCGTTCTTCGACGGCAGTCACTCTCCTGGATGTGAGAACCTTTTCTTTCTGAGCGATGTGCTGGTAGAGGACGTCGATGACCATGCGCCTCTCAAAGAAGATCATCGGGTAGCCATGCCTGCAGAAACGTTCAGCCTTGGTGACGGCACAGGAGTCCCGGCACGAGGCAGCACAAACCTTTGCACCAAGTGGTGGTCCAAGTGCTTCACGTGGGTCAAGACGCGGCCGTCCGAGTCTCGAATTATGAAGTTGTCAATGGTGCAATTGACCCTCTTGAGCAGGTCCTCGTAGCAGCCAAGCTGGTCGAGAACGCGGAAGCCGTTGGGCAGGACGGCGATGCTGGCGCCGACCTGTGGCGCTATCTCCGGGTAGGCCTCGAGCACCACAAAGTCGATGCCGCTCTTTTCCAGCGCGAGCGCCAGCGTGAGCCCTGCGATGCTGCCGCCGACGATGGCGACCCGGAATTTCCTGTCGGCCATGGCGGAGGGACGGGTTCGGAGAGCGGTGGTGGAACTGAACAGCAGAGCGTTGGAGGGTGCGATGCAGTAAAGAACAGAGTTTCGAGTGGGGCTACGAATCTGCAGGTGCGATGCAGGGTAAGTAGTTCTTCACAGCTGATACATATCTCGGATAATACTGTGTACCCTGCCTCTGTCTGTGGCCAATCATTTCGGGATACGGAAGAGGCTAGGTCGATTGCAGTCAAGTCCACTGACTAGAAGCGTGCCCCTGAGTGGTGGCGGCGCCAGGTAGAAGTGGGGCGTGGAGCAACACCAGTAAGCCAGCGCCATGTACGCGGGCTTAATATCAGATGACTCATGATCCCGACCCTCTTGTCCGGTCGGAGAGTGCACCAACATCTCTCGTCAAAGAGCTAGACACCAAAGAACAGAGTCTGTAATCATATCGAGAGAAGCCGGGCTTTGCATGGTTCGTTGCATACAGACGCCTGCCTCCCAGTGCAAACGTCAACACTACTGCAACGACGAGGGTAAAGCCTGGTTTGACATTAATACGCGTGTCCAGAGCACTCTTAAACCTTTTCCCTGGTGACTCTCTTCTTTGCATGCCGGCTTCGCCCTTTATTGGTGTTGATCGTTGGAGAAAGGTGCATCTCCAAGCACAGGGAGGGAAAAAAAAAGCTCGAATGCCACACGATCTGTGCACCGATTAGTCAGTCATATAGGATGCGGGGCGAACACCCAGAGGCTTCGAGAGAAAGATACTATAGTGGACTCAAGTACGTGGAGCCAAAGAAGCCATGCTCGAAGATGAAGAGATGAAGATGATGTCTGAGGAAGGTATTACGGAGCTGGGCCTATGAATAGACAGTGCGTGTGCCAAGAGAGCGGGATCGAAATAAGCTTGACACAGCAGACCCTTCCCCGCACATCCGCACGTCATCACGGGCCAAAGTCCCTTCGGATCAGGGCTGGTAAGAGGGGAAGAACATCAATCCCACAGGATCGGAGTGGTTGCATAAATGTAAAAAAAAAAAAAAAAAAGGAAACGAGGACAACAGACGAAGATGCTCGATGAACCATTTTGATCTAGTATGGCCGATTTCATTTTCTATTCAACGTCAAAAAAGTTTGCGGCATAGAAGCGAGTGTGAAAGACGGTGGGTGGCAAGGCCGAGCAAGATCCGCCTGGTTCCGTCGGCTAAGAAAGGCGAGTGGTGGTTTTGTCTCCACACAAGAAGAACACGAGGATGCACAGCATAGTATTCGGAGACTTTACCATGCCTGAATGATGGCAGATTTAAAATGCCGGAGGCTGAGGATCGCAGCGAGAAGGGAATGAACGCTTAGACGCGGACACGGAGGCGGAAGCGAGCTGGGGCGGAAGAGGACGGACTTCCGGCGGGTGCGGCTCGGACCGGGTCAGCACGGAGAACGATAGCGATGGTCGGGACTTTAGGGATCAAGTACGCTGTGATAACAGATAGCGTGGGGATATAAGCCCGCTTCTTATATGCTGACGCCCTGCTGCTTCGAAAACGTAGGTAGCCAAACGAAGGACAGGCACATCACGGCCGACGACCACTTCTCTCCTCAATTCCGAATCCGTTACGTCATCCACCAACATGGGCTCGCTCCCCAAAGGAGGCTGGAGGCAGCTTGATGTCGGCGTTATTGGCGGTGGCATCGGTGGCATGTCTGTTGCCATCGCCCTGAGACGCGCCGGCCACCGCGTCTCCATCTACGAGCGCAACGACTTTGCAGGCGAGGTCGGCGCATCAGTCTCGTGCGCCGCCAACGGCACGCGATGGCTGCACGAGTGGGAGGTGGACGTGGAGAAGGGCGATCCCGTCGTGTTGAAGAAGCTCATCAACCGCGACTGGAAGACGGGCGAGCCCGTCAGCGTCTACGATCTGGACGACTACGAGGAGCGGTGGGGCTACGTCTACAACATGTTCCATCGCCAGTACATGCACGCCATGCTGAAGGACGCAGCCGTGGGAGAGGCCGGCAAGGGTGAGCCAGCAACATTACATGTCCACCACAAGGTACGTGCCTTGATTGCATCTTGATCCAGAACGAGCAGCCCCTGACAGCAATCAGTGCAAGGACATAGACGTGAGCGCAGGCCGCATCGAGTTCGAGAACGGCAAGACGGTGCAGCATGACCTCGTCATTGGTGCCGACGGCATCGGCTCCGCCGTTCGCGGCCTCATAGGCATCCGCCCGGAGAAGCGTCCCGCCGACTCCAGCTGTCTGCACGCCAACGTCTCCACCGAAGATGCCGTGCGGCTCGGCCTGGTCGACTACTCCAAGGACGCTGCTCTGGAGTATTGGGGAGGTCAGGAGGGCAAGTGGGACAAGATCGTGCTTTCTCCCTGCAACGGCGGCAAGCTTCTGTCGTACTACTGCTTCTTCCCCCGTGACAAGGGCGACTACACCAACCAGGCCTGGGGTGTCGAAGATCGCCCGGTCGAGGAGTTGCTAGCCCCTTATCCCGAGCTTGACGCACAGGTCAAGGCCCACCTCGCCATCGGAGTCGACATTCAACCATGGCGTCTCTGGATGCAGTAAGTCCCTTGACATTGCAACTTCTCATTCATCCTTGAAACTAAACGCCGCAGCGACCCGTACCCGTACATCGCCAAAGGTCCCGTATGCCTGTTGGGAGATGCAGGACATCCCGTAAGCCGCGCCTTTCACGTGCTCGACGCCTTGGTAACTGACCGAAGCTCGACAGATGATGCCCCACCAGAGCCAGGGTGCCTGCATGGCCATCGAAGACGCGGCCGCACTGGGAATCCTGTTCAGTCCGAAGAACTTCTCGGGTGATGTTGCCGAGATGCTCTCCATATACGACGAGGTTCGCCTTCCTCGCGCGACCCGGGTTCAGTCTGCCGCAGCCAAGGCAGCCTACAACATCAACGAGCGTATCGGTTTCTCAAGCAACACGAAGACCGGCACTTACAAGGTCGAAGACGAGAAGGCCAAGTTGACCATCGAGGAGATGAACGCGTACGACATGTACAAAGACATCGACGAGGCAATTGCACGACGGAAGGGTTCCTCCTACACAGAAAAGTGGACAAGGGGACTGCCCTTCGGACTGCAGCTTTCAGGTGGAGTCGTTGTTGGACCAGTATGAGACTGTGTAATCAAGCGATGCAGGACTTTTGTATTTCAAGCGAAGAATGTATATCCAGGCATGTGCTTCAGTTTTTCGTGAGGGGTTGTTCTCGGCGTCTTTCGTAACCACTATGACACAATAAACATCCCGCAGTTGGGTGAGCTCCAACGGCGAGCATCTACTGTGGCTTCGTGCAAGGAATATTGAAGAATGGGTGCGAGATGATTCTTGATAGGATCCATGTGGGTTTTTGTAACATAATGATCTATTCATAGATCACTCCCCCAAAGAAAAAAAAGCAATCAAAGCGCTGCGGCAGCCTGCGCCACACCCGTTGATCAGCGATGCCTCCTGCTCCACACTCATTGGGGGCCAGGAACCATTTTGGTAGATTTTTGGAAACAGATCGTTACCATTTCCGCGTGCTGAATGAGCTTCGACCCTCAAACTCCTCTCGTAGATTGAAGAGACGGCTGCATTGGTACGTAAAGGGGATTTCTTGTCGGCAACACCTTTCTGAAAACGCAATGATGCATTCGACATGCTGAAACATGACGATGCGACAGTCTTGTCGTTGTTGCTTCCATGTAAGTGTTCTCGTATTCAATTCTGAAAGTCTTGTTGGGTGGGACACTCGATTTGGGGGCGGATTGCACACTCGGGCCGCACATCACTGCAGAAAGCGGACCGGACCCCACATCAGCAACTCGGATAGTCAGGCTGTTCCCCACGGGTGAACATCATATTACGCTCCTTTGCTGATCGTGGTATTCCTGATGCAGCAACAGCAGCATAAGCTGAAGTGAACATTCCCCCATAATTCCTTTCAGCATGCAATGTTGGTTCAGCAGTACAGCCGTGCTCGGGAGGTGCTCAGCCAGAGACTCTAAAGAATGAATGGGTCGATGCATACTTAAGAGATGCGAATCTGCTGCCAACCCATCATCATCAAACAATCAATCCCAATCAACTAAACACACATCCGCCTCTACACAAACCACACCTCTGTTCCAACCACATCTCGCTTCTTGACCCTCAAAATGCACGCCGTCAAGAGCATCTGCTACCTCCTCTTCGCCGTCAACGCCGCGGCGATCCCCATGAACCAGACCCTCGGTCTTGAAGCCCGCGACAAGGTACCAGCCCCCACTCCACACCCAAGTCCCCCGCAACTAACGACCCCAGACCCTCCTCTGCCGCAACACCAAAGGCGACGTCAAGATCAGCCAAGGCAAGGCCGAAGGCAACATCCACGCGGCGCCGGTAGTCGATCCGAAAGTCAAGAGCCAGAAGCCCAAGTCGGGCTACCCGCACGGCTACGGCAACAACGACGGCATCAAGTGGCCCAACAGCAAGTGCAACGACAAGAACGCCGAGCTGCTCGAGTTCCCCGTCTACGCCGACGGCCACCTCTTCCCCTACAACGAGAAGAAGACGAACCTCGACCCCGGCATCGCCCGTGGTATCTTCACTTACCCCAGCAAGGACTTCTGTGGTGTCATGGCGCACAAGGACGGGAACAGTGGGCCGTTTGCTCTGTGCGAGTGAGGGGCGAGTGGGCTACTAGATATTAGAGAGGCAGAGCTGGGCTGACAAGATGCGGTATGACCGGCTGGAGTTATTTATTTGTTTAGCGCACTGGTCGCATCGGACGGAGTATGGCTGGGTTCAATTATTCCTTTGCATGTAGCGGCAATATCAGGAACTTGGCGCTGTGGGAATTTCCAACGAAATGCGCTCTGGCAGTAATCGCTATGAAGCAGAAAATTAATATGCGTCTCATTACAATACATGGCTAGTAAAATATCCTGCTTGGACATCCTATCTTCGTAGGAATCTCAAGCTCCCCGAGGAGTGAATGTGCAAGTAAGGACAGAGTTGTTGATCGTCGGGTAGCTTTAGTACGCATCGCCGGGCAATTGCGGCGTGCGGAGGTCATGAGGCTGGATCAGCATTACAACAAAGCACCTTTCTGTTCAAAGCACTCATCTACACATTCATCCGAATCCTCGCCCGCTCAATCGATGACCCCCCTCCAACATTTCAAATCGACAACGCTACAGTAGGGCTGATTGAAGCTTACTAATGAGAAACCGATATTACTACTTTAGCAGAAACCCCTCTCGCCATGGACTTCCCTTACACCACGCATCCTTCCTAATCTTCCCAACGCCACATCTCTCAACAGCCCACACTCCACCATACTTCTTTACCCGCTTTATTGCCATGATGTTGTAAAGGGTATATCCCATAGCCTCGACTCTCTTCTCGCTTCCAAAGAACTGGCTTTCCGAGAGCAAAACAAACTGATACCGGCACCCAACCGTAGAGCTCGTGCCATGGATCCTGACGTAGCCAACTTTGGGCGCGTCTGCATCCGATCTGACAGGTTGCCACTGTTCTTCCCTCTCCTTGACGGGGCCACCCTTGACCCGCCACCTCACCGTCCGCGCTTCAGGCTCCCCGACGACGAAATCCGCAACGGTGCTTTCAAAGCAGATGGAATTGCTAAAGGAACCAATATCCGTCATATCCAGCTTCTTCTCGATCCTCACAAGCTGTCCTTTGGGAAGCTTTCTGGCCTCCCAGTCGTGTGGGACCAGATCCGAAACGGAGAGCGGCTCGAGTAGTCCGATGGGATGGAAAGCTGCGTCTGCGTCGACCCTGTAGAAGAAGACCAGTGGTCGGACACGCTCGAGGCCTTCTTCCGTGATTGCCTGAACGAGGGCGCCGTTGTCGCTGGTGTGGATGTCGAAAGTGTTGTCGTAGCGTACCTTTCCTGTCCAGCCCGCCCAGGACCAGCTGGGAAAACCATCGCGGCGATGAAACTGACTGAGATCGTGTGAAACAGGCTGCCATAGCAGCGATACGTCGAGGAGGTTCTTTGGTAGGCCAGATATGAATTCGCATTGGAAGGCGCTCGAAAATTCCTTGAATATGGCCGTGAAAGCCTTCAGACAGTCTCGCTCCTTTTTCAATGATCTACCAGTGTACTGCTCTACCAGCATCGCGTAGATCTTAAATGTCTTCGAACGGCGGTAGAATCCTCGGCGGGTTATTGGTAGGACGCTGTACCTGTCAGGTATGCTGAGCTCCTGGAAGATGGGCTGAAGGAGCGGTTTAATCTGGTCCGTCCCCGCAGCCAGATTGGTCATGTCTTCACGCGCAATGCAGCCTCGACAATGCCACACCATGTACCCCTCGCTGAAGACGAGCAGTCTGCGTGACAAGACTTTTTCCTGGAACGTCCATCCTCTTGCTTCCCACGTCGACAGGTCCTGTTTCACCGAGATTGGAATCAGCCCGCGAACTGCCGGCATCTGGGCAATCTCACTGAATATCTGGCTGTCGAAAGACTTGCGGTAAGTGTGTTCAGTGACGCCTGTGATGCCGCTCCAAGCCGTTTGATCTACATCGGCAGCTACCAATGTAACCGCGGCAGACTTGTAAATGATATCCGTGTGGGGGATCTGACCAGACTGGTCATGGTCATCGTTCTGAACGATGCACCAGGTGTCGACCCAGAGATATTTCAAGCCAAGACTGCGGGTGATGTGGATGGCTGCGGATATCGTCTTCGGCAAACCTTCCTGGACAAAGCCACCCACCCGGTACGACTGCTGCACATTTCCGCGTTCGAGTACTTTGTTTTGCTCTCCTCCCCACACGTAGGAGAGCGCGGCATACTGAGGAAGCGACTGTGCGTCGAAATTTTGGAGTCGAGAGTGCTGTAGGTCGATGAGGCGAAGGAAATGACCACCGAAGATGGGTATCGGAGACGCTCTGAAAATCTCCCCACCGCAAGTAGATGCGTGGTCTCTGACACAGGCGGTAAGCAATACACTAGCGAGCTCGAGATTAATCCTGGGCTGGACTTGGAGAGCGTAGTCCCAGTCCCGAAGATCTTCAAGTTGTTTCTGGATCCTGATGTTGAAGTTCCGGAGCACGCTCAAGGACGCGCGTGGCTGCCTTCCCCTCGCACATACCTCAATCTTGATCGACCCGCGCGAGACGGTCCCAACAATCCAACAAGGCAGGTTGGTGGCCTTGCCCGATTGGTACACGGCAGTCGTCCACATCATACCCTCTGCCGCCTCGGCCAACATCACATTTCCCTCTGATTTCCCCCCTCCGGCTGCCAAACGTCCCGCCTTAGTAGCTGCTGCGCCCGCGACCATCATTGCAGCAACGTCATTATTGTCACTTTCCAGATGTTTCATCTCCTCCCGTCCTTTTTCGATAATCTCTCTCACAGCCTCTCGCGTCTCGGGAGGATTCTTGCTATGTCCAAACGGCCATATCTTTTCCCCCTTTGTCAGAAGCCGGTTGTTCCACTTGTATTTTGTTTCGACCCAGTGCCGGAAAGACATTCGTTTGAGATCGTCTTGGATGAAGTCCTGGATCTTCTCCACCTTGAGCGGGTCGTTGAGCTCCGTCGAAAGCGCATCGAAGGCCAGCCTGCAGAAGTTGCAAGAGTCGCGCTGCAGGATGACATGGTTGATGGGCCAGATGAAGTCAAGTTTCTTCTTCGGCGTCGCTGTGCCCGCCAGGCTGAAGTTGAAATCGATTATACTGCAGGCGGTGCACAACCTTTTGACTTCTTCGTGAGACAGTTCGGCTTTGATGGCGCTGGTTCGGTCCCTGACCTGCTTCCATGATTGCTGGACATGAATCGTGGTTATTGACACGGCGTTCTGTATCGAAGTCATTTTGAAAGTTGAGGTAGAGGAGTGCAAGTAGAAACGACTCGGGGAGTCTCAGATAGGCTTTCATACATCAGCGATGCTTATTTCGAGGCTGCACTTCACTCCAAGCGCTTCGAGTCAAGGCTGCAAGTCAGATGGATTGTGGTGCACATGGTCGCATCATCCTGCCACAGCATCTTCTCTAATCATACACGATTGGAGTCTTGTGTGACACAAGGCTGTGTAACAAGGCATATACCTGGCTTAAATCTCTTCCAATACACCATGTGATGCTACGGGAGAAGCCAAGGCTTACGCAGTGACCACGGAATCGGCATGTTACAGCAAGACCTCGCCCAAAGCCTTGCTCGTCAGCCGGGCAGACGATAGGCCGATCACCGGACCAACGGCTTCATGGTCGCTCATACACCAATGTGATGTATGATCTGCACTCCATGGGGGCCAGAATGATCAGTGGGCGCAAGGCTGAATACACAAAAGCCGCGCCAAGACCTGACAAATTCAACAGTCGTGGCTCCTACCCAGCCTTGCGTTGCTACCTAGCCAATGGCACAGAGATGATATGGAGAACGATGATTAATCATACAGCTCTTCGTCCCAGCACATCACTCCTTCGCTACAGTGAAGAATTAAGACTTGCTTCGAGTTAAGGTAGTGCGGATTGCAGTGGTGCAATGCAAAGAGCTATACATATCCGGAGTAGACGTCACAGCATGAGCTAGAACCTAGTTCCCGTTGTCGCACGAAACACAGCCACCACTAACGGCGGAGAAGGATCACACCCAGGAATAGGCAGCAAAGTAGTACAGACCCCGCACTACACCGTCACGCACGGATGATTTGCCACTCATGATACCGCATGTCTACATTCTTGGGGAGCAAGCATACGCATGCGCTCTCTCGTCCTCGCTGTGGTGGCACCCGCCTCGCATCCGAGTTCAAGGCCGATCAGACGGACTTGGCGCAACCTTCCGCCCCCACACTGCGAGTCTACGTGGTGATGTCCCACAGCTCAGGCTAGACTTGTCCGAAGGATTGCCAGCCCCATACCATGCGCTTACTGCGCCCGCATGTTCTTTATCCCTGCAGCCGCAGTCCTATTAATCTGTCCCAATCCCACGGACCTTTCTACTCTCACCCTTCAGCCTTGCGTAAATTTGCCAGGCTCATAGCCAGATTTCTCGGCACAGAACTCGTATAGCGTCATGCATCGTTCGAGGAAGCCGCATCACGCTGAGATGCAGTCTGTGTCTCACGGCTCCCTTGAAGAGCCATTCCTTCAGGAGGAAAACAGTATGTCGGCACTGTATCCAACTTTTTCGCGACTGATAGCTCAGCAGTCATAGCAAAGCCACCTTCAAAGCCTCCAAAGATGTCCCGTGCCGACTGGCCCACATCACCAAGCACACTCAAAGATTCGTCTCCATCTACTTTTATGCGTCTGCTACCCAGTATACTCCTCTTGTTGATTCCACTGGGCTTCTATGGTATCCTCTACCGCCACTTAGCGTCGATGGTTGAAAAATAACATTGGATATAGCGTTAGGCGTATTTATTCTCAGGCTAAACGGGCAACCCGAAAATCCTGAATACGATGTGGGCGATAGAGTGATACAGGCAATAAAGGTTGCTTCGACATTATGGCCTATTCTTTTCGCCGCCGTAGTGGGCGCCATGCTCAAAGCTGCTGCGTTGTACTATGCCGAAAGGGGAACCATGCTCGGGGTAGGCAGTAATGTTCCTCTTCATCCGAGCTCATACCACTCTGACCGATGAACAGACTCTCGAAATCCTTACTACCAGCCAAACTTTAGTCAGCACATTTCGTGGATGCTTCAGCCACCGCATCTTCGGCATTTGGACGGCTGTTCTCGTCGTAATATGGAGTCTGAGCCCCGCCGGTGGACAAGCAGTACTTCGATCCGTGGAGCCTGAAGTGCATAAACAGCATCGCGACTATCCTTTGTCGTATTACCCGTCCGGGAGTCTCTTTGATAACATGGCAGCTTCGCCATTCGTGGGGGCTTCGGGATCGACGTGGGCCAAAGGCAAATTGCACCGAGCAGTCGATGCCGCCATCTCCTCTCTCGATGCTACGGTCTTGTTTTCCAAAGGCACGAGTCCAGGGTTCGACGCCGCAGTCCAAAGGTTAGGAGGGGAAGAGCAAGCTGCCCAATCTGCACAGAGTGACCCTTGGGGAAATGTTCGGATCCCGTTTCTCCATCTGCTGCCCGGATACAACGAGGAAGACAGGGGCGCGTGGATTGATGTTTCGCAAACTGAAATAGCTCCATACTCGTCCCTGATCGGCCATACGATTCGCGGCGTACCACAGTCCTCTGTCGGCAACATCAGCCTATCTTTACAAACAGTCTATCAGACCCTATCTGCAAGTCCCCAGAACCCGTTGATGACCCAAGTGAGCCTTTTGGTTAATACCTCTTCTCAGTGTTCCCCTTGGTTCAACGGCTCGCAATGGCTCCAGCAAAACCCAGGCAAACTCACCATGCACAAAAGCACCAACACGTCAATCTTCACAGAAAACCCACTAGCCGGCGACTACGCCAACATATTCTTCGACATCCTCCAGCAAGCGAACCACTCGGAGCCCACCCCCTTCAGCATCCCCACCAACCCCGTCGACAAAGCCATCCTCGTCTTCGGCACGCGCGGCAGCACCGCCACAAACATGTACTCCCAAATCCGGATGACGCACTGCCCCGTATCAGCCACATACGTCGAAACCGAAGTCCTCTGCACGCGCAGCACCCGCGGCGGCGCGCTTCCCTGCTCCGCGACGCGCATGCGCGCCACGCCCTTGCACACGGCGGCGTCCAACTGGTCGTCGCTGAGCCTGCGGGCCTCCTTCACGGGCAACTACCTGATGTACATCCCGGACACGATCCAGTCGGCGCACCCGGTGACGCCGACGGGGCTGGAGTCGTACCTGCAGGACCCGCCGACGTCGTTCCAGGACGACGGCTTCGACGTGGCCGACTACGACGGCGTCCCGCTGCCCGTCTTCGAGGCCCGCCTCGCCCTCGTCGTCAACACCTTCTACCACGCCTCGCTCAACGCGAGCAACTTCCTCGGCGCCGACGGCGTCGCCCGCTACGTCGTCGAGCCGTGGTACTATGCGAACCAGTACGGCAACGCGTCCGGCACGTGGGAAGAGTACACGGCCCCGCGGTACGAGGTGAAGCCGGCGTGGTTTGCGCTGTACCTTGCCGCGACGACGGTGCTGGCCGTGTGTGCGGTCGCGACGGTGGTTGTTGCGGCCGTGACGAGGGCGCCGGATGTGTTGGGCGGGGTGTCGGGGTTGACGAGGGATGCGGCGTACGTGACGGGCGCGCCGGCTGGGGGGAGCGGGGTGGCGGCGGCGGAGAGGGCGAGGGCGCTGCGGGGGGTTTGGGTGAGGATCCAGGACGTCAAGCCGGAGGAGGAGGTGGGGCGGATTGCGTTTAGTGATCAGAAGGACTTTGCGGGGGCGGCTGGCGGGTTGCGGTGGGAGAGGAGGTACGAGTGATGGGGGGATGTCTGACGAGACTTCTTTGGTATGGGGTACAACGATTCAGATACCGCTAATGGTACAAGCGGGCTTTGGGGCTTTCTACATATTTTCTGAGTTTGGCGTCGAACAGTCTCGGTCAGTAATACTTGCCGACGAGTCCTGCCTTTTGTTGCCTTTGCTATACTGGTTGTAGGAGGTATCACCACAGCTACCACGCTTTCATTCAAATTCCCTTCCACCATGGTCGACACGGCAAAAGGGATCCAGGATCTGAGATTCTGAACTTAGAGCCACCCTAAACCATTTCCCCAAAGCAACTTTAGACTCCCTGTAACAATCTATTCTTGAGAATACCAGTTTAACTAAAAACCTATCTGACATGAGTTTGATGTGTCCGAGCACTTGCCAAAGGTGCAAGAAAATAGATTCCAATTTCCCGACCAATCATAAGTGGATGCTCAAGAGGCGCTCGAACTCATCTGTAATCGCTTCTCGCTCAAGCGACCTCCCAATCGTACAATAAGAGCTGTCAAAGTGAGATGAACTGGCCGCTGAGCTGAATGAAAAACCGACAGATCGCAAACCAGAGACTTTGAGGCCATTGCCCACCCCTCCTAGACACATATGCCCATGTACCTGCGCAGCCCATAAACGTCTGGTGGGTGGGCTCGCCAGGCTCCCTTGGTGCGTGGGGTGTTCGCTCGGTTTCCCGGCAACCAAACAATCGATCGAAGCACTGGATGTACGAATATACTTTCTTAGTTCTTTGCTGATCTATTAAGTCGGCTTTGTGGTCCACCGATTGTTGGTACTATGTATTGGGCTAGGTAGGTAGTCTCGGTGGAATTTCGTTGTTGCTCCATCAGAGCTCGGCCTCGGTTGCCAAAACCTGCTCAGAAGCGAAGATCAGCCCGAAAAGGAGAGGAAGAGGAAAAAAAGGAAATGGCGTCTTAGACAAAGGACGTCGATCATCTAGAGATGCCGCCCTCCCCAGTGGGTGAACAGCTCGGAAGATGCATGGGCTCGGTGGAAGCTGACCAGGCAGGTGTTTTATAGAAACTGGCGAAGAGTGATGAGTATACACGGGCTATGCCGAGACGCGTGGGCCTGAAGCTCCACAGGCATGAACGACCTCCACTCCGAAATTGGGTTACAGCTTGAGTGAGTCCACAACCAGTCACGGGATAGGGGTTCGGTAAGCCCGCTGCAATTGTCACTTCGCCACCAGCCGACGAGCACCACGGATCGAGATGGTGGACTCTGCCGCTCGCCGTTACCGGGCTGAGGCAAGCCGGAAGAGGTAAGAAAGAGTGCGCGGACTCTCAGCTGGGAGGCGGGCCGCAGCCCGACTCGGTCCGACCAGTGTTCGTCACCTCATGCTGCACAGACTGCAACACAGCAACGTTGTTCCCGGGCTGCATTTCCGGAGTGCCTCCCCGGACCTCGTGTAGATCTGAAAATCATCGATGAACGGGGTGGGGAAGCTGATCTCTTAGCCTTAACCACGAGGCGACAGGCAAGCTTATCGCAATCTTGCGTATCGTCAGTCGATTATTGTGGGTTGGCCGTCTTGGTCGGCCTTCGGATTTCCCACGCGGATTTCACTAGGTAATCTACAGGAAACGGCTGATGCCATAAATCCTGAACGCGTGAGAATCCTCCACAGCCTCCCTGCCCTATGCGAGGCGAGCGTTGGCTCTGGTCGGCCCGTCGTTAGAGTAGTGTGCGCGCGTAATTGCTCCAGTCTAGCCCTGCCGAATTTTCCGTGCTCCCTTGCAGCCAATCAGCGCCCATTTCTTGACAAAGTGGCAATGAATCGCGGAAAAACAACCAGCTTGATCTTCAGGCCCGAGCCTGGAGGACGAACCGCTCGCCGAAAGAGGCAGCAGAACCGCTTGCCGCGTCCCTTCTGAGCCCCGAGCGCCGGCAATCCTCCCGCCGCGAGACGATAGTAGGGCCGTAGCCAGAACCGCATGCACCCAGCCTAGGCCCACAACATCCCCGAACACTGTCCGGAATACTTCCCCATGGACCCTCTTGTGTTCTCATAAACCCCTGCCCGGCATGACAACCAGGGCTCGGACACTGGCTGACGGTCCACTCCGCTCTTTTCTGTCTCTCAGACCCCGTCTCTCGTTCTTTTGATCCAATTCCGTCACCAGTATGGCCGAAGCATCGCAGACGGATATCAAAATCGCCTGCGTGGCCGCCGGCTTCACCATTGGCTTCGGCTACCTGACAGCATGGGATGCTTGGAAAGTCACGAGCTCGATGCGCAACCCGCTGCGCAACCTGTTCGTGTGGATGGTCTGGTCCGAGTTGGTCGTCAACGCTGCCATGGGCATCATCGCCTGGCTGTTCCTGCTCGGCTACATCAAATCCGCCTTTGGCACATACTTCTCAATCGGTACGCATTGGCTCCCTCTCCGCCAACCCGCTGCCCTGCTGACCGCCGTCCAGTCATCCTCTGGGTCATTGAGATCCAGTTCATCCTCCAGATCATCATCAACCGCATCGCCATCATCACAACCGACAAGTCCTTGCTTCGGAAGATCCGAATCACGACAATCTGCTTCATCACCCTCATCAACATCTCCGTCTTCTGCATCTTCATCCCCGGCCACCTGGGCGTCAACGACACCTTTGTTCGAATCAACAACATCTGGGACAAGGTATGTACACTCCACCCTCCCCACGTCCGCCCCACACCAGCTCACCAGGACTAAACCCCCACAGATCACCAAAGTCCTGATCGGCGCCAACGACGCCGTCCTCAACTGGTTCTTCATCGTGCAAGTCAAGAAGCGCCTCGTCGCCAACGGGCTCCAAAAATACAACCGCCTCGCCGCCTTCAACACCCGCATCGCCTTGATCTCCGTCGGCATGGACGTAAGCCCAACCCCCCACCCCCCCTCACATCTCCCACCCCCACGGCCCGCACCGCGCTAACACATCTCCCCCCTCTCCCCACAGTTCCTCATCATCGGCACCATGTTCCTCAAAAACGGCGCCGTCTTCCTGCAATTCCACCCCGTCGCCTACATCGTCAAGCTCAAGATCGAGCTCTCCATGGCCAACCTGATCCGGCACATCGCGCAGGAAGCCGTGCACGACATCGGCGGCGGCAGCGGCAGCGGCAGCGACGGCAACAAAAACAACAACAGCCACCACCACTCGAGCCTGGTGCGCGACCGCCGCGAGTTCGGCGTGCCGGGGCAGACGCGGCACAGCGACGTGCCCATGAAGAGCGGGTCGCACGACCACGCGCTGCGGGAGCTGGGGCGCATCACGCAGAAGCGCGAGTATACGGTTGAGGTGGAGAGGGCGCCGGCGACGGGGCCGGGGTCGGGGCCGCGTGGGCATGGGCGTGGCGGGTGTGGTGGTGAGGGGACGGGGAGGAGTAGTAGTGCGTCGACGAATGATTATGGGCCGACGAAATGCGATGGGGCGTCGGATGAGACGCCGCTGCATTGGTAGAGAGAGAGAGAGAGAGAGAGAGAGAGAGAGAGAGAGACGGTCGGTCGAGGCGGTTGGATGGCGACCATGGACGGCGATACCCCGAGATTCATTCACTTTGTTGGCCTTTGTTTAATTTTTTTTAATGAGCGAGTGGTGCAGAGCCGTAAACTTCTCCCGGAGCGAGGTGCGCCCCTTTTTTCAAAGTATACCTTTTCGGATATACGGGCACGAGGAACCTTTTCTTTCTCCATATGTAACGATTTATGCTAGACAAGCAATATCACTATCCATTTGCTAAACAAATTACCGAGCGATGTGAGATGATGAAATAACATTTCGAAAATGCGGTACCGCGTGTATAAGTTCTTCAATTTCTGAAACCCAAAGTTTGGGAAGTGAAACCTCTTTTCCGTAGATATCACAAGCAATCTTGACGGAATAGATCTTTCTTCAATGCCGACCAATGCTTAACAAGTATACCTCTGCGGCTTTGGCGATTCGTCTTGCTTCCTTCGTCCTTGGGTATCTCCAGTTCGAAAAATCGCCTCATCTCGTTTTGCCAGTCTCCTATCTGTTTTTTCTCATTTCCGACCATCACGGATCCATTTTTGATGTCCATCTTCGCGATCATCGAATTTGTGCCTGGCCACTCGACGATATCGTGATCACGGCCGCAGATCATGCTCTTCAGTACTCCACCAGACTTGACGTCGTTTCAGCAGCCCTCATCCATGAATGTCCAGGGACAGTCCTTACACCAGCAAATCCGCGCAAATTTCGGGATGGTCACTTGACATCCGTGACAGGTGAACGTTCCCTGATCCATTTCGACAAGCGAGAAAGCTGCTCTTGCATCCTCAACATTATTCAGCCTCATCAGACACGATCCTAAAGTGAAGTATGCAATCCCATCGTTCCAGGGAAGCTCATCCGTGAGCATCTCGAACGCTGCCCGAACAAGGTCGCCATAGCTTTTTTGCGTCCGACAAGCGGTTACAGGCTAGGTACAGGCGGCACATTTTGGTCGCCTGTGTCTGTGATAGAGGTGAATAGGGGCCGTTTTCTCCATACCAATCGTGTAGATGCTCTGCTTGGTGCGTCAGGTTATCGATCTGTGTCTGGTTATTTGGATATGACCGGAGAATCTGTATGTAGCCCGCTATTCTGATCGGCGTGCAGTGCGCGATCAACCGACAGGTGAATCTGTTCTGAGGTGGCGCATTGATTCCAAAGTCATCGTGACTGTTCATGTTCAAGAGCTGCCACGCAGATGCCGCCGTAAGAAGGGCATTCAGCATCTTAGTCAATGTCATAGTGCCGCAATATTTTGAAGCGCCCTTCTCCATAGCATTGCTGAGCGTGTTTGTACCGTTGTCGTCTCAGTGATCTTGTCGGGGTTGATCTGTTCGTAGACACACCAGTGTGGTTGTATGTAACGAAGCAGCTGTTTCCTAGCAAAAGCACCTCGTCGCCAGTGATGGGCCATTGAAGAAGTCATGGCCGGTGGTTGCTGATAGGCGGGACGGAGGGCGGCGGCGAGGCGGAGGCTGGCTGCGGACTTGGGCGCACGGCGGAGCTCTGAGCCCCGCGCGTCGGGCCGTGTGGGACGTGGGGTCGTGATGGGCCGGGGACGGATGGTGGATGCGGAGAGGAGAGACCCAGAGGGGCTGTTGTAACGCGAGACGCGCCGGCGATCCGGGGCATTCTTACCCCATTCGCCCGTTTCCCCTCGTGGCCGCAACCGCCGTGCAGGCGCCACGACCTGGCCGGCCACATCATCTTGGGGGTGCTAGTGGCAGCTTCCCCACCGCGGGGATTCCATCCTCCTGCAGTCCAAGTCCAGGACGCTTGTCCGGCGCGGAGGCGGCGGTCGTTCAACCCCACCTCCACTAACAACATGGCCCCATGGGCCGTGTGACGCCGTCAAACCGCAGCTATATGAACAGCCGCGCTCCCAATTGACTCCCAAACACCCCTCCCTTGCACGTACCAAGACCACACCACGCTCCCACGCTCTCCCACCACGTCGCCAACCCCGCTCTCACTACTAAGAACAACTGTACCGCAACCATGTCGGCGACAGGCGCCAACAAGCGGCCAGAGCCGCGCAGGCTCGCCATCGGCGTGGTCGGCATCGGCCGCATCGGGCGCCAACACGCGCTCAACGCGCTGCACAACGTCCACCGCACCAAGCTGGTCTGCGCCTGCTCGCCCGCCCCGGCCGACCTGGAGTGGGCCGACGAGGCCCTGATCCCGTACGGCGTCAACGTCTACCCGTCGTTCGAAGAGATGATCGCGGAGCCGGGGCTGGAGGCCGTCATCATCGCGTCGACGACGCTGCTGCACTACGAGCAGGTGGCGACGTGCATCAAGCGCGGGCTGCACGTGCTGTGCGAGAAGCCGCTGTCCATGTCGGTGGCCGAGTCGCAGGCCATTGTCGACCTGGCCTCGCAGCCCGAGTACCGCCACCTCAAGGTCATGACGGCCTTCTCGCGGCGCTTCGACGACTCGTACCTCAACGCGGTGGCGCAGATCCGGGACGGGCGCATCGGCACGCCCGTCGTGGTGCGCAGCGAGACGCGCGACAAGTACGACGACAGCGAGTTTTACGAGCGCTACGTCATGGCGAACCCGGGCATCTTCATCGACACGGCCGTGCACGACATCGACCTGACCTTTGCGTTCCTGGGCCCGCACCTGCGGCCCAAGTCGTGCCACGCCATCGGCACCATCGCCCGCCACCACAAGCTGGCCCAGATCGCCGACGTCGACAACGCCACGGGCTGCGTCGAGTGGTACCCGCCGGCCCCCGGCGCCGTCGCCCCCATCTCCTACTACTTCTTCAGCCGCATCATGCACCACGGCTTCGACAACCCCACCGAGATCATCGGCACCGACGGCGCCCTGAAGATCAACCTGCACCCACGCCGCGACCTGATCGTGCAGGCCAACAGCAACGGCATCGGCAACGACGTCATGCCCGACTTTTACGAGCGCTACGAAAAGGCCTTTGTGACGGAGCTGCGCGTCTACGCCGACGCCGTGCTCGACGGGAAAGAACTGCCCTACCCGCTGGGCGTGGCGGTCAAGGGCATGGAGATCGCGTCGGCGCTGCAGGAGAGCCTGCGGACGGGGAAGAAGATCGAGTGGGACGAGGCGGGCAACAGGATAGGGTAAGTCGACGCTCGCGGTTCTCCCTCAACCCCCCCACTCCGCACTGATCTATGAGTGACGTGTGTGTGGTGCATGAAGAAAAAAGGAACCATCCCATTCAATGATGCATCAGCACCAACATTCTCGCCATAGTCGTCCCCTGCTTTCCGTGCCGTCCATCAGTTTCGCCCAGTTTTACTCGTCGTATATCAAAGTCGTGTCGTCAGCTTACGGTAGTCCAGTTCCACAGACGCGGCTGCGGTCAAATCAAACATTTGAGCCCAAATAGACGAGTAGAAAAGTTGATAGTGTTTCATTCCGCCTGGTATCTCAACGTGACCACCCGTTGCCTGAACGCCTGCAATGCTCCTGTAGTGATAACATGTCATGTCGTGCCCTCTGTTCAGCGCTTGGCGTGGGCGGGGATGTTGAAGCCACGCGTCATGAAGTCGCTGTTCTTGCCGGGCTCGTTCTTGTCCTTCCTGAACAGGCTGCTCAGGTTCTCGTTGTTCTCAATCTTGCGGCGCTTGTTGCGCTCCTCCTGCTCGGCCAGGACGCGTGCCGTCAGCGACGCCGTGGCCGAGTTCTTGATGCCATCGGCCGCGGCCGCCGCCTTCTTCTTCTTCTCCTTCTTGGCCGACGCGTCGGCGTCCTTGTCGTCGCCGTTCTTCTTGCGCTTCTTGCCGCCGGGCGCCTTCTTGAGCGAATGCGTCAGACCCTTCTCCCTGAGCGTCTTGACCCGGAGCTGGAGACGGACGATGTCCTCCTCGGCGGTCGGCACGATGGGGATGACGTCGTTCGGCGCGTACGGCGCGTTGCACTTGGGACCCGTTAGCCAACCCACCCCTCAAACGTGGTACAACGCAATGCCGCAGGGGGAAGAAAAAAACCAACACCACTCACCGTCAAACACACGCTCTCCCCACCCGCCTCCTTGATCACCTCCCCCTTGAACGCATGCCCGCACGGCACCAGATACACGGCCTTGGACCCAGGCCCCAGCCTCTCCCTCGTAATCGGACACACCCAAACCTCACCGCCACCGGCCTCCTCCTTCGCCGCCACCTTCTCCCCCTCCCCCTCGCTCCGCTCCTCCCCCTCGCCCTCCCCCTCCACACAAAACCCCACCTCGACCACATCCCTAATCCCGGCGACCGCCCCCCTCAACACATCCCTCTCCGCGTCGTCGCGCTTGCGCAGCGCGGCGACATCGTCGGCGTCGGCCAGCGGCAGCAGGTGCTCGATGACGGCGTCCTTGTTGTAGAGGCGGCCGGCGGCGTCGGCGACGACGGGCCGCGCCAGCGGCCGGTTCGACAGCGGGCACGTCGTCCAGCGGTGGTGCTCGGCCTCGGCGGCGGCGGCCTTGAGCTCGGCGGTCGAGGGCGTGCGCGCGGCGGCTTTGACGAGCTCGCGCCGGGTGGGGATGGAGCCGCCGTCGTTGCCCATGGTTTTTCGTTGTGGATGGGCGGTTGTGGTGGTTGTGGTCGGTGGTGAGAGAAGTGGAGGGGACGGGGACGGGGAGGAAATACGGTCGGGGAGGCAAGCGCCGGGAGAAGCTCGGGCCGGGCGGGTGGGCGGCGGACGATTGCGTCATGTGCTGGCGCGTGGATATCGACGCGACGCGACGCGACGCGTAGGATAAATGGGAGCTGGAGGAAGGTTCGCTAAGGACACGTTCTGAGATTCATTACGCACTTTTGGGGACCCAAGCAACAGCGTCTTCTCTTGTTTCATCCCCGGTCCCTGACGAATGATCACTCGACTAGCTCACATCACTAGCTACCGGAATATCTGACCAACCTTGTCTTCTGGCTCACGAATTCCTGAGAAGCTTCCCAGGGCCATGTGACGACAGCGCCCACGACGGTCAGGTATTGTTGCTGTAATCGACATGAAACCCCTCGTCCAATCAAACCGGGATGCAATCCTTCCCGGTGGGGGCCGGGGGGACTGCATATAAAATGTCCAGACCACCCACCACCACCTGTTCCGAGAATCGAGAAATCCAGCCAGACCGTCTGCCCGTAACGCTCCTATCCGCCCCAACGGTACCCTCTCCCACACACGCACTCACCCACTCGCTCCCGACATACATACCCCCAACCCTCCCAACAGCCCGCAAACCACCCGCCCAGCCACCCCTCCACAATGCCGTCGTCGTCGCCGTCGCCCACCACCACCACCGCCCCGCCGCCGCCGCCCGGCCCCGGCCCCTCCCCCTCCCCCTCCCCCCTCCCCCTCATCCTCGTAACCGGCGCCTCCGGCTTCCTCGGCTCGCACATCTGCGCCCAACTCCTCCTCACCGGCCAGTACCGCGTGCGCGCCGCCGTGCGCTCCACGGCGCGATCCGCCTGGCTAGAGCGCCACTTCGCTTCATCATCTTATCCATCTTCCCCCTCCCCCTCCTCCTCCCACCCCTCCTTCTCCCTCACCCAAGTCCCCGACATGTCCGTCCCCGGCGCGTACGACGACGCGGTCCGAGGCGTGGACGGGGTGGTGCACGTGGCGAGCGTCATGGATGACGACGGCGGGAGAGACGGTGGTGCGCGCGCGGTGGTGGCGGCGGTGGTGCGGGGCGCGGTGGGGGCGCTGGGGAGTGCGGCGAGGGAGTGGGAAGGGCGGGGAAAGGGCAAGTGTTTTGTGTATACGAGTAGCAGTCTGGCGGCGTATACGCCGGGGGTGGAGGGGGGGCGGGTGGATGGGGAGACGTGGAATGGTGGGGCGGTGGGGAGGGCGTATGCGGCGGGCGGGGAGGGGGAGGAGGAGGACGTTGCGGCGCGGGCGATGGATGTGTATGCGGCGAGCAAGGTGGAGGCGGAGCGCGCGGTGTGGGCGTGGGTGGCGGACAACGGGCCGGCGTTTAGGGTGAACGCGGTGCTGCCGAATGTCAATTTCGGGCGCAGCCTCGACCCGGCGAACCAGGGCCATCCGACCACGTCGGGTTGGGTCGTTGCTCTCGCCACTGGCCGCGTGCCCGAGCACAGGTGGAGGACCGTGGTGCCGCGTGAGTTTGTTCCTTTTTCTTTTTTTCTTTTTGCCCTTCCCAATACGTGCCCGGAATGCTGACACTGAGCCCTCTCGTCCGCCAGAATATTACATCAACGTCGAGGACACGGCTCGCTTGCACGTTGCCGCTCTCACGCGTCCGGATCTCAATGGTGAACGCATCTTCGGGTTTGCGGGGAGGTTCAACTGGAACACGCTGTTGCGTGCCCTGCGGAAGATGTACCCGGAGAAAACGTTTTACGATGATAGGGACGGGCAGGGCGAGGATCTGAGCGAGATTGTCGGCGCGGCCAAGGCGGAGCAGCTCTTGAAAGACATGGGAAGGCCGGGATGGAAGGGACTGGAGGAAAGTCTGAGGGAGAATCTGGAGGGTGTGGACTTGTAGTCGACGGTCAAGCAGAAGTTTGAGGACTTCATCAACCATCACGGCAGACGAGATCCAACGACAAAAGACGTTGATGTTGCCGAGTCGTCGAATGGCGAGCTCCTATTCGCCGGCGGGGGTGAGCGACTGGTCGGAGCTGAAGCTGAAACCTTGCCAGTCGGGGGCGTCTGTCACGCTGACTCGCGTGGAGCCAACACCGAGTGCAATTTCACGGCCGAACACCGGAGCTGAGGTTTTGTGAGTAGTGCCCGAGACGGAGCAACAATGGCTTCCAAAAAGCAATTTGCACACCACCCTTTTCCCCCAAATACTTTGCTCGCCTCGGCGTTGGCCGTAGAAATTAGTGATCTGATTGCTGCTGCCCGGCGTCCCTATACTCGACGCCCGTTGTTTCGCCAACCCTCACTGTCTCTACCGTCATTCCCGGAGGCGCACCATACATACCATCCAACCACCGAACACAAAGCCAGAAGACGTTCGAACCAAGGAGGCCCAACCTCAACATGACCGCCACAACAGAGCAGCAGCCGAACAAGCCGCAGGCTTCCGTCCCCGGCCTCCCCGGCTTCCAACGCCTCAACCACAAAACCTACCTCCACGACCCCGCCACCGCCTCGCCCACGCCGCCCGCCACGGCCGCCCGCACGCCCAACAGCACGGGCACGCCCTCGCTCATCCTCGTGTGCTCGTGGATGGACGCGCAGCCCAAGCACGTGGCCAAATACACGACCTACTACCGCACCCTGTACCCGGCCTCGCCCATCCTGCTCGTCACGTCCGCCACGGCCGACTTCTTCTTCAACCCCGCGTCCCGGCAGAAGCGCGAGCTGGCCCCCGCCCTCGCCGCCATCTGCTCCTACGTCCCCACGAGCAGCACCAGCACCGACGACGACCGCTCCGACCGCTCCGGCGGCGGCGGCCTCCTCGTGCACGCCCTCTCCAACGGCGGGTGCGGCCACCTCGCCATGCTCTGCACGCAGTACCGCTCCCTAACCGGCCACGCCCTCCCCGCGCGCAGCGTCATCTACGACTCCGCGCCGGGGCGGTCGCGCTTCGCGCAAGGGCTAGCCGCCATGTCGCTCGCGCTCCCCTCCTTCCCGCTGGCGCGCTGGCCGCTGCAGGCGCTGATCGCGGTGCTGCTGGTGGTGTTTTTCCACCTGCCGCCGCTGTTGGGGGTGCAGACGGTGTCGATGGCGATGCGGGAGCGGCTGAATGATGGGGTGTATTTGAGAGCCGAGGCGCCGCGGCTGTATGTTTATTCGTCGGCGGATGCGGTCATTTTGGCGCCGGATGTGGAGGAGCATGCGGCCGAGGCGGAGGGGAAGGGGTGGGTGGTGGAGAGGGCGGTGTTTGAGGGGAGTGCGCATGTGGGGCATATGCGGTTGGAGCCGGAGAGGTATTGGGAGTTGGTGGCGACGGCGTGGGAGAGGAGGGCGTGAATGGAAAGACGGAGGGGTGGAGAGACGGGATAGGGGAAGGGAGAGGAGGAGGGGGGGTGGGGGATGGGATGGGCAGTGGAGAAGGAGGGGAGGGAAGGATGGAGGGAGGAACGTGAAGAGGGGATAAAGGTGGGATTGGAAGAAAGAAGGACGAAAGGAAGGAAGAAACTTCCACATTTCAGGAGATCGGGAAGGAGAGTAGGGCGGGAGCATTCGTTTGGATAAAGTGTCCCATTTGGAGAAAGGTTCAAATTTTTTTTTTTTTTTTTGGATTCAACAAATACCGCTTACTTGCCGCGAGACAGCTAGATGTAGAGACCTTAGAGAGACAGAGACCAAACACCAATTTCCTTTGCGGCTTTCTCTCCCGGAGTGAGCCAAACAACGCCCGCCTCTGAGGCAGGCAAGAGGGGCAGTCCACTCCAGGCGCGCCACGTTGACGTCGATGCGGCCAGTGCCGTGCGGGGTAGCCGAGTTGAGCATCTGGGCCCCATGGCAGCAGCTCAACACCAAATGGTCGCCCAAAACTGACAACTGATGCATCATGGGGTGCCGGGCGGGCAATTCTTTCCCCAGAGCGTGCAGTGCTTGCTTGAGCATTCGCGGCATTCCTTCCCCGCGCCCGCCTCAGAAGCGATCCGGAGGGGAAATCTTTCCCCGCGCCACACCCTTCCCCAGAACCGTACACTGTCGACATGCAGGTTGGCGACTCCACGAGAGATCCAGCAGCCTACGAGAGCTCTCTCTAAATAGTAGAGCATGGGTTTGATTTAAACAGAACCGTCGTCCGCCTTGCTGCTTCTTCTGTTCTCAGCATCTCACCTGGGGCCTGGAAGCCATGTGTGGGTGCCGACGAGCACCGACTTTGCACGCGCCCCGCAGGCGAAATGCGGCCATTGCGAAGGGGAAGGGGGCTGCATGTGTTGTGTGTGTGAGAAGCCGCTGTCGACGGGTCGTGAGGGTGTATGTCGGTTTTTTTTTTTCCTTCCCCCGTCTCTTTCACCTACCTCTCCGCCGTAAAATAACAACAACAATAACATTTCCTCTTCCCAAAGTGAGTATACGTGCTGACGACCCCACCCCCCAGGCGCATTCCGCCGTCGACGCCGCCAACGCCAACGCCAACGCCACCCCCCACCTCAAAGCGATGGCGGGCCACTAGCCTACTCCCGCCGCTCCGACGCCTCCTACCGGGACGCCAAAGCCAAGGTCGAGTAGTCGACGCCGGGCGTCATCGGTCAGCAAGCCCTTTCTGCCGGTGCCGCAGCCAGAGACGGGGCGACCAGCCCAGCGCGACGCCACGAGCTTCTTCATGTTCGTGCGGTAGGTACGGGGCGGCCAAGAACGCGGGGGGTGGGGTGGGGGGGGGGGCCGTCTTCGTCGACTATATGCAGCACAGCATCCACACGACGTGGGACTGACCATGTGGTTACTCATAGGCGGCGATGATGAGGAACGACGTCGTGCCCAAGACCCGTCTTCGCCGCCCGCCGCCGGCGCGCTGACGCACCACCAGTCTACTACCACCCGGAGCTCGCGCGCGCGCCCGCGCCCAACAGAGCCGCGTCTTCGAGTTCTAAGGGCAGCATAGAAGACAGCCGCGTGCTATACATACACATAAATACACCACAACCCCAGCACGCCACGCAGCAGCCGCGCCCACGACCGGCCAGGACCCAGGAACCGTCGCCGCGACCGAGATAATAATGGTCGGCACATGCACCGCACCACACCCTGCGTGGCAAGATGAGATCATCATCGTGGTTGAACGGTACTGATCCCGAGCGCGCGCCGCGCCGCGCATCGTGAGCACATCTATTGCATCTCCTCGTCTCCCCCTCGTCTCCCCCTGATCCCGCTGTAGCACACGGGCCGTTGGTGGTGGTGGTGGTGGGGCAACGAACGAGAGGGTGCGTTTTGACTGCGAGGGGTAACCGGGTGGATGGGGATGAGCTGGGGGGAGGAGAATTGAGTTGAGGGGGATGAGAAGGACTTGGCTATGGCTATATGGGGAAGGGTGGGAGGAAAAAAAAAATAAAAGGAGATGTGAAAGGCAGAGGGCACGCCGTCGTGTGCTTCGGATCCCGTTGGACGGCGTCGGACGTCGGACGATGACGATGACGAAGGCGAGGCGGGGTTGAGAGATCGACGTCGAGTCCACCAGGCGACGATCACGAGTCTCTATTGCTAGGTATTTGATGAGCGCGGGCCGAAGCGTACCTAGGGGGGAGGGGTCTCTTTGAGACATGACCGTCGGCGGCGCGCATGATTGACAGAACAGAACAAAAAATAGAAAGAGGTGGTGGGAAAGTCAAAAATAAGACAGGAAATGAGGCTTCTCTTTTCAGTGTTTTCGGAGATTGGGATGATGCATCTCACGTCGTGGATCGTTTACTCTATTGGCTTTTTGTCTGTCGGGACGGGCGATTTCGAGGATGGAGCCATCTCTCTCTAATTTCTTTTCTGTGAGGCAGTCAGGCAGGCATGGGTTCAGAAGACGAGCATAGGCCTGGGTTCTTCACATGACAAGAGGGTGCGAAGCAAGCGGTGCAAGGGCGACAAAAGCAAGGTTTGACGGGCAGTAGCAGTGGCGCCAAGTGCGGCGGCTTGTTGCGCATCATGCATGCAGTGATCGCCTTCCTTTTCACGATCGACATGTAGGTATGCAGCGGCAGGCGGAAACGGCTCCGGAATAATGGAACAGGAACTTGGATTGGCTCGCGGTGGCCCAGGCGTTTTGGTGAAGCGCGGCAAGGTTAGCATTCGTACGTACGATTAGGCGAGGCAGGCGATTGGAATCGTGTGATAGGCGGTGAGCCGCGGCGGGCGTCCATGCAGGCTCGAGCAGGCACCGCGCAAAGCACCTGCGTATGCGTCGCATGCGCCCAGACCCCGCTTTCTGCTTGCTGCGACTCGGCCAAATCCCTCAGTCAATCGCGCCCATCTCGCGGGCTGATAACTCAGATCCGAGGGGAAGAGGGGCAGAACAGAGGGGCACCGTGGCTGTCGTGTGTTGTTGCTCGGTTGCTTGCACATGGTAGCCCGGCTCGGTCCCCTGACTTTTTGGCCTGGCTCGCTCGCTCGCTCCCGTCGCCGTCGCCGTCGCCAGGGAAAAAAAAACGCCATGCGCCATCGGCGGGGAGTTGGCCCCAAATGAGGAGCAGCGTGCGGCTCCCAATCAGCCTTCCCGCCCGCAACGTGCTGTGACTGAGATTGCGGGCTGTTGCAAGCCAGAAACGGAAGGGTGTGTGGAGCAAAGACGCAATATAAGCCCTGCGCCGGCCTCCTGGCGACGACGTGCAACGGTGCTGCTGCCCTTCGCAGCCTCGACCCCCCGCCGCCCGCTCGCTCGAAACAGTCGTGATTACGTCCGTGGCGTCTCCGGTTCCAGCTGCGACAGCATCCCCCCGACCCCGACCTGACAACGACAGGCGAGGGGAAAAAAAAACAAAGAATTACCCGGAACGGAAGGATAGAGAAAGCTGCGGGGAGAACGCGAAGAAGAAAAAAAGGCCGACAGGACAGATGGAAGGCCTTACCAGGAAAACCTTCACCACCTCGCGCGCCTTGACCTACACCTACTGGGACACCGAGCCAGCCACGCCGCGTTCGTCGCCATCGTCAGCGCCCACGAGCCCGACCTCCTCCTTGGCCTCCGCCCGCACTCCGACTGGCGCCAACAGCAGCAGGAGCAGCAGCAGCAACAACGACCACAATGGCTACCGCAGCAAGCCGCCGATCCTGTTCCTGCACGGCTTCCCGGACAGCGCCTTCCTGTGGTCGCCCATCATGTCCGCCCTCCGCCCGCTCTCGCACCGCATGATCGCGCCCGACATGCTCGGCCACGGCGCCACCTCGAAGCCCGCGGACCCGGCCGCGTACACGTCGGACCTGATGACGGCGGACCTGGTCGAGCTGCTCGCGAGCGAGGGCATCGGGCGGGCCATCGTCGTCGGGCACGACTGGGGCGCCTTCGTCGCGCAGCGCATGTGGCTCTGGCGCGGGCCCGCCCTCGTCGCCGGCCTGGTGCTGGTGAGCATCGCCTACATGCCGCCCGACCGCGAGTCGCCCTTCAACCTCGAGTACCTCAACTACGCGCTCGAGGAGGCCACCGGCCACGCCCGCTACGCGTACTGGGAGTTCTTCAGCGAGCCCGACGCCCCGGCCGTGACGCAGCTGCGCGCCGAGAGCCTGTGGACCGCCCTGCACGGCAGCCGCCCCAACTGCCTGCGCGACATCTTTTGCACCCGCGGCGCCGTCAGGAAGTTCCTCGAGGCCGACTGCCGGGAAGAGGTCAGGGACTACGCCGCCGACGGGAGCGTCTGGAAGAACGAATACATGGCCCGCATCAGGGAATCCGGCTTTGCTGGCGCCTTCAACTGGTACAAAGTTTACGTGCTCGGGCTGAATTGGGAGAAGGAGAGGCATATACGTGGAGACAGGCTGAAAGTCCGTGCGCCGACTCTGTTCGTGGCTTGCTCGCGCGACGACATTTGCTTGCCTTCGTTCATTGAACCGTCCAGGCAGGCGGGCCTGCTGCCGGATCTGGAGATTGCGCAGATTGATGCCTCGCACTGGGCCACCATGGAGAAGCCAGACGAAGTGAGCCACGCGCTGTCTTGCTGGCTGAAGGAGCGGTGGTCGTAGTAATGGAAGCTGTGCCGGCTGGTCAGTCCTCAGGTCTAACGTGACTAGGGTGGATAATGCTTGGCTGTTTCTCGGAGCAAAAGGGCGGCGGATATCAAGCACTTGGAAGGCTCAGGCGACAAACTATGACTTTTTACATCTGAGCAGCCCGTTAGTGGATTCATCAACGGGCCGACGTGTTCCAACGCTCGGTGGGCTACTATATTGATGAGCGGCATTTTAGTAGAGGCACATCTGCCGAGTGTCGTACGCTTCCGCAGCTACCCGCAATCTTTGTTTCACGCCGTTGTTCCGATTGCTCCGAACATGGGCTCCCGCATCGGAGGACCAACGAGGTAAGGCGTGGTGAAAGCTGCCGATTCCGGCAAAGGGCTCCCGGAACCGTCTCGGCACGCTGGAGACACAGAGACTCGGTCAGGGCAAAAAGTGGCGACGGCGACCACGATGCTTCCGGAAATAACATTCGCGGGCCCCTGATTGGAGAGGGCGCACGGTGAAAGCTGCGCCTCGCCAACGCTTTGTTCAAGACGGCGAAACGCGCATTAACCGCGCATTCTAGGGATGAGGGGACGGGGGACGGGGACGGGGACCACGTCAGGGTTTCTTGCTGAGTTTCAAAGCAGCAACGCAGCGGCGCAGCGTCATGATCGCGGTGGAGTCTGGGCGAGTGGGCGAGCAGGTGACGGGTGTTGCTGCGCTGGCTCGTGTGTCTCCGCCGGAGGGTGGAGCGCAAACCGCCGGCGGAAAGGCAGCGTGGCAGGGCTGTTGGGATCATTGGGCGGGGAGTGAATGTACAGGGACGAATAATGACGAAAGCCAGCAGCTGGTTTGGGCCGCAACGGGAGACATGTGGCAGCTGAAGAGAACGTGGCGACGATCCTTTCTGCTGAGACGCGATGAAACCGGGACAGAGTCAAGAGCCAGAAGACGTCCCGTTGCCAGAGGCAAAGGAAAAAAAGTCGAGACGGGCTAGCGACGCGCGGACGGTCGCACGCGGACGGGCAGTGGTCAGTCGGTGAGGACAGACGGTGTGACTTCTGAGGCCGTCACAAGGCGGTGGCATGGAAATCAGTAAAGAATTGCTGTCAGGCGCGGGCTGCGGACTGCCTGGCTCGGCAAGGACGGGATCAGCGATCGGCCGACAGGTGGATCTGACTTTGGTGCTGCTGCGTGCTGCTGCGTGCTGCTGCGAGCTGCTGCCCGGCGCGTCGCACGGCGGTTGCAGGAGCGCAGCCGGCCTGGTGAAGCGACTCGGGGCGCAGATGTGCAGACGAGGCTGGGTCGGTCGCGGTGCTGCTGTCGTAGGTAGGCGGCGCCGTTGGGGCATCCGGCATGGCTGGGGGGCTAGGAGGGCAGAGGGGTGCTCCTAGGCTCAAGGGCGGGCGCACGTACGGCGTGACTCGCGGGGCGGAGAAGGACGAGAGCACCCCAAGATTCGCCGGGTGGGTTGACGCAATTTTCATGGTGCAAAGGGTTTACGCCGCTGGACACGCCGGGGCGATTGCGCCTGCGCTCTGGTTGGGCAAGACCCTGCCAAGCCAATTAGTACGTAATGGGCAGGCGGTTATCATGGCCAGTTCGGAAATGCCGCACGCCCCCCAGCCAGGGCCGACGCAAACCACGATGCAGCACCGCGGGCGGCGAGTCGCTAGGTTATACCAGGTCGTACTGCTCGCCCCGCAGCTCACAACAGAAGAAGCGCAGGAGTGCGACATGCCAAGCGTCGAGCAAAGCCTAAGCACCCGGCCCACGGTCCGTCGCTCTCGGCGCATCGTAGGGGCCGCTCTGGGGGCTAGGGCGCAGCAGATCGGGCTTGGTTGGAGATCCAAATATCTGGGGGAGATAGGGAGGTCTGCACGTCTGCACGTCTGCACGTCTGCACGGCTGCACGTCTGCTGCACCTCCTTCCTGTGTCCTGGCCCATTCACCGCATCGGGGCGCCCAGGGCTGTGTGCTGTGCAGGGCTGCGCGATGCCGGCCGTGGTGGGCCGCTCCGCCGAGCAGGACGCTCCAGCTCAGAGTGATGGACGAAGACAGCCAAGCCGTGACGGAAGAAGCCTTGGCGGGACGGCGGGCGCCAAGCCCAAGGAAGCGCAAGCTGGCGCAAGCTGGCGCAAGCTGGACGGAAGGAGCGCCGTCCAGGCCGGGAGCGATGGATGACGATGCGCGCCGTTGCCGTGGCTATATTGGTTTGCGGGTGGCCTATTGGAATCGGCGGGCGGACAGGAGCTGGCACGGCCGGGGCGCCAGCCAAGTATGAGTTGAGGTTGCAGTCGACGTCTCACGGCGTCACACGCGGGGACGAGTGTGGAGAGGCAGGGATGCCAGGCCCAGTCCGCCGGCGCGGGAGCTTGCGCGACGGCTGCCGTGGCATGCCAGTCCGCTAGTTGCAGCGGTCCAGTCCAGACGTTGAGCGCCGCTGCTACGTAGCAGCAGCAGTGGCGCCGGGGCGCTGGGGCGCTGGGGCGCTGGGGCGTTGGGGCTCTGGGTATAATCGCCAGCCGGCACGGTGCCTGTCTGCGCCTCACGGGCTGGCCGCCGAGAGTGATGAGCAGACGTACGGGCTGCTGCGTGCTGTGGGTGAGGCGCGGCGCCAAGCAGGCTAGTCGGGCAGGCAGAGGTGCAGCGCTGCGGCGTCGCAAGGGCGTGTGGAGGGCTGGGGAAATGATGCAAGCGCCCTGGGAGCGGCGCGCACGTTCACGGCGCGCAGGCACGCAGGCGGCTGAGGTCGGCCGAGCGCTGGATCGGACGACGGGCGGCAGCGATATGGATGACGGATTCGGCGCGTAATTGGGGCCGGCGGCGGCCGTGGGGGGCCACAGGCCAAGGCGCGCCCTGGGGCAGCTGCTCGAAAATTACCGCGCTGCGAGATGATGAGCGGCCCAGCACTTAGCCTCCCCCCACCCCTGATGCCGGTAGCGAAACTTGCTTCGAGATGCAGAAAGAGCCGCACCTGCCCTCAGCCTTAACCAGCGCCCGTCCCTCGCCGAGCTCGCCCACCCCGAGCGCTCTCACCCAGCTCTCACCCAGCTCGCCCACCGCCCACCGCCTGCCTGCCACTCCGCCCGCCACTCCGCCCACCAACCCAGACCCCGACTCCAACTCCAACTCCTACTCCTACTCCTGCTCCAACCCGGTCTATGGTCACCTGCCGTCCGCCGCGCCTCTGCTCCATGCGAACGCGCCCGTGGTGATCGCCCCTAGTCCGATACGCTCGACCGAGACCGCGTTGGGACCCTACCGTGCCTAGCAAATTCTGCCTGCCCGCCTGCCCGCCAGCCTCACCGCGACCTTCTCAATGGCGACCGAGCACGCAGCACCCGCCTTCTCCGTCCCCAACTACCACCACTTCCAGCAGCCGCCGCACTTCGCGAAGCAGTCGCAGGGCGTCTTCGTCGCCAGCACCCGCCTCAACTGCCCCGCCATGGACCTGCCCAGCCGCGACCCGGCCCAGCTGCCCAACAGCATCCAGGTCCACGCCCGCCGCAAATCCGTGCCGTACACGGGCAGCTTCCGCCGCTCCCACACCACCGGTGACATGAGCACTGCCGACTGTGTGTAGCACACGCCTTGATTCCTGACCCGCCCCCGCTAACGACACAGACGCCGCCCACGACTTCGCCCCGCAGAAGAAGCCGTCGCCGCCGCCGTCGCTCGCCGACTCGGCCTGCTCCGTCTGCACCACCCGCCACTGGGAGTGCGACGGCAAGCGTCCGCAGTGTACGTCTTCTAGCCGCCTGCTGTGTCACCTCAGCGTCACGTGCCCTGCGTCATTGGCTAACCCGACTAGGCACCGGCTGCGAAAGGAACGGCCTCTCATGCCACTTTAGCGAGGCCCCGTCATCGCCGTCGTCGGACCGCAGCGCCTCGCAGGGCATGTCGGCCGACGACTTTGTCGAGGTCGGCGACTTGCCGCAAGAGGTGGAGCCGCACCGCGAGCTGATCGAGGGTGTGCGCCGCGTTTACGCCACCCTCGTCAAGATGCGCTACATTCCTGCCGAGGAGCTGATTTGGCCCCCCCACCACCAGCTGAAGAGCACCCTGGAGCCTCTCGGCTTCGACCCGCGCATCGTGGACCTGCTGCGCTACCTACCCTACCTGCGGAACACCGTCGTCCAGCGCGCCAGCCCGGAACTCGACCACGGAACCTACGGAATCAACTACCTCGACCAAGGCGAAGCCGAGGACATGCTCGAGGTGTCCCGGCCCAACGAAGTCTTCATCTTCAAGTCCTGCTCCGATTTCGGCAACTTCTACGTCTACGACATGGACCGGAAAACCATGAAGCTCGCCACGCCTTTCCAACTCTACAGCAAGGAAGCCGGCAGACAAGAGTTCGACAACAGGCTCACGGCACGTTCCGCCGGCCTTGTGCTGAACGACCTGGTTGAAGGCTACAGGAACTTGACTCTTGTGCCGATGCGCGGCCTCCACGGCTACCAGCTGTCGTCGTCGCTCCCCGGATCCGACACGGAGATCAAGCGGCTGTATCTCAGACATGGCTGGCCCAACAAGTTCGACGGCGAGAGCTTCCAGAAGGCGCTTTCCGAGTGGCTCGAACGCGAGAGCCAGAAGCAGCACGCCGACGTTGGCCAGATGACGCGCGTTTCTGCCGTCGAGGCGCAATCCGGCACCCCGAACCGCAAGACGATGCGCAGCACCCGCAGTCTCCGCGAGAGGCTCCATCTGACGCGCCGCGCCACTGCCAATAGATAACAAGGCTCCAAGTCCCCAAGTTTAAGCTGTCCCAGTCTGTTGTGAAGCATGCGTTGGCTTCGATTGCTGAAGCATGTGGTGATCGCCGTGCGTGGATTCCTCGTCCGATGAGCCGTCCGCCGCAGATGTGGCTGTTGACGACGCGAGAGGGGTGCCAGATGTTGAAGATGATGATGGTGAGAAACATCAGCGACGCATCGAAGATGTAGATGAACACGTCGTTGCTCATCAAGGATCCTTCGGAGCCCTGGATGTACTCGACGACGCGAAACACGGATCGCACCATAATCAGCGTGCTGGCGATGTACAGGATCACCAGGAACCACCGCCCAAGTACCGACAGGGTGTCCGCCGTGGCCGTCGGCGTGCGCGAGATGCGAATGTAGAAGACGAGACGGCCACGACGATCATGGAGAGCCCGAAGAACAACAGTTGCACGCATAGACCAACGATGATGATCCTCTCACCCACCTCACTTTGTTCGACATATCCGCCTCGGAAAGCATGCCGCCGCGTGGCCAGAAGCAATCAGCATCAAGCACTGATGGAAGGAAGAAATAGAGGGCAACCCACGGGCACTTTGTCCAAGGGAGGAAATGACGTCGCCAAATACGAAAAGCTTGGTCAGCCATCTCACCGGGATCGGCGCGCTCGCCGATCCATCCGTCAAGCGGACGATACGGCCGAGGACCATGTAAACGGATGCGGCGAAAATAGCTCGTGCGAGGAGCAGCGTCAGGCCCTGCATGGCATACGGCCACGTTTGCCAACCGGGCGTCTGCCGGCCGAAGATGAAGCGACTCAAACAACCGACGGTTTCGACTGTGCCAGCAAATGTTTCTATTAATTTTATTTTCCAATAAGCGGGAGAGGGCAACTCACACAAACACGGCCGATAACGAATGGGACGAAATACCAAGTCCGCCGCCTGACGAGCTGCCAGTGGTGGAGCAGCGTCGCGTTGGCGAACAGAGCGACGAAGACGATGGCCTGGGGAGGTCGAGGGGCTGTAGTGGTAGAGCACGAAGGCTGTCTTTCGTCGCCGGGCTTGTCTGACATGATGTGTATTTTCTTTTTTTCCTCTTTATTCTTTTTATACCCTATTATCACTGTTGTGCTATTATATGATGAGTTTGAACCGGTTGCTCGGCCGAGAGGCGTGCTGGTCTTGTTCTTTTTTGCGAAAAGAGCGAAGCAAGAGAGAGAGAGAGAGAAAGTACAAAGATGAGTAATAGATGGCGGTACACAAGAACGAAAGTTTGTTTCGATGCAACGTCTGCTGTTTTGATTGCTGCAGGTGGAAAGTCTTTTGTAGGTGTAATGCTTGTCGTGCTTCTCGAAGATGGATGGAGATGGATTCTCAAGAGCATCGTGGTCACTGAGTGCAGGCAAAGATATACATGTATACAATTTCTACATCTAGTCACCTATGGACGACTTGTCTGAACTTCCAGGTCCTAGTGGTTTGCAAGAAAGAGAAGGGAAACTGACACTCGCGCTCTATTTTTGGGCGACACGACCAAAAAAAAAAAAAACCGAAGCAAGAAACAGAGTCGGGACAGCGATAGAGATGTGTGCGTGTATGCGACTCAGGCACCCAGGAATGCGAGAAGGAGAGAGAGAGAGAGAGAGGCAAACTTCGCTTTTTATTTTATATCTATTGGACCAAGTCCGATTACTACTACATCCTCCAGCTCAAGCGTCAGTCAGCCACGGGAGAAAAGGCAAGCGGGTGAGGGAGCGAGACACACAAGCCGATTATTTCGGCAGCTTTTGCAGAGTTGTAGCTCAGGTGTGTTGTGCGATACGGGACACGGGGGGTACCGAGCTGGCTTGGTGGCTTGATGGCTTGACGGGATGTTGCTGACGTCGCCGGCGGTAGGGAAGGGCGTACAAGTGATTTACGAGAGACTGAGCAGGAAAGTCGAGTCTCGTTCTCGGTTGGATGCGCATGATCTGCAGACGGAGGCCGGTGTTGAAAAAAATTTGATAGAGTAGATGGCGTTTTTGCCGGGTTCCTTCGGGCGGGACGATGGACGGCATGACGACAGTTGTTGGGCAGCCATCCCTGCTTGGGGCTATTTTGGGGTGGCGTGGGAAAACGGTCGAGTGCGGGGTCGGTGTTCCATGTCGACGACGTCAGAGGCGGGCAGCCCAAGCAGGTGTCGATGCAGGGGCTGAGCATCCTTTTGTCTGGGAATAATAATAATAATGTCCGGACGTCAATGCAGGTGGTAGAAATATAGATGTAGGATTGAAAGAGAGGCGGCCAGGACTTTCCATTGCACAACTAGCCGAGAATGTCGTATTCGGGTGCGGGGAGTGCCTTTTCGCTAAGCTTTGGCAACTCCAGCGTACAGATGGGCTATTGATCAACGACGGGTGGAGACGGGCCAGACGCGACATGTCGTAGTTGGCGGAAAAGCGCCATGGCCCGTTGGCTGCTCTCGCTAATCTTGCGAGCGGGGGCCTCTCTCATCACCGGCGATGAAACATTGCAGAGCCGCTGCTGCCGCGAGACTTTCGGCTATTCATCCATCTATTCGAAACGTAAAACGGACGAGACGGCGAGCCAATCACCGGCAACGCCATCTAAGCATCCAATCTGCGGCGGTTTGATTGGACGCCGGGCTGGCGGCAGCCGGGAGACAGCAAGCAACTGAGCTGGCGAGGTTAGGGTGGCTGAGTCAAGGCCGCAGATCCAAGAGCGGCAGGTCGCGGCCCGTCGCGTAGGGGCTGGGGCTGGTGGTGCGGAAGGCTCACCAGAGGGTGTCGGCTTGGCAGGGCCCTTCGCCGCAGCACAACACAAATTACAGCTGCAATCGTAGGCCGGCCGAGTGTGCAGCTCTCCCGCCCGCGGCCCAGCAGCGCCAGGCCGAGAGGCAGACTCGCAGACTCGCAGACTCGCAGACTCGGACGGGTGCGGACGACAGGGCGGTCGCAAGCACGGGCGCGCAGCCTCAAATACAAGAAAGACGCCTATTCACCCCTCCTCCGACACGCGAACGACCGACCGAACACCATCGACATCATCCCGTCCGTCCCCGTCCCCGTCCCCGTCCGCCGGCTGGACTCCGCCGCCCTCGGCTCCGCCCTCGAGCGCTCCACCCAAGTCGTAGTCGTACTCGCCTCCGCCATGATTCCCGCCGCATCTCGGAAACCCCATCGAAAATCTCGCAACGGCTGCGGCCACTGCAAGCGCCGCAAGATCAAGGTGAGCGCACAATAGCCAGCGATCATAAGCCCACGCCCCCACCGCCCTGCCCGCGAGCCTGCCCTCCGTCCAAACCCGCCGCAAACCGTCCCCTCTGCTACCTACCTGGCGTTCCATGGCCGCACCCCGCCCGCACCCGCACCGCCGCCGCCCGCAGCCCCTCCTGAGATGCACCTCACGTGACCCCCGCCGACGCCCCCCGCTGACGCCTCCCAGTGCGACGAGACCAAGCCGCACTGCCGCAACTGCATCAAGCACTCGATACCATGCGACTTCCCGGACATCCTGGCCCGCAAGGCCTCGGCCTCGGCCTCGTCGCAGAGCCCGCAGCGCTACCTGGGCTCCGCCGCCGCCCAAGCCTCCACCGCGCCCACGTCCAACCCCAGCCCGTCGTCGGCAGCCAGCCCGCACCCGCACGCCACGGCGCTGCTCGAGGGCGAGGGCCACATGCAGATGAACATGGTTGACCTGGAACTGCTGCACAACTTCGTCACCTCGACCGCCTTCACCATCTCGCAGAACGCCGACCTGCGCACCCTGTGGCGCGTCGAGGTCCCGCGCCTGGCCTTCCAGCACGACTTCGTCATGCGCGCCATCCTGGCCGTGTCCGCCGCCCACATGGCCCACTGGAAGCCCGACCGCGCCGACTTCTACATGGCGCGCGCCGTCGCCCACCACAAGATCGGCCTGCGCGGCCCCACGAGCATCCTGCCCCACGTCACCGAGGACAACTGCAGCGCCCTGTACATCTTCAGCGCCCTGACCGCCATCCTCAGCCTCGCCATGCCGCGCAAGCCCGAGGACATCCTCTTCGTCAGCAGCGACGGCGTCGCCGAGTGGCTCTTCCTGCTGCGCGGCATCGCCTCCATCGTCTTCTCCTCGGCCGACTGGCTGCTCAACGGCGTCATCGGCCCCATGCTGCACCGCGTCAAGGTCCCCGCCTTCGACCCGGCCGTCCTCGTCCGCGCCGGCCTCGACCCGGACGACTTCAAGGCCGAGCCGCTGCCCACCGACGACCCCGTCCGCCCGCCCGAGCACGACCAGCTCGCCGACCTCCGCCGCTTCCTCGAGCGCGACCTCGCCCGCGACGACCCGCACGCGTGCCAAGTGTGCTGCATCGCCCTCGACGAGCTCGTCCGCTCCTACACGTACATCTGCAACCTCGGCCCCAGCGACTGCCACCTCCGCAGCATCTTTTCCTGGCCCTGCGCCGTCTCCAACGACTACCTCGCCGCCCTCACCGCCCACGAACCCCACGCCCTGCTCGTCTTTGCTTACTACAGCGTCTTGCTGCACCGCCTCGACGGCTTCTGGTGGATCAAGGGCTGGGGCACCCATCTCATCTCGCGCATCTACCACCTCATCGCCCCGATTTACAGGCAGTGGGTGCGGTGGCCCATTGAGGAGATTGGCTGGGTGCCGAGGTGACGACGTGTTGGGTGTGTTGGTTGTATTGCATGTACGTGTGTTGCTGCTTCTTTTTTGATTTTTCGTTGTTTCTTAGCGGGAAGCACATGGACCTTTGGGTACCTAGGTCGGTCGGGGCATTCTGGACGTTGGAGGAGTTTGAGTCGCTTGTGCTTTTTTTTGATTTTATGGGCTCGCTCTTTCCTCTCTCTGTCCTTTGGCTTGTGTCCCTTCTTGTTCGTGTGGATTTTCGACTTTCTGGGGATATTGTACATACAGTTTCTTTTTCGAGACGGCCGTGTTCTGGGTGAGGGAACCAGTGTGGGGTTGGTTGTCCTTATATGAGGACGAGGTTTTGGAGCTCGGACTGTATGTAGCACACACGCACACACACACATACTGCACGTGAATGTAGAATGATCGTATGAGCTAGACACAATTCATCGCCGGACGAGTCCCTCTTTGCGCTGTTATAGCTGATAAGCTGTTTGGATTCGTGCTTGTGTTTGGTTGATGGATCTGTGGAATGTCTCGTGTCGAACGGCAGTAGAGCGCTTTACTACTTCCGCCCATGGTTCACCTTTTCAGGATAGTCTTTCTTCCCCTTCCTGGCTACCATTGGTGGAGTCGAAGGTGTCCTGTCGCTGAACTAACTAGAGCATACTATCATAACAGAGTAGTAGAAGGAATGCAACCACGGAAGGGGAAGGGGGAGATATCGATATCTGTGGAATGACTGAAACGATATCTCGGCTTTTAATGACGAGCAGAACTACAGACTATCGGCCTTAAAAATGTCAGACAATATCAAGGCCATTCACCAGCACGAGAAACAGTGCGGCCTCGTACTTTTTCGAGTTCGACAAAAGCAAAAAAAGAACCAGCCAACCTGTCGGAAATATTCACAAGGCTGAATGACACCCCGCGAATCATGGCTACCACGGGCTGGCACCGGCTTCGTGTTCTCGGTATGAATGAGTTTGCCACATGGTTTCGCTCGTCAACATAGGTTTCAGGGAAATCAGCCCCCATTTCCTCGAGGCTTGCCATCTCGTTTTCATGCTGCAGTCGCCCCCCAAAAGCCAAGCCATCTACCTCAGCACAAGACGTTGGTTGTACTAGTGTTGGACGTGAATGCCATCTTCACTAGCAGATGCTAACAAAACCAGTGGAGGGAGAGGATGGACGCGGTGTTGATACCGAGTACATCTTGATGATGGACAAGAACAATGTCATGTGATGAGCCAGCAACCGGCTTGATATTTTGAGGTCTTGTAAGTGCTGCGGGCCATGCTCTGTGCCTCTCCATCATTCGGCCTACAGGAGGGCGACTCCCGGTCCATACCACATACTTTAGAGATGATTATTAGCTCCAGTCCTAGGGAGTGTGACGACCACGTCCGGTATGACCTGATGTCCCCGACTATCCCCTCACGGATACGTGTTTGTTGTCCACGAAGCAAAGCCTTGGCTCTTGGGGATACGAGCATCTGTGCAGCGGGCCACGTAACAAAACAGATGAAAGTCGGTGAGTGAGACCAGACCAGAGGCGCCGATTGGCTGGGGCGTGTACTTTACACAGCGAACGGGCCTGTTAATCACCCCCGCACAAAGTGCCGCGCTAACGCTATTCGTGCCTGCGACCGTAGTAGGGGTTAGTGTCGACTGCGCACCGCCATCATCAGGAAGTAGACAACAGCCTCGACATGACCAATCGAAAGCCAAACGCGGCCATGCCGTGCGAGTGTGCTTCGGAACAAAGGTCGAATTGCAATGTCGTCCCCGAGCCGTGAAACCGCAAGAGGGCCATGTCGAGAGAGAACGACCGAGATGAAGGGCCGATACTTTCTCCATCCTATACGAGTGCTGGTCGTTGCCGATCTTCAAGTCTGGCTGTGCTATGGCCTATCCATGGCCATGTGACCGTGGAATCGCGGAGCTGCCACGTACGATCTCACAAGCGCTCCAGAGGACCACAGAGTTGGACACTGGAATGGTATGTAGAGGTCTGTAGTCTGATCAAGAATGCCACGTTATTCAGCGTAAGATGCAGGTAGGCCGATTGACAGGAGTGGCTGAGAAGTATGCCCGCATTGAAGCCGAGTCTCCGCAGCGAGTAGGGCTGAAGGAGCCGCGGACCCCAGAGCTCAGCCTTAAAATTGGCACGGGGTTACGTTTCTAGAAGCATGGATATAGAATAGCGGTGAACCTTTTCGAAGCCTACCAAAGCTAAACTTAGGCAGTTTTGCACCTCAGGGCACAAGAGGGCTCGACAGTGCGGCCGGGCCAGGTACGAGCAGTCTGTGCCCCTTTTCCTGGAGTCCATCCCGCCATTCCTGTTCTCTTTGCTCTGCCTTGGTTTCGTTTCGTCTGTGAAGCATCATGCCCAATCATATCTGGAAACATCTATTTTTGACCCGCCAAGGGCCTAAAAGTGCGCTTAGAAGGAGTACCAGGTTCTATGGCGAGGTACCACAAGCTCGTATTCACAGCCCGACCCGGTCCCGGACTATGACGTACTCTTGCCGATCATCTCGTAAACAGACTCTCCGGGCAACCGTTCATCAGTTGACCTCAACGTCGAACTAGAGTAGTCCCCGCATTGCTGCCCTTCCAATAGGGGGTGCCGACGACCTATATAAACAGAGCAGCTTCACACCAAACATCTCTCTCATCACCAACAGCCTCATCAACAACTCCAAACAAGCAACCCTCCAACCACCACCAAAATGAAGTTCACCACCGCCACCGCCCTCTTCTTCGCCGGCCTCGTCGCCGCCGAGACCGTCTCCGTCACCGACCTCACCATCCGCGACAACAACGGCCTCCAGTCCGTCTCCTTCAAGGTCGCCGGCACCGACTGCTCGTCGACCGACGCCGCGTCGCTCGCCAACAACGGCGCCAACGCCTGCGGCGACGGCAACCCCCCCGTCTTCACCTACTCGGTCGAGAAGACCGAGGGCTCCGAGTACCAGCTGTACCTCCACAAGAACGTCGACGGCTCTGTGTAAGTGATGCACCGAGAAAAAAAAAACAACAACCCCGGTTCCCAACGTTCGTCTTTGCTGATTCTCTTCTTCTTACAGTCGCGGCCTCAACGGCGGTGCCAAGGCCCCGGTCAACTGCCGCGCCGGCGGCAACGGCGCCAGCGACAACGTCTGCCAGCAGACCGGCGACTTCTCCGTCGACCTCCAGTAGATGGGTGCGCGCGAGACATCTGTCTTCCGTGGTGGGGTTGCTTGTGAGAGGCCGAGTCGGACGGGACGTCTTCATCTGTAATCATTAGCCCACACTGTACATAAAAAGCGCCCTCGGGCCGATAATGTTCACGATGCTGTCCGAAAACTATCACTCTTATCACTCTTTGGTTCCTGCGATGATGACTCTGGTCAGCCGGTGGGCTGGAAGAAAATTGGTGATACTGCGTGCTGTGGTCTGATAAATATGGCGTTTGAAAACGCATGGGTATCATCAGCGGACAGAGATGGCAACGCTGAACTCGAAGAGCGGCGACGGACTGTAAGACCGTGAGACTGATTCCCACCCGCTCCCATACAGGTAATTCTTAGTTTCAAAGTCACTTATTTTGCTGAATTTGCCCTGGATCTTGGACTCGGAGATCTGGCTATGTCTGTTGGATGACTAGCGATGATATATGCACCGCTCCGATGACAGATACCGGCCAAGACTCACATACGGCAGCCCAGAGCCACCCATACTGTACATATGCGTTCCTTTCTGTCGCTCTTCTCAACTGCGATGGTGGTGTAGTTGGTTTATCACGTCAGTCTAACAGAAGGCCTCCTCTGATACTATCGAATGTATCATGAGCCACTGGTCCACTGAAGGTCCCGAGTTCAAACCTCGGCCGTCGTATCATCTTTTTTTGCCTTTTGGCATCGCGAAAAGACGTCGAGGCATCGGTAGGTATTGAGTGCAGCTGCCTGGTGTACTCAGGCCTCACAAAGGCGTTAGATACGTCAAGGATAGCGATACACCTGTACGACGATGAGTCTGTGTAAGGATGGGTCGTGGGAGCGCCTGGACTTTTTCGTTTTCTTTTTCTGTTTCTTTTTGAAATCAAGCCTTTCGATGCCGGCAGACGCGGTGGAGCGCAGAAATTTCGGCTAGGGATGGCGTGGTGGACCGGGCGTCGGGCCGGAGCAAAGAAGACGGAACGGAAGGCCCGAGGATGAGACGGTAGCGAGGACTAGAGTCTGAATGGGACCAATCTGACAAAGTCAATCGTGTTGTGTGGAAGCGGGGGTACTTTCAAACACAAGAGCAATACTGGGGCAATGACGGCTGAACCAAACCACTTCCGCGTTCTTAGGTATGCACATCCCATCATCCACTTATGCCGTCCGATCCTCACCATGGGCAAAGCGGACCACAAACAGCAAAAGACAAAAGGAAAAACGAGGAGGAGCAGCATCAACCCGGACGTCATCCCTTCCCACTCACCCACCCCTCACAACTTCGGCTCACCCTCCTTCTCCTTCCGACCCGCGCCCACCCCCTCGCCCCCCGCCCCCTCACCACCCGCGCCCGCACCCGCCCTCCCCCTCTCCTCCGCCTTGGCCCTCTCCCTCACAAACACCTGACTCTTCAACAACGCATACAACGTCTGCAGCCTCGGCAACTCAACCCCCCTCGCCCTCGCGATCCTGATCGGCAAGCCCAAAATGACCTCAATCTCCAACGGACTGCCCCTCTCCCAATCCAACAGCATGCTCGGCTTCCCCCCCTTATTCCTCTCCGTGCTCGCCAACACCTTCTCCGGGCTCGCCAGCCCGGCCGGCAGCGGCGCCCCCAGCACCGCCGGCGCCGCGTCCCAGATCTCCTGCATCACGCCCTTGAGGTGGCGGCGCAGCTCCGGGTCTGTCGTAGCTGAAGCCATCTCGGCGTTGGTCCGCCCCCCGCTCAGCACCGCCGACGGGTTCATGCTCGCGTTGATCGTCAGCTTGTGCCACCGCACCTGCTGCAGCGCCAGCTCCGTGTGGTGCTCGGCGTCGCGCAGCCCGCCGACGTCGCTGAACAGCCGCACCAATTCCCGCACGCAGGCGTCGCCCCGCGCGGCGAGGTCGTCGCGGTGGTGGTGCGGCGTGGTGGATGCGTCGGCGTCGGGCGACGATGGCGACGACGACGACGACTCCGCCGTCGCAGCCGCAGCCGCCATCCCGTCCGTGTACGCGCCCATGCTGATGCGCGTCCAGCGGTTCTGGCGCACGAAGCCGTGGCGCAGCTGCTCGGCGCTGATGACGGTCACGGCCGAGACGATGGGGTTGCGCGGGAAGCGCGCGCGGTGGGCCGCCTCGATGCCGACGCCGTTTTGGATCAGCACGATGCACGTGTGGGCGTCGGCGTCGCGGGCCATGAGCGGCGCGATGCTCGCGCTGTCGTCGACGACGTCGGGCAGGGCCTTGGTCGTCACGACGACGTAGTCCCAGCGGCCGGAGGGAGGGGCGAGCGGGGAGGCGTCGGCGGCGGCGGCGCTGATGGAGGGGTAGACGGCGTGGGGGTGGAAGGTGTAGGTGCCGAAGTTGCGGGTTTCGAGGGTGACGCCGGATTGGGCGATGGTGGGGTAGTTGGAGCGGCAGACGAGGGAGACGTGGATGTTTTTGGAGGGCTGTGTGTGGGGGAAAAGGAGAGGAGGGGGGGCTTTTGGTGAGTCACTGGTTGTTGCGGTCCGTTGAGGCGGAAAGTAAAGGCGGAGTGGCGGGTGAGACTTACATGGTGAAGTCTTGAGGCGTAGAAGCAGCCTACTGCGCCGGCACCGACGAAGAGGATGTGGATGGGCCTGACGGTGGGACGTGTGAGCGATGAGGTCCTCGATCAAACGCAAAAGGACACGTACTTTCCATCTCCGCTCTCCGGAGACGACATGGCTGATGAGCAAGTCGAAGTCACTCGAGTACAAGAATGGGACATAGAGCCGAGAGAGCACGAGGTAGTGACGGGAACAGGACAGAGCCTCAAGGAAAGCGACGGCTGACGCGCGCGACGCAGAAGTATGGCAGTTCGGTGTTGGCGGCAAGCGGTGCGGCGCCTGGTCCGGTGGTTGCGCTGTATCTCGCGACGACTCGACGTTGGTCTTGGGTCGGGCTGTGGAGCAGGGCAGACACGCGAGCGGGGCGGTAGGCGGAAAGTAGAGCCGAGGTCGGATCGAGGCCCCCGGCCCAAGCCACCGCCTCAGACCTCACTCACCAATCCGCTAGCTGGGCCGCTCACACGACACAACGGGACGCCTGGTTTTCCAAAATCTTTGCATTTGCTCTCTCTCTCTATCTCTTTCGTTTCTCGTCCGTGGCACATCACACAGATGGCGAGTACATAATGGTATCCACACTAAAAGCGCCGAGTAAATCAATCCCGTCTAGCCCAAATTTTTTGACAAAAGAACCAAATCGCAGCCAGTGCGTCTAGAGCTTCTCCTTCTCGAGGCCCTTCCAGCCCCACGTCTCGGCAATGAGCTCAGCAGCACGCTCGCCGACGCCCAGCACCGTAAGCATGGGGTTGATGGTCGGCATCTCGGGGAAGACGCCCGCGTCCGCGATGCGCACGCCGTGGAGGCCGCGCACCTTGAGCTGCGCGTCGACGACGGCGAGCGGGTCGCGCAGCACGTTGCCCATCTTGGTCGTGCCCGCGGGGTGGTAGACCGTGTGCGCGACCCGCCGCCCGTACTCGCTGAGCTCCGCGTCCGTCTGGATCTTGGGGCCGGGCGCCACCTCGCGCTTGAGCCACGACTTGAACGGCTCCTGCTCGGCGATCTTGCGCGCCGCCTTGAACCCGGCCACGAGCGTGTCGGCGTCGTAGCCCTCGGGGTCGGTGAAGTAGCGGAAGTCGAGCGCCGGCTTGACCGACGGGTCCGCCGACGTGAGGTAGATGCGGCCCCTGGAGCGCGGGCGGGGGATGTTGGGCGTCATGCAGAAGGCGTCGATGGGCGTGTCGTAGCCGAGACTGTTTTGCACGGGTTAGCGCCTTCGCGACGGCCGGGTCGCTGTACTCACCGAGAAGTGTTCATGCAGAAGGGGATCTGGTAGCAGTGCATCATGACGTCGGCAATGTCGCCGTCCTTGCCCGCGGCGTTGGCAGCCTCGCGGCGCAGGAAGATGCCCGCGTCCGAGTCCATGGTGGTCTGGTTCTGGGGGACGGGCTTGTTCAGCTCCCAGATGATGATGGTCTCGGGGTGGTCGAGCAGGTTCTCGCCCACGCCGGGCAGGTCGCGCACGACGTCGATGCCGAGGTCCTGCAGCTGCTGCCTGGGGCCGAGACCCGACAGCAGCATGAGGCGGGGGGTGTCGACGGCACCGCCGCAGAGAATGGTCTCGGCCTTGGAGCGGAGCACGCGCTTCTCGCCGCTCTGCAGCGTCACGTCGACGCCCGTGACCTTGTCGCCCTCGACGTTGATCTTGCTGACCCAGGCGTTGGTCAGGATGGTCAGGTTGGGGCGGCGCTCGTCGTTGCGCAGGATGGGGTGGATGTAGGCCACCGACGCCGAGCTGCGGCGGCCGTCGTCGGGGTTGTACGAGACGGAGAAGAAGCCCACGCCCTGGGTGAGGGCGCCGGTGGAGCGGATCTCCTTGTTGAAGTCGTCGATGACGGGGATGGCCATGGCGTCGGAGCACGACTGGACCCAGTCCTTGCACAGCTGGTTGCGGTGGCGGGCGTGCACCGGCTGCACCGTGTTGCGCAGGTTGTCGAGCACGCGGGTAAAGGTCTTGAAGTCCCAGCCGGCGCAGCCCTGCTCGACCCAGCGGTCGCAGTCGTACTTGAACGGCCGGAACGAGATCAGCGTGTTGTGCGAGGAGCAGCCGCCGAGCACCTTGGCGCGCGAGTGGCGGATGTGCGAGTTGCCATTGGGCTGCTCCGTCGTGGGGTAGTCGTAGTCGAGCTCGCCGCCGAGCAGGTTGAGCCAGTCCTTGAGCAGCAGCACGCGGTCGTCCTTGAAGTCGGACGGGCCGGCCTCGATCAGCAGCACCTTCTTGCCGGGCAGGTACTCGGACAGGCGGCTGGCAATGACGCAGCCAGCGGTGCCGCCGCCGACAATGACAAAGTCAAAGTCATTGGCGACGTTGGCGGGCAGCTGGGTGGTGGTCATGGTGGCGGCGAGGGGGGCAGGGCTGGGGCGCGAGAGACGACGGGACAATTGGGGCGGGCCGCGGAGGCTGAGAGGCGGGCAGGGCGGGAGGCAGAGGGGAGAGCGGAGAGCGGTGCTGGAGTCGCGGCGAGAAATGGCACGGGAGGACGGGTACTAATGGGATTTTGACGTAGGCTGACAGCGGAGCTAGGCGCAGCTCGAGTCTCGCCGCGCAGCAGCAATCGGGCTCCATCGCACGGCAGTCAGTCCACCGGGCGGCGGATCGCGCGTGTCGGTGAGCCGTCCGACGGGATCGCAGTGCTGGCGGCGTTTGCGGCCAGCAGGCGTCGAGGCCCTAGCGGGTGTTGCAGCGGCGGGCGCCCACCATGCTGGCCCCGGCCAAGCGCGCAAGCGTGCCTGGCCGCCCGCCCCACCGCCGCATCCCTGCACGCCCTGCCGTATCCGTGCCCGCTAACGAAAAGTTTTGAATCGCCTGGTGATGCCGCCGAGGCCCCCTACGTAATGTTGGAGCTCCCGCGATAAGCTGCCACGCCGCTGCCATCTCCTCACGTCCTGGCACCCTGGCCCCATCCACTCTCCTCCCATCGCCTCTCCGGCTGCTGCTTCCCGTCCGTCGCCCTCTGCTTATCGCCGCAGCCCGCCCTCTCGCTCCCGTCGCGCCAGCTCCCCGCCCGCTCCTCGCCCGCTCCCCCCGCGTCTCAGCCCGATTCCTCACCACCATGTCCGCCCCCTCGTACGCGACCCGGCAGCTGTTCTGGGACGGCAAGCCGCAGCCTGCCTCGTCCGGCCAGACCTTCCAGAGCATTGACCCCTCGACCAACCAGCCCATCGCCACCATCCAACAGGCCTCCCATGGCGACGTCGACTCGGCCATCGCCTCGGCCCAGACAGCCTTCGCCTCGTGGGCCTCCACCCCGCCCGTGCAGCGCGCCCGCATCCTGCAGAAGGCCGTGCAGCTGCTCCGCGACCGCAACGACGACATTGCCCGCCAGGAGACGCACGACACGGGCAAGGCCTTCAGCGAGACCAGCACCGTCGACGTCGTCACCGGCGCCGACGTGCTCGAATACTACGCCAACATGGTGGCTGGCGGCGGCCTGAACGGCGAGACGGTGCGCCTGCGCGACGACGCCTGGGTCTACACCTCCAAGGAGCCCGTCGGCGTGTGCGCCGGCATTGGCGCCTGGAACTATCCCATCCAGATGTAGGCATGGCCCAAATCGACGAGCACGAAGCAAAAGTCCACCCCCCCAGCTGACAAGACGACAACACGCGCAGTGCCCTCTGGAAGTCGGCTCCCTGCCTCGCGGCGGGCAACACCATGGTCTACAAGCCGTCCGAGTTCACGCCGCTGCACGGCGAGACGCTGGCCCAGATCTACACCGACGCGGGCGTGCCCCCGGGCGTCTTCAACATCGTGCAGGGCGGCGGCGACGTCGGCGCGTACCTCACGGCGCACGCAGGCATCTCCAAGGTGTCGTTCACGGGACAGGTCAGCACGGGGGCTAAGGTGGCGGCGTCGGCGGCGGGCGGCATGAAGTACGTGACGATGGAGCTGGGCGGCAAGTCGCCGTGCGTCGTGCTGCCCGACTGCGACGTCGGCATGGCCGTCGACGGCGCCATGGTCGCAAACTTCTTCAGCACCGGCCAGGTGTGCACCAACGGCACGCGCGTCTTCGTGCCCGAAGCCATGCTGCCCGCCTTCGAGCGGGCGCTGCTCGACAAGATGCAGTACGTCCGCCCGGGCGACCTGTTCGACCCGTCCACCAACTTCGGCCCGCTCGTCAGCGCCGTGCACCACCAGAAGGTGGCGGCGTACATCCAGCACGGCATCGACGTCGACAAGGCGAAGCTGCTGTGCGGCGGGCCGGGCGCGCCGGAAGGGCTGCCGGCCGGGCTGAGGGACGGCTTCTGGGTGCGGCCGACGGTCTTCACCAACTGCACCGACGACATGAAGATCGTGCGGGAGGAGATCTTCGGGCCGGTGATGAGCATCCTGCCGTACAAGACGGTGGACGAGGTGGTGCGGCGGGCCAACGCGACGCCGCTCGGGCTCGCGGCGGGCGTCTTCACAAACGACCTCAACGCGGCGCACCGCGTGGTGCAGCAGCTGCAGGCGGGCATCACCTGGATCAACACGTGGGGCGAGAGCCCGGCCGAGATGAGCGTCGGCGGGTGGAAGAGCAGCGGCGTCGGCGTCGAGAACGGCCGCAAGGGCCTCGAGGCGTGGGTCAAGAACAAGAGCACGCTGGTCGACATGAGCGGCGCGGTCCCTACCGTCTTCTCTAAGTTGTAGATTTTTTTTTTTTTTGAAGGACGGAAGTTGAAGAAGCATGGGATTGGCGTTCGATTGAAGAGTAAGGGAGGGGGGGAAATAAACGCCAATTGTTTTCTATTACGCCAACTTTACTCGCTGAATGTACAGTACATGCATACATACACACAAAAGAGCATCAACGACATGATCTACAAACCGTTGTCCGGGTGGTGTGAGAGCGGGGGAGCGTTCCTCCTCTCCCTCCTCCCGTCCTCCCCCCCACGCCGCGGAGCCGGCGGCTTATCCCGCCTTTTTGTCCTTCCGCGAAAGGTGGTGGCGATAGCAGCGCGCCCTGTGAGTACCTAGTTTCCGATCCTGCTGATTTTTTATTTTTTTTTGCGTGACTCGGTGAGGCGGGCTTTGTTGACTCGTGCACGCCACGGGTCTGCATGAGGTGTGAGCTAAGTACCTAGCTCGCTTCGCGTCGATGATGACGACGGGCGCGGCCCTTTTTTTTTTTTTTTTTTACGCGAGCTGGATGATGGGTGGAAGGAACACAAAGCCTTCGGTTTCGGAAACCATGCTAGGTATCTGTCGTAAGCGCGAAGGAAGGAGGCGCTGGCTGGTGCTGCTGCTGGTGCTGCTGGTGCTGCTGGTGCTGCTGCTGCTGCTGCTGCCGCCGCCGGCTGGCTTTGGGTCTCACGCACGCACGCCCGCCGAACACCTACTCTCGGAGTGGAGGGGTTTCGGCGAGATGATGCACAAGGGATCCACCGGCCTGCCATAGACGTTACGTACTGTGGTACAAGTGTAGGGCGGGGGGCGTCTGTGTGTGTGTGGGTGTCGGATCGGTCGATTTGGCTACGGTTGCACTACTACTGTCTAAAAAGTATCAATGCTTCTTCTTCTCTCCCGTCTTTTTATTGAGCCTGAGCCTGAGCCTGAGCCTGCGCTTGTGTTTCGCACGGCGTCGAGATATACTACCTAGGAGGCAAAGAGGAGGCGAAGAGGTGGCGATGGTAGGTAGTGCAGTCTAGTAAGCAGTAGTGTTGGTCGCACCTGCATCCATCGTTTTCCTTCCTTTTTCCTTCGTGGTCGCTTCTAGCCGGCTTCCAGAATGCTTCTACGTTACGGCGAATGACGACGACGACAACCGAGCATTTCGATTCGTTCTCGTCACCCCGCCGTCAGTAGTCAGCCAGTCATCAGCCAGTCATCAGCCCGCCCGCCAGCCAGCCAGCCAGCCCAGCCCAGCCCAGCCCAGTCGCAACTGCAAACGTCAAATGGCAAAAATGTCCCCCCGTCCCTTATTAACCGGAAACAGGCAACGAAAGAGCGTGCGAAACCATTGGCTTCTGCTTTTTTGCCTCTATCACAGCCAGCACGACACTTATCTTTGCATTATTAGCAGCAGCAGCACTTACGTCCCAGCAATCGTCGGGGCTGCCGACTCGTTCGTTCGTTCCGTTCGTTCGTTCGCCGCCGCAAATAACAACAATGCAGCCGCCGTCCCGCACGTCCCGTCTCGCCCCGTCTCGTCTCGTTCCTCCGTCGGCCGGCCGGCCGACCCTGCATGCCTGCATGCCTGCATGCATGCATATCTGCATATCTGCCTGCAGGACCCTGGGTAGGCGCGGATAAGCGCGCTCCGGAGTCCGGACATGTGTCGACATCATTCATTCGTTCGTTCCGGGTTTTCCCTCATCAGTGACATGAGAGAGTGTGGGGAACGAACGGGAATTAATAAAAAAGGCCCACGCACCGGGGTTCCGGCGCGCGTGCGCCAAAACGCTGATGTTGTGAGGGGGATCCACACCGGCATTTTTGCGTCTTGGCTGCCGTTTTTGGGGTGACGCTAGTAGGGGGGGGTGGGTGGTGCAGTTGCTGTTTTTGATCACACACGCTTTTTTTTTCTGTGCGTTCGTCTTGCTATCGCTGTGTTTCTTTTTGTTTTTTTGATCCCTGCTATCGATGGTCGGTCGGTCGGACGGACGGGCGGATGCGTGGGTGGGTTTTCCGATCGGACGCGCCCGCTGCCTGCTGGTGGTGTGAGATTTTGTTTGACGGAGGGGAATGCGGTGGGGGGGAGGGTTGCTTGTGTAGAGTTGCTTATAGGGTGCTATTTGCGCTGCCCGCCCCTTTGTTGCTTTGGTTTGCCAACGCGGTCCTACTCTTGCTTTTTGTTCCTCTCCGTCATGTAGGATGGAGGACGCTGAGCAGCGGTATTGTCGTTTCGACCAGCGATGATGGCTAAGAGACTTGTAGGCGCCATGTTGTTGAGCATTTCCCACTCTCCTCGCTGCTGAATCCTCAGCATCAAATTTCGTACTCGGGAGCATTCGCTGAATACCCTCCCTTCTCATCCTATTTTTCCTTCGCCTTCATGTCTGTCACAAAAATGGGACGATGAATACAAGAGCTGTCATTTCTTTCGAGCAGTCGCGTCAGCCCTATTTCCATATCAACCCTCCCCAATGGCAACGTAAGAATCCCGGACAACCCCAAGCTGTCTTCCCAGCAATCATCCTTTCCAACTCCCAGACCATCAACCAGCCCTATTCCGTCTCCCAGCTCACCCGCCATCGGCGCAGCAGCCCAGGAGAAGTTCAACGCCAAGTTCAGCGACCGGGGACCACGCGACACTCAGCAAGCCGTGGCATTCTCTTATCCCTCCGAAACGTAGGCATCACATCGTTCCAGACTCATCAGCAGTGGGCTGCCCATCATCGGTGGCTTGGCCGCTCGAGGGGAGAGAGAGAGAGAGAGAGAGAGAGAGAGAGAGAGAGAAAGCAGCGTCGATGCGCGCGATGCTCGGACCAAGTGCTTGCGTTTCGCGTCCCCCTCCCTCCCCCGGACGACAGCACGACTCCACCAAAACACCCGGACGCCGGTGCCGTCACTGGGAACTTCTCAACTCCCTAGCGGACGGGGACGGTAGCCGCATCGGGCTAATGTGCTGGCCTTTCGACGTGCGAAGATGAGACGGTAGCGGCGGCTCGTGCGAACGCGCCGTGGGCTCGTGCTGCCGAGGGGAGGAGAGGGGGGTGGGGAACGGCCGACCGAGCTGGGCCACGTCGTCGCGCGCTGGGCTGTGGGTGATGCGGGAGCTGGTTGGCGGGTTTGGATGCGTGTGTTTCTGGTGGTGGGACTGCTGCGGGCTGGATTTCTCTGCGAGTTGGATGTTCGATGGGCATTGGGGATGGGGATGTTACGTGGCCTTGTGTTTGTCTTGGGCGGTGAGTTTGTACAAGAATCGGAAAACGTGAACAACCTCATCTACCATCGTTGATTCATTGTGAAACTTGAGGAGGCTATCTTGCATCCAGCTCTAGCAAAGTCGTCGGCTCGGGATTCTACAGTGCGCTGATGTGTTCCCGCAGAAATATTATGATGTTCGTCAAGTCTATCCATAACCACTTCTGTTTGGATCCAGAATGCATTTCATGGAACAATGCTTGTGCGAATATGTCCAAACAACTTCCAAATAAACATACATACCATCCAGAGCTGATTCTCAATCACATCACAAGGTTTCAGCAGAATATCCATTTCTCACGTAATCCGGGCCATGCCGTGATGAGTTTGACATACCTGCAGCAAGAAATTTCATGAGTGCTAAAGCCATCGCACCCAGCCAGCGGATTCCCGGTGACGTTTGATTGTCCGATGGCTTCGATAAGCGACCGATCTGCTACCACTCTGCTTTCTAAATGTTCTCAGATGGTTACACAATATTTCTTACGCTGCGCCTTCCGCACGGGAAACCATGGACCAGTCACCCCCACTAGTACGATTGTTCCCACCGGTACGGCCAACCTAATTTCTTTGTTTACTAAGGCGCCATCTCCGGACTCAGTACATGTGATGGCCAATGCGGTGGCCGATGCTGTGGAAGTGGAGTTGCCAACGGAGTTCCTCGACGAGGTTTCCGCTGCTTGTGTGAATGTCGTAGAAAGAGTAGAGTTGGCCGAGATATCCTAGCAGAACCCGGGGCTCCAACATGCCGAGGACAAGCTACATTCGTGTAGTGATGACTTGGCTCTGCAAAGCTGGCCGAGCAAATGATGATTGGTGGAAACCACCCCACCCCTCTTCCCCAACATATAAGATCATATTCAAATGAACACAAGTAAGAAAAGCCGCAAGAAAACTCGTGGTCTTCGTCTCTGTATGAAGCTGTGGGCTCAACTTGATTTTCAGTCAAAGTATAAACAGACCCAGTAATATGGTTTCTATCGTAGACATGTATTTCGACAGAATACATCAACTGACCACGCTAGATTGTATACCAGCTTGGGCTCACTTCAGTATCTCTTTCACCCTCGGGAGGGCCTGCGTTGGTGGCGTGGCGTGGCGTGGCGTGGTGGCCAAGGGCAAACCTTTACAATTACTCTATCTGTCTTCTCCTGGTCTTTTTTCGAAATACATGGAGACTACTTGGTCACCGAATAAATGTAGAGTCCTTGGCTGAGAAAGGATCCCACTCGCCAGTCTCAGCAATCCGTAAACTGACAGCGAACTACACAAATTGGGCAGAGCAGCTTTCTGCCTTACGAAAACGTCTTCCTCTTTCATTGTGTTCTCGTTCCGTGTGCTTGAGAAAAATCAGGAAGTGATGTCAACCAATCTTCATATGTACAGCTATACTTTGAGCTCTAGTTAGTTCGAAGTCTCTAGGAGGATTAACTTGCAATTTCTATGCCTCCTTGAACACTGTTAACCGCAGTGCACCCCAAGTGAGACAATACTCGAGCTGCTGGAAAGCGGCTTCGAACTGTACGGTGGATGTAGCTACTCTACTTGCAGACAACTAATACCCAATACAAGATCTTCTCGACCGTTCAACGACCAGAGCAATTCAAGAAAGAGACGGCCCCAGTTCGAGCTTCGCAATGTCAGGATTCTGGGCGTAGTTGCTTCTTTCGTTCAGCTCCTTGCCTTCAATTTGTCTGACGTCAGAAGCCGAGTGCAACCATCGCTCCTCGGTGGTGATGAAATTAAGTGATTGGCCCACGCCTTCAGAAAATGGGGGCATATACAAGGAGGCATGGATGACTTAAAGGCGAGGGGTAAAGAGGTCTGTTCCATCTTCGCCGCATCAGAGCTTGGGAATGCCATCAAGCAACTTTTGTTCCTAGGTAGAGTAAGAAAACATCATGCCTATTGCGCATTTTATGCCTTTTTTCCCTGCAAAAAAAAAAAGAAGAAAAAACGTCCAATACCAACACCGTCGTAATCTCGTATCACAACGCCACCGCCCATCCACGCCAACTTACATATTCGAAAAAACATCTGCCCCCACCCGCCCCCATCCCAAACCCGTCCCCAATCACGGCAGTTCCGACCTAGGCTGCCCCGCAACCTCCGAGGCAACGTGCTCCGCCGCCGCCAGCTCCGCCTTGGTGTGGCGCGGCGCCCCTCCCGCGGGAATCTCAAAAACGTCGACCCCCCGCCGCCGCTGCCGCCGGTGCTCCTCCTCCAACCCCTCGCCCTCCACTTCCCCCTTCTCCACCTCCGCAACACCCGCCACACCTCCTCCTCCTCCTCCCCCCACCGCCCCCACCGCCGCCCCCATCCCCATCCCCCTCCCCTCCCCCCGCCCCTTCCTCCTCCCCAACACCCAACTCCCCACCGCCACCCCCAGCACCAGCACCGCACCCACCGGCACCGCGACGCCGATGGCGATCTTGGCCGAGAACTTGCTTATCGTCGTCACCGTCCTCGTCGTCGTCGCTGTTGCTGTTGCGGCTCCCGCGGCGGTCTGCGAGGCGACGGCGGTGGCGGACGGCACGCCGATGGTGAGGAGCTGGTCGGCGGCGGCGCGGTCGTCGCAGCAGTCGGGATGGTCGCAGCAGAAGACGCCGTTGCCGCAGTAGTGGACGGGTTCGGATGTTGTGGGGCGTTCTGTTTGTGTTTGTGTTTGTGAGAGACGGGCGGGAAGGTTAGGGGAAGGGGATGGGTGAATGGGTGGGTGGGTATCACGTACCCTGGACGCAGAAGCTCATGCACTCGTCGGCCTGCCAGGTGGGGTCGGTGCAGGACGAGCGCGTGAACTGGGTCGACACGGAGGCGTTGACGGCGACGGCCTGGCAGAGGCCCGGGCTCCAGCACGTCTCGCCCTCGTTGCAGCAGATGCTGTTGGAGCTGCCGGTGGTGCCGGCGCTGCAGGGGACGAGGCCCTCGTCCTGGTTGCCGGCGGGGTAGAAGCAGCTGGATGATAGGGTGGCGCTCGGGAGACAGGGGAGGATGGATATGCGAGACAGTTTCATGGCGATGGGTGACGGACGGACAGACGGACGGTTTGCCCTTGGATGTACGGCTGAAGGTGATGCTCGGGGGCGTGGGGATCTGGGGATATGGGCTATTGTATGTACATATATACCGCATCCGTCGAATTTGTTGCTTGTGGTATAGACCGTACCACACGTATTCGTGACCATTTCTTGGTTCGCTTCTCCGGGATTTGTCCCTCACAAGAAACGATCCAGTCGGCCATTCGTGAGTGCATCGTGGACGATCATCAATCACGTTACGTAAAGATACGTATTAAAAAACAACATAATCCAGGTTACTGAGGTATCTTTCGCTCCTCCAATCACTTCCGGTTTTTTGATTGGGCTTATGTGAGAGGCTGCATGCAGGCGACATGGCGTGCAGGAACAGGCATGGGCAATGCGCCGCACGCGAGCTGAGAAGCAAGCCAAATGACGTGGCTCGTCTTGGCTGCTCATAATAGACTGACCGGCTGCTGGAAGTAGCGAGTCCGGTCGCAGCCGAGTATGCAAAGTAAGCAAGTCGTGAGGGCGCATCTGCTCCAGCTTTGACAGTTAAATATCCATTTTTCCGTCACACTCAACGATTCATTTTCAATCTTCAGTCCAGCTGCTCGCCAATATCCGCCGTGATGACAACAAACGTCGAACCGCCAGCTGCAGAAGACTACAATGTGGCATGGATCTGTGCACTCCCAGACGTCGAGTTGGACCCGGCAAGGCTGATGCTCGACGACGATTACGATACTCCATCATCCATCGACGCGCGGTGGGACGACGTCCAATACTTCTGCGGGAGAATGCACGACCATCGAGTCGTCATAGCATGCCTTCCAAACGGCGAATCGGGCAATGTCAACGCCAGTCGCTTAACGTATGCACTTTTCAGGAGCTTTGCGAACATCAAGATCGCCTTGCTGGTCGGCATCGGCGGTGGCGTCCCCCGCCCAAGCAGTAAAAGGGACCCGTTGGACGAAATCTACCTCGGCGACGTAGTCGTCGGATGGCCTGATGATGGGGGAGACGCAGTCGTCTATCACGATCGAGGCAAGGCCACAGCTAACGGCCGATTCGAGATGAGAGGCCACATTCCAGAACCGGACTGGTCCACCAAGCAGGCGCTTGGTTCCATCAAGTCGAATCACAGGCTTGGGAAGACAAAGTTCGATGACCATCTCATGAGGCTCAACCGATTGAACGGATCCGCAATGCCGAGTAGAGATCAGGATTATTTGTTCGAGGCTGGATACATCCACGAAGATCCTGAGCTGACCTGTGAATCGTGCGACAGGTCACGGCTTGTTACACGTCCAGAGCGCTCGGAGAATCGATTCGTATTCCACATGGGCAGGATTGCCACGGGTAACTCGGTCATCAAAGATGCAGAAAGAAGGGACAAAATCAGCAAAGACTGTGGCGGAGCGCTCTGCATCGAGATGGAAGCAGCAGGCGCCAGTGTCAACAGAAACATTCTCGTCATACGCGGCATATCCGACTACGCCGACTCCCACAAGAACGACAAATGGCAATTCCATGCGGCCAAGAATGCTGCAGTCTTCGCCCGAGAGCTGCTGTGCACCATGCGTGCAAGCAAGGTCAAGGCGATGGAAGGACCCGCCCGAAGCGCTGAGATAGCAATTCCAACACCGAAGCCCGAGCCCGAATCCACACCACATTCTGAGAACAAACCTGAAGCGGCCGGCAGCCCCATGTATCAAACACAGGGAAGCCCCAGAGATCCCAAACTCAAGCCGCTTGGTACCGATGGAGTGAGTGTTCTGCGAGAATTGCGGCAAACCCTCGACACTTGGCTAAATGATACGAATAGGCCGTGGAATTACCTGGTTCGCGCCCCTGACACGGGACACTACTCGAAACAGCTTCTGGCGGTGAGCTGCCAGCTTGTGCAGAGCGCAGTAAAGGATTCTCTGCCCTTGCTGTCTTGGAAAGCCGGCCCGGACCACCCGACTACTCTTCGGACCATGTGCGTGGAAATGGCAGAGCAACTTTCCGGCTTCCTCCACAAACGGATCAGCCAGCCTCAGAGAGATTGCTGGGAGATTGGGCTGTTGGAAAAGTGTTTGCAGCAGCTCCAACGCCCGGTGTTTGGGTTGATCTATTGTTTCGAGTTCGTGCAAAGCGGGGATGAGAGGTTCGACCAAGAGTTTTTCCGACTTCTTCATGAACACGCCGGTCGGCATAAGAACACGAGGATCTTGTTTGTGACATTCCACGGGGATGCACGGCTCACGAAACATCTCCAAAGAGGATGGTATCAACGTAGCGCGTTGAATGAAGTTCCGATTGGAAATCTTCGTTTTAGGGAAGAGGCATTCATGAGCTGAGTATCAATGTTCTTTGGCGTACTTTACATTTCGTTGGCGGATATACACTCAGGGCACACATCAAGTTGAGAGGTCAGATCTTGCCACAAATGAGACAGGCCGAATTTCATTGGCATTCGCTAGTTCAACAAATTGATTTGACGAAGCTATGGACAACTTAACGATGTGATCTCCAATACTTGTTGCTTATGAGAAGTTTAGTAAAGAGGGATGTAGGAAAGAGAAACCGAAAAAGTATCAAATGACCCTCATTTTCTGAAAAAATCAACACATGCTAGCAAGCACGAAGGATACCAACCTAATTTCCCCACATGTTTTCATCATGAGCTTGTTTCTGGATCGATTCGATTTGATGAAGCTGTTGAAAAGCCTCTGTTCCTCCACTCGTCAATTTCTCCTGGTGAGCACGGAACTTTACCATGTTCTGCATGATCTTTGCGACGGACTCCGCGTCAATGCTTATCCCCCCAGGTTTGTTGCCATACCGAGAGTGCTTTTCCGTCGCAAGCGCAACCGCCATGTGGAAGACTGAATCCATTGTTATTTTCCAAGTCAAAACAGGACCTTTAGATGTTGAGTCACTCACTCGTCTTGATTTCGCGTCCGTTGAAATTCGAACGAGAATCCGCAATCTGCTCGAACTTTTCCCGGGCTCCGTCGCGTACATCATATCTGCCATCTTTTCCGATCTTGTCCTTATACTTCTCGATGAGCTGTCGTCGTTGAAGGGGTTCAAGACCGGGCATATGAACCAGGGGAGATATCCGGTTGAGGATGGCGTCGTCGAATTTGCTCATTTTGTTTGCCGTGAGAAAGAGGATCCCTCGGTAGTACTCAAGGGCGCGCAGGAAAACTTGGTACAAATCTTAGTGTCCGCTGACAAAAGCCACGTAGAGGAAAGCGTGAGGGGTCTTACCAGTCACAATCGTCTCACTTTTCAACGAGTCTGACAGACCTCTTTGATGGAGGTACACATCTGCTTCGTCAATGAGGAGGATTCCTTGCCATTCTTCAGCCATCCTAAACCATTTCCATAGTCGATCTTCAAGGGTGACAGGATTTATGCCTAAGAGACGTCAGTTACAGATCACCATCTGGTTGACATCTCACCTACCTAGCTCCTTGCACGATAAGCGAAGCAGTGGCCTCCCTGTCAACATCTCAGCGTTACTGAAAATTTCCAGCTGACCAGAGGAGCTAATCACCTGTATCTTCGGCCAGGCATTCGACTGTGAAAGTCTTTCCGGTGCCGGGTTTGCCATACAGGAGCATGATGCGCCCCTCTCCTTTCCCCGCTATTGGGTCGAACGAAACTGGAGCCTGTTCTCCGCCGGAAGATCTTTGGCGCGAATCCAACTTCGGCGTGAACGCCTTGATCATGCGCAAATCCTCCGGAGAGATTTGTAGCTCCTTGATTGGGCCGTCGCGGTCGCTTTCGGTTCTTGGGTCTGTGTCCGAAATGCTTTGGCATATAGCCGTGCTTTGAAGTTTGGGTAGACTTACATTTTTCCATGTTTTCCACATCCAACCATACTAGACAAGTGACTTTTAGAAAAGCGCATCCGCCATGATGTAGAGTTCGAACTTACCCCATTGCCTCGTCGCCAAGGTGAACCCTCTGATGTACCTCGCAAGCAACAGATAATGCGAGTCTTCCAGATTGTTGTTCTCCTTGCTTGGGTCTATGTCCACATACTTCTTCATTTCCCCACTGCTGTTGTTGTCTGAGCGCCAGATGTCTGTTTTCTGGACCCAGGACTCTGGTCCGAAGTCTGGAGGACCGTACTCTCGGCAATGGAAGACTGGATCCACCACTACTTTTCCGTTGTACTGTTCTGTTTAGTCAACCGTTGTCAGGTCCAGATATTGTACGAGTGGAGCTCACGAAATGTCTCTCCTTCATGGTCTTCTTGTGGTCTTGATCCTTGAACACAAATCCATCGTAGACGCATTGGGGTGCAAGGCTCTGCAGAAAGGTCATGTACTTTTTCCCACGATTCGTGAGCTTTTCCCTCAGGCTCGGATCAGGGTGATACTTGATGGGATATGCATCAAGGGCAAGAATGTTTCTCTGCCCAGTGAAGTTTTCGATGCGGAGCTCATGCCGTCTGCGATCCAAAACCTTCCCTAAAGATTACGTCAGCGCTGATGCTTCAATCTGCCATGAATCGTTCAAATGCTGTCACCATTGAAATCAAGAAACCAGAGTTTCAAGATGAGATGGACTGGTGTCCACGTGTCGTCCAGGATCTGCCCGCCGCCCCAAAATGGGATCAGCACCATGCAGCATGCCCACTCATCGTCAATCTTGGTGTACACCAATTCTCCCGGGCGGAAAAGCAGCCACAGCATATCAAACGAAGCGACTGGCGGATTCTGCCGATATCCCTGTTGTTCCATCTCAATCGGTTCCTTCAAGACCTTGTCCAGCTCATGTTCAAGCTTCTCAATGTGCTTGACGGTCAGCTCCAGATCTTCTCGGCTTTGGTCAGATCCGAACCGTTCCTCTTTGAGTTGGGTCTGATACTTCTCACGCACTCTCTGAATGTTGTTGCGTGCGCCACCAAACATTCGATAGGGCCGTGAGACTTTCATCATCTGGTTGCCAACACTGAGCTTTCCGCCGGCGTTCTTGGAACTCGGATAGTATCCGACGAGTTCTGGCATGATTTTGATGAGGTAAGGTGAGTGGATGACCATCGTCTCATCAATCAACGCGCTGAACTTGTTTCCTGTCCGTGTCTTGCTGAGATAGCCATCTTTTCTCATCTCAAGGACCGAGCCATATCCCTCCACATGCATCCGGTCCCATTCCTCCTCACTTACATTCTGAGGAGCCCAATACGAGTCATTCTTCGACGTTTTAGATCGAATTGTGTAGGTTACGAGATCCTGAGCCGCAGAGGGTGACGTGTTTGTATCCTCGCGTGCTGGGGGTTGATTTGGGCGTGTAGACGTGGCTATCAACTGTTGAAATCGACTGAAAAGTTCAACGACTTGGTGTATTTGTCGCGGATTCAACCCTTCCATTCTCTGCTCAGTAGGGTTTCGGGGCTGGATATATCAGGAACAAACTCAACAGTTTAATGCCCGAGCATACTTACTTCTGTGGCTACTGGTACTGTTTCGTTGTCAAGTACAACTGTTGCACTGTCAGGTACATCTTTTGCACTGTCAGGTACATCCGTTGCACTCCCAGGTACATCCGTTGCACTGCCAGGTACATCAGTGCCATTGCCAGGGACATTCGTCATGTCGCCATGTACACTGCGTTCGCTAGTTTCAGGGGTTTCTTGCTCGAGGACATTTGCCGAGGAAGAGGAGGGAAGAAAGAGAGGCAGATTGTCTCCACCAAAGTCCAGTCCCGGCGTTGAGTTTTCCGGATGGACTAGTTTTTCTTCCTCGGCAGGATATGACGGGGAAGGCTGACGGGGATTGTCAGCCTCGTCCTCCATTTTTGCTGCCGTCGAACAATGTCAGTATTGAAAAAATCAAATTCATGCAAGGCTTCTCACTCGCAGCTCACTTGGGTTCTTTACTGATACAATCGAAGGCAGGTCATCGAGACAAGAGAACGGGTCGAGAAGGTTTGGCGAAATCCTCGAATGCTGAGAAAAACACGGAACCTGCTGCCAGTTATATAGCATGTATGCTCGGCCAGCCCACGTTTTACGAGCTACGTAGCGCTAGAAAGGAATGTCGAATGGCGAAAAGGCTCTCGCTTTCGCTTTCAGCTCCGATGCAAATGGCCGGTTGCAGCGGTTGCAAGTATTATCGGGTGCTCGAGGCTGACGTGTCAGTGCAGTTTCAGCTTGCAGCCGTCTCAAAAAGGTAGAGATAACCGGCTATGTAGGTCATGGCTTATTCGGCAAGGCAGACTTCTGACTAGGGTTAAGAAGCCAGCCAAACGAGAGATCCGCCTCGTCAGGCAACACTTGTCCGTCAGACCTTTTCTGAGATAAGTAATACCATATCATTGGTTGATAGATCGGGTGCCAAAGCCCAATTACTGTGTCGCACAGGCTGCGTAATTGTTGGTGGCGTAATTTTACGAAAGTACTGGGTGCGAAGTTCAGCCTCTCGCATCGTGTCACTTTTGCTAGCTACTACTGTTCACCAAGAGCTACTATTACCACGCCATATCTCTAGTGAATTTCTTAAAGGGCTACCTATCCTTACTATACCTAGCGCTGAAAGCACCATGTACGTTTTTCTTTTTCTCGTGCCTTATGTTCATGATGGTAAATACAGGCGAACAAGGCTGCCGTTGGAAGAAGCATGTAAGCAGCCACGCTACGAAATGGCTTTAGGAACGGAACCATATGCTCACAATTACTTGGCATCGAATCACTATTGCTGTGTTTAGCTCGGCCAAGTGGTCAGTGGCGTTCTTTCGAATTGTCACCCGGGTCAACGGCAGGATGCATACATGCCCTGTTCAATACCCTGGCTGTATTCCCTGTCTCCATAACGCATTCGGACGTCCCCGAAGAGCGCTACCGGACTTTTACGTCTAACCAAACTGCTTACTAAAAATTCAGAGATGCCCAAAACAAAGGGACACTAATGCTGAATTTGTTGACACACGTGAGGCCTTGTCTGCCAAACTCCACAACGCCTTTTAATACGCTCGACGAGATGTACCTACAATTTATATTTACATCCATCAGCGAGGTCTCAAATTGGAATACGCGATATGTACATCAAAGTATCAACCACAAAAATCACTAACGACCTAGACTTCTACCCCGTTCCTTTCCTATAGCAGAACGTTATAGATGCACCTACGAGCACCAATCCACACCTCCAAGGAAGAAGCGAGAGCGAGAGCTCGGCTTTAGCCACAATTATCTCCGCATTAGAACACTCACTCGCGCGCGCACACAGAAAGAAAAAGAGAAATATCACGAACCAAGGGGACGACAACAACATCAATACCACCCATTTGGAAAGAAAAGAAATTCCGCTATATGCTCCAGTGACAGGTAAAGACACGCGCACGCGCACACACCACAAACTTGAAAAAAAAAAAAAGAACCCCCCACCCCCCGATTGTCCGTCCATGCCCCCCTTCTTCCCTTCCTCCCACCCTCCCATCTCTCTCTACCAATGCGTATACTTGGCCCACCCGTCCTTACTGCCCATAACAACGCTAAGTGCAACACCAACCACAAAGGAACCCCCTACCCCACCCCACCCCACCCCATCCCCATCAAGCCAGAAGAAAAAGCAAGAGGAGGGTAAAACCATCCTATCCGCATTGCATTGGAGAAAGAAAAAAAAAAAACCTCCCCCACTCGTGAAGAAGAAGTAGAAGTAAAGTGTTTAATAGCAAAGGGTTGCAAAAAAAAAAAAAGGAATAAATAAAACCCCCAATCTCTCGGCCCCCCAACAGCTGCTGCCACTTCCACGCCACGCCACGCCACACCGAACTCAATTCTCACTCCCCACGCCCTTATGGACGCCCCAGCCCCGACCCGCTCCGGGAAAGAAGAGAGATATAGAGAGAGAAAAAACCAGAAAAAAAAAGAAACGCCCCAGCCAGCACCCCTTCTTTGGAAAAACAAAAAAAAACAGGAGGAAAAAAAATCATTGAAAACATCCGCCAGCACCGTGAGAAATGGGAAAAGGGAGGGGGGAAGGAAAGGAAAGGGGTGAAAGAGCCAGCAAATACCAGTCAGCAGCGCCTAAAACTGAAAGGGGGAGGAAGGGGGGAGGGGAGAGGGGGTGAAGGAGCAGCATCAAGCCCCCTCCGCCCCCGTAGATGACGACGACGATGCTATGCAAGCACGCACGCACGTACAAACCACGTGATTGGAAGCCCCCCCTCCCCCCCGGAGACAATAATCGATGAAAAAAGCCAGGCCTGCGTTCCGCCCGTCTTGTCTCTCCGCAAGTATATATATATATATACCTTTACGCCATGAATGTCGAGTGTGGAGTGGAGTGGAGAGAAGCGAAGAAAGAAGAAAAAGAGGAAAAAGGAAAGAGTAAAAAAAAACAATTGATGCATACCCCCCTTCGCGTCTGGGTCTGAATGTTGCAAAAAAAAAAACTCCCATTTGCATTGATGGATGGATGGATGAATCGAAGAGAGGAAAAAAAAAGAAGAATAATTCCATCTTTGTTCCTTCCCTTCCCCCCATGCTTATACTGCTGACCTTTCTCTCAAACCAAAAAAGAGTCAATCAATGAGAATCAGTCTCATGCCGCTGCCTCTGATGTTCATGCTCTTGTTGCCGCTCGTCAATCTGCACGTCCCCGACACTCTTCTGATCCAACTCGTTGTCGCCAAAATCCGGCATCGGCAACCACGGAGCCTTCCCGTCAGGCGGCGGGCTGGCAGGCGTGATGAAGACGGGCGGTGGCGCGCTGCTGCTGGAGCTCTCGCCCGAATCTCCGCGACTGCGAGTCACGTTGCCGTCTGCTGCAGCTGCCGGGGACAACGTGGGGATGGTCGATGCGGCAGCTCCGTCCCCCGCTCTCATCGCTTCGTGACTGGACTTCTCGTTGTTGGGGGACGGAGTGGAGGGGCCGATGTCTTCGAGGTGCTCGGTCTGAGACTTTTCCCGCTCGTCCTCGTTGCCGATGACGGCCGCTAAGCTCCTGAAGTTGAACATGGGCTCGGTACCGGCGCCGCCGCCGGGAGGCGTGTCGGATCCAACATGAGGATCGGACGCGGAAGCCCCGCCTCCGAGGCTCAAGCCACTGTTGTTAGGGGATGGCTCAAAGGAAGATCCAGAGTTCACGTCCTGACCGTTTTGGCGCAGCGAGTCTGCTTCTTCCGATTCGGCGAGCGAGGACGCTGATGAGGACGCATTGGAGAGCTGTCGGAGTGCCATGCGATGAGATGTCTGCCCGGTGAGGTCGAGGGGGGAAGCGGGACCAACCGAGTCTGAGGGCTTCTGAATGCGTGCTCTGCTCTCCTCAAGGTGCTTCTGCGGATCTGCGCGCGCCGACGAGGAGGCTCCGGTGTTGAGCGTCGACGTGGGCTCGCACATGGGGTTGAATCCGGCTCCGGAACGGTCGATCGATTTCCCTTTCGAATCGCCCTGTGCAGAAGGGCCAGGCTGAGGAGCATCCTCCGGGACATCGACGGGGAAGAAACCAGTCTTGCGGCCGTACTTCTGAGCCTTCTTCTCCTCCTTGGCCTTCTTCTTCTCTTCCTTTTTGGCCTTCTTATCCGCCTCCTTCTCCTCCTTCCGTTTCCGTTCCTCTTCCGCAGCAAGACTGAGCCTGATCGCCTCCATCATCATGAGTTCCTCGAGATCCTCCATGCGACTTCTCCGCGAGCCATGCCGTCCCGAAGAATCCTGCTGCTGGCTTTCCGATCCGCGCTCTCTGCCTGCCGAACCTAGAAGCTGAGTCAGAGGGTCGCTGGATCCATTTCGTGGCGTTCCTGTGCCGCTACTGTTTGGGCTGTCGTTGCTCAAGAGATTTCTTCTCCTCCTACCTAGAGTGAATCCTCTGCTGTCCGACGAGTTGTTGCCAATGACGTATGCGGCATTGTGTAGGGCGGTCGCAGCGGCAGATCTCCGCAGCGCGTGCGCTCGTGCGTCTGCGAGTTTCTTGGCCCAATCCGGACGCACCATATCCGTCGTGATGACCTGCGGTGAGTTTGCTGATAGCGATTTGCCCCGCTTCCTTCCACCTCCACCCTCTGTCGACGTAGGAGCTGCAAGAGAGGATGCCGAAGACATGGCCGAAGGCTGAATGGTCTGGCCCTGGTACGCAAGGCCTTTCCTGAACGGGGGCGCTTCATATGTAACACCAAATTCTGGCTGCTTGCAGAAGGGACACGCGGCAGGTTCGGATACCAACATGCAGTCGTCTTGAGGCTCGGTCGAAGGGGGCGGGGCGTTCGGGTCGTTTGGATCGTGGTGCTCGGGCGGATGGGGATCGGGCCGCTTGATCTGGACGAAGCATTCGGAGCAGATGGGCTGGTCGCAACACCTAGTCATGTTCAGGTAGGGAGGATAGTAAAGAAAGCAGATGGGGCACTCGGAGGCGTCTTTGTACAGGAATGCTTCGAGTCGTTGGCCGTTCACGTAAGGGTCCTTGGGCAGCATGACCTCTTGGGGCGTCATATCAGTTTGCGAGTTATTCTTCGAGGACGTTGTCAAGGCCGCGAGAGTCTTGGCGCGGCCGCGGAAGAAGGGAGATGATGAGGATGTGTTACCGAGAGGCGAAGTGGCCGAAGGAAGCGAAAAGGCACTCTGGCCGGGGGAAAGACGGCCGGAGGCATCCGAGGTGCTGGAGGGCGTTCTGCCGGTGATGGGCACCATCAGGCCGTTGAGGCTCTGCTCGGATGACTTTGGGTTCTTCGAATCGGCGGTCCGCGCGGGCTCCAAATCGGCAGGGAGAGGCTCGTCCGGGGCGGGCAGCGGGCGGTCATTGACGATGCACACCAGCTGAGCCTCGGTCCATGTGTCTTCGTGGTCATTGAGGCCCTTCCAGAACGGAGCCACACGGCGTTCAATCTGGGATGATCAGCTCCACTGCGGCATTGAAGCAAGAGAACGGCATACCATCAGCTGGCGGACTGTTGATTTGCTAAAATCCTCGGGGCCGGTGTAGGTGCCCAGAGTGACCAGGTATCCTCCATCAACACCCTCCTCGCGCACGCTCCGCTCGCGCTCCTGCTCCCTCAGTATCCGCTCCTTCTCCCGCTTCCGGGCCTCACGCTCGGCTCTGGTCTCGCGCCTGGTGAACTCGGGAGGGTCTCTGTCGGAGCTGGTGTTGATGCCGAGGAAGGAGAGGTCGGGGCGGCTGCTGCGGCCGCTGCGCGACGAGTACATGCGGTCGCCGGATTGGTTCTGGGCGCCTTGCTGCGAGCCGTGCGAGTGGCCATCGTGCGACCTCGAGTGGCCCAGCGACGTGCCGGGGCGCCCCTCTCTGCTGGAGTTGTTGCCCATTGCTGCGAGGACGGGCGGGTTGGGCGTCGGCCTGGCGTCAGGAGTCCGAGCAGAGGTTTTGGTGCAGGGCTCGGCTGGCTCGCGCAAGCAGGCGTCGCTCTGTATCTGGCGTGTGTCACCTGGACGGTCAAAGCAAGACAGCGCCTTACCCGCGGCGCATCCTGGAGCGGAAGCTTATCGCAGGGCTGGGTGCGGTGTGGCCCGGCGGTCGCGTGGACAGGCGACGGGCGGTTGCGATTTGCAGACGGCGGATGGCGTAACGGGGGGTTTTGGCTGGGTTAAGGAAGGCGAGAGGTGGGTTGTGGTAAGCCAGCGGGAGGGCTTGGGCGTTAGCTGTTTGGGCTGAGGCGGGCGGTGCGCTGTCGACGGGCGAGCTACGATGCAAGGATGATGCTCTGGCCAACGTGGGCCGACGGCGGGGGCTCGTCAGGCAGCGTGGCAAGGCTTGTTGTTTGAGGGCGACTGCTGCGCTCGCTGGCAGAGGCTGGTGTTCCGGTGGCGCGGGAGGGCCGGCTGCATGTGCTCCTCTTCGCTGCTCTGGCCATGGCTGCTCGCTCAACGCACGCGGGGGCACAGCCAGAGAGCCCAGAGAGCCCAGAGAGCCCTGTCCACCGCGGCATGACGCACGCTCCGAACAAACACCTGCAATCTCACCGCGACCGACCTGCTCTCCGATCCCGCACACTCCAGCTGCCCACCTGCCCTCCCCCGCCGCGCGCTGCGCTCTGAGCGCACTGCTCGCACTGCTCGCACTGCTCGAGACCGCTGCAGCTGTGCTGGCCTCCCGCCCTGCACGGGCGGATCTCCGCCCAAAAGGCTGTGCTGCCTCTGTGCCTCTCTCTCAATTGCGTCACTGCCGCTCTCCCCAGCCTTTATTCCCGCCGTGCCACTGATTCAGCCTGCCTCCTATTCGATGGCCTGGGACGTCTAACTCTGCATGCAGCACAGTTGCAACAATACGACTCTCTTCACCGGTGCTTTCCACGCATCCTTCGGCCTTTCTTCCTTGATTTCTTAGCCTTCTACACTCGCCCACGTACATGCGTCTCTCTCGTGACAAAGCGACGATCAGATACCCAAACAATGGCGTCGTACAGGCATGCATCATGCTGCCGAAGCGCTAATTGACCCACGCCGCCGGAGTGATATTTCCCTTCCAAAAGCAAAAAAAACGCCCTGTCGTGAACAAGCTCATCGACCACCCCAATCGTCACCTCAACGGCAGCTCTGTGGCCGCCGCCGCCGCCGCCTCGGGCTCGGGACTGGCCGCGGGCGTGAGCCAGGGCGCCTCCGCCTCGGCCTCCTTGCCCGTGAGCGTCTTCTGCTTGCCGACCTCGCCCTCCTCGGCCTGCCTCCTCTTGGCCCGCATGTTGACGAAGCCGTCGCCGGGGCTGTCCCACGCGTAGTCGACCCAGTCGGCCAGGCACTCCTGCACGCCCTCGGCCAGCATCTGCACCGCGCGCTTGCGGTTCAGGCTCCACTCGTGCGCCCTCTTCCACCGCCCCGCACGGTCCGCGACGCTCTGCCCGTCCTCGAGCCCGTCGAGGATGCTGCGCCACACCATCATCGTCTTGTCCAGCTCCGCCGGCTGGCTGACCCCCATGACGCTCACGCCCAGCTTCTGCCCGCCGACCTCCTCGATCCGCTCCCGCTTCCACGGCACGCCGCTCGCCGGGTCGCCGCGCGAGCCCACCTCCGCCCCGGCGTGCAGCCACGTCTCGAGCGCGAAGCGGATGGCGATGACCTCGAGCCGTTCGCCGTGCATGTCGCACAGGTCCGACGCGTCGCGGACGGCGGCGCGCAGCTCGGCGCAGGCGGGATGGAAGTCGCCCATGCTGCCGACGGGCACGCCCTCGCGGCGCAGCAGGCCCATGCCGAGCGGGCTGGCGTTGGGGACGACGTCGACGCCGGCGGCGCGCAGGCGGCGCACGCCGGCGGTGGCGAGCGTCGTGTTCTGGAGGGTGAAGTTGGCGTAGCTCATGACGGCGTCGAGCGGCTCGCCCGTGTCGCGCAGCACGCGCTCCGCCAGCCGGCACAGCGTCGCGACGGGGTAGCCCGAGATGCCGACGTGGCGGACGGTGCTGGCGGGCGCGTCGCGCAGCCGCCGCAGCTCGCGCACCGCCGCCACCACCTCGTCGTCCGACACGAACTCGACGTCGTGGCAGTAGACGACGTCGAGGTACGGCGTCTGCAGCCGGCGCAGGCTGCGCGCCACCGACGCCCGCACCCACTCCGGGCTGTAGTCGAACTCGTCGGACGCGACGCGGCCGACCTTTGTGAGGAGGAAGTATTCCTCGCGCGGGAAGTTTTGGCGCACGAAGGGCGTCGAGAGGGCGGCGCCGAGCAGCGACTCCGAGGGCCCGTAGTAGGGCGACGTGTCGAAGGCGCGGATGCCCTTCTCGAGCGCGGAGCGCACCAGGCCGGTGGTGTCGAGCGCGTAGGGGTCCTTGTTGTACTGGTGGTTGAAGGTGGCGGTTCCGAACAGCAGCGGCGGCAGGACGGACGAGAGGGGCGTTTTGGGCGCCATTGAGAGAGGGGTGGCCTTGCGGGCGGGGTGGGATGCGGAAGCGGAAGCGGGATGCTCTCGTCGGAGAAGTGGGCGCGTCGGACAGAAGAAGGGCTGGTGGGCTTATTCGCGGCTGAGGTGGTTGATTTTTAAGCGGAGCGGAGCGCGGTGGATATCTGCGCGCGATGGTGTGCGAGGGAGCAACGACGGGCGTCGTATCTCCCACATTGTGCTCATTTTGGGTATGACTATGCCGTCGGGCGCAAATTTGGGCCGGGGACAGCCGCGCGCTCTTGCAACGGAGGGCTCGCGAAGACAGGAAGGGACTCGCGGTACGACAGGGCTGGGGCATTCGGTGGAGGAGTTTCCACGCCCCCCGGCTCCAATGCTAGGTCTCGATAGGCGCGGACGATGCACTATTCAGTTGACGTGATCTGGGAGCGAACTGGGTGCTGCCCTGATTGGCTGCGCCTTCCTGGAGCGCAAACACGTGCCCCCGTTCTCGGCCTCGGGCTTTTGCGGACTTCCATGGATCCTCAGCAGTCACGAAACAAAAAACCCGCCGGCCGCACGACTTCTCCCGTAAACGACATGTCCAGCACGTCATTGTGTCATGGATAGATCTTATCTGATGCATCTGCAGCCTGCCACGCCTCTTTCCGTCTCACCGCTCACACCTCAAAAAAACAATTATTCATCATCACTCAACTCCCAACGACGCGAGCCGGAGAGACGGCACGCTACGTTGCTGGCTGCCGCGTCAATCCGGCGGGCCTCGTGTTCCACACCAGATGCAACCGGTTTGGTACCGCCTATCCATGGGTCCTGTGGAGATCTGGCCAAGACCTCGTCGACACTGCTAGATTGTCCCTTGAGTCATAACGTTTCGTAGTCAATATCTTTCTTTGATATGCTCGTCCGACGGGTGAGGAGACTGAAACTACAAATGTGGCTACATTTCCAATGCTCTGTACCGGTCTCGAATTTTTCGTGTTTCCTCGGGCTTGGATGTGTATTTGGACGGATACTAGAAGCATACGATCAATGACTTGGACACATCCCACTAAGCGCCTAACCGTCACTATCTCCTGGGAAGCTCCAGGGGTGTTTGCTCACCTTCCGCTTTTAGCCAGGGAGTTCCTTATTGCTATTAATCGAGCCATTAAGTTGCATGCAGCATCGCACCACACAGCCAGGACATGAACTAAAGGACATGTCATACATACGCACTCTAATCAAAAATCTGTGTTCATATAAACTCGATCTCAATAAAAGATCACATCAAAACTATGTATATATGGACGTTGAATACTCAATCTACGCCCATCATCCGTTTCCCTCCTTGCGGTATCATGAAGAAAAAGAAAAAAAAACAAATACCAAAGACGCCTGCCTTAAACAAAACGCCATGCGCAGTGCTGCTGAATTTCTAAGCGAATGAAATCCATGACTTGTCTCGTTCATGGTAGTTCCGACGTGCCATCACAGTTCATCCTCCTCTTCCTTCCACTCCTTGCAGCGTCCAAGCAAGTCCCTGTGAGCGCACTTGTGGTGCGGTGTTGGGGAGGGAGCCGGCGTGTCGGTGGGCGAAGGATCGACGCAAATAAGGCCGAACCAGTTCTTGGAAGTGCAGCTCGAAGTCGTGGAGGCTGCGGTACTCGAAGGAACAGAGCTCAGGGATGGCTTGGGTGTCGCAGAGGTTGCCGGTGTGGTGGTTGTGGTTGTGGTTGTGGGATCGTTGCAACCCAGCCAACCAGGCGTGGCGCAGGTCGAGGTTGACGTCGAAGCGGATGTGGTCGTGGAAGTGGTCGTACTTGTAGGGTCGTTGCAGCCGAACCAACCAGGAGTCTCGCATGTGGTGGTCGAAGTCGTCTCCGAGGTCGAAGTTGAGGTCGAAGTCGTGGTCGAAGTAATAGTCGTAGTGGGAACGGGGAAGACGGTCCTGGAGGTTGTGATGACAATATGAGTCGTCTTGTCGTTGCAACCGAACCATCCAGGCGTGTCGCAAGTTGTGGACGTAATGATGCTCGTGGATGTGGTCACAGGACCAGATGTAGTGCTCTCATCCAGGCATCCCCACCAGCCGGGAGTCTTGCACGTCTCGGTCCTCGACTGGGTGGTCGTCGCTGTGCTGCTCATAGAGCTCGTAGTGGTGTCGGAGCCATTGCTCTCGTAGAATTTCCAGTTGTAACAGTCGGTGCAACTGATGTCCGGGGTGCACGGAGGGACCTCGTCATACTTTTCGAGAACGTCGTGAATGACCTCCTGGATCCGGTGCGTTCCGGCTCCTACGCGCCAGCCGAGATCTCCGACGGTATCGTAGGTACACACCGAGCCAGAGTGGCAGACGCTTTGCATAGCATAGCCAGCAATGGTGCAAACGGAAGTTGCTGTGTTGCACAAGCCCATGTACATGGGATCTGCTGTGTGGCCAAAATGGTATATGCCAGAGCCTGTTCTGTCTTGATGTCTGCCAAGGTGGTAGTCCGGCGGAGTGGGCAGTCCCAGCCGGGAAGCCGCCATGGCCTCACCTGGCGCCTCGTAGGTAATGACGGGAAGGCCGTAAGACAGGCCAAGCAGACTGCCCGTGGCGCCTCCAAGGGAATGCCCGGAAATCCAGACGTCAGCGTCGGGGTACAGAGCGGTGACATTATGGTAGAGATCCTGAACGGCATAGAAGTAACGGTTCTTGCCCTTCTCCTTGATGCTCTCCACCAAGCAGGTCGAGTTGCAGCTGTAGGTGGAGGTCATGCAGTCACAGACCTGCAGCCACATGTAGGAACCACCTTGGCCACAGCAACAGCCAAAGAAGAGGTTGTCGTTCACCTTGTCGTTGGTGGTCGTTTCGGAACCATCGAAGACGGCTGGCGAGGTGCCCTTGAGGCCGATTACAACAGTGGAATTCTCGGTGTCGGCGAAGATGTGGCCACGGAGACCGTCTGACTCCCAACCAAAATCCTCTGTGTAGTTGAAGCCTCCCCTTACATCGGACCAATCGGGCTTGGTGGGATCGGTGACGTAGGCGTTTGCTGCCATCCTCGCGAAGGTGAGCACGCTCTCTTTGTCCGTCACGTTGGGACCAGCGATCTCATCGACGGTCCAGGCGTCGGCGGTGAAGACGACATCGCGTCCGGTCAGACGCTTGGTGTCGAGGATGTGGTTGATGGCCTCGGGGGTCCGGTCGGCGAGGCGCTCGATGTTGAGGGCCTGCGAGCGGGCGCGGAGGGGCGGGGCGGGCTCCCTGTGCGTGGGGTCGTCCGCGGAAGTGACCCACAAGGGAGCGTCGGGGTGGATGTCCAAGCGGCGGTGCAGGCCGGGGTACTTGTGGGTTCCATGGTGGAAGATGTGCTTCAGCGTCTGTTGCGACAGCGGTATCAGCATCTCCAGCGATCGGCTTTCGGGCCGAGCGTACTCACGAAGTCCATATCCCTTGCCAGCTGCTGCCTGGGCGCATCCGGGGTGGGAGCGCCCGGAGGGAGCACTGGCAGGATGCCAGAGCCATCGCCATGGCCGGGGGCGAGCTCGGCTTGCACGGGGTGGAGGGCGGCGACGGAGAGCAGGGTGGTGACGAGGGCGGCGGCAGCTCTGCCGGCAGAGCTGCGGAAGCGGTACCTGGTGGTCATGGTGGCAACGGCTGCTAGAGAAAGGCGGCAGGCATGACAGAGCGGGGGCAAGCTGGAGAGGAGGCGGCAGCAGGAGCTGAGGCGCGGATATGGGAGGGCGAGGGGATAATTGCCAGGAGGCGTGAGGAGTGAGAGGGAGCTGGAGCGTTGGGCGGATGCTGGGGTGTGGTGTTCGTGCGCAACCGCGTCATAAGACCAGCTCCGGACCCTCGCCCCTTATCTTATCGGCCGCCGCCCTGGCTTCTGCCTGAGCTCCGCGGGCACCGAAGTGTCTCGTGCGTGTGCCAGAGCTTCTCTTGTCTATCAATAGCAACCCGCAATTACATCTCCGCGACATGCGTCCGCACCACTCTGCTCCCTGACTGCACCACCGAAACCATGGCCCAGGAAGACGACCGTCCCCGCGTCATCCACGCCTCCAAGAGCTTCAGTCGCTTCGACTCGGCCCCGCAGGGCCCCCGCCATCGCAGCCGCGCGAGCACCGTGGGAGCTACCATTCCCGAGATTCTGCATCCCACCGCCTTTGCCCACCAGGACAGCGACCAGAGCGAGACCGGCGACGTCTTCGCCACCCGCTCCGAGGACGGCGATGCCCACGACGACGACCGTGACGGCGACGTCGCCCTCCCGCAGTCGTTCGACGACCTGCCCATCGAGATCAGGAGCCTGGCCGAGAGGTATGCGCCGCCACCGTCTGCTGCCCTCCAAGTGCTGACCAGCCCAAGGTTCCTCGAGTCGCTCTCCGCTCGCGTGCACCCCAGTCCCATTGACATAGACTCTCTGGCAAACCTGTTCCAAGAGTTCTACGTCCGCGCTGGCTCCCAGATAGACACCCACATTGCCGCTCTCTCGACAAGACTGTCCCGCCAGGGCTCTACCACATCGCTCGCTTCGCGTACATCCACAGCCTCGCGCAATGCTCGGAAAACGTCCGACTCGGGCCAGGAGCAGCAGATGCTCACCGTCTCGGAGATTTCAGACCGCAAGAAGGCACGGAGATTGCTAGAGCTCAAGAGAACCGCTCTGGAAGAGGCCGTCGAGAGGGCTGTCTGTGAGAAGGTGAGATCGTGGTCGTTCTGTACCCTCTCTGCCCGCCCCCTTTTCCTTCGTATTTCCCGCCAAGCGGAAGTTAACCAGGGTCCACTACAGATATACCCCCGGATATGGCGCCACCGGAGTACCGACGACGCTGAACGCGACGAGAAACTCCGCTCACGCACAGCCGCTCTCTCACTTGTCGGTATCGGCCTGAAGGAACTCCTCGGACATGGTGAGGAGATTACACCCGAGATGCGGAAGTCCATGGAGGACAAGAAAGAGGAAATCCCCGAAATGCTTGCCGCAGCGCGTGAAAGCATCCAAAGGATGAACGACGAGAGATTCCCGCAAGGAAAGCTGCAGCACCTGACTGCGGCTCACAAAAACATCGTCGAGGCCTTGTCGCACATTTTCCCGAGCTCATCCTCGGCCGATGAGATTCTGCCGACACTGATTTACACGCTGATTACCAGTCCACCGGACAGCATTTGCGTCATCAGCAACTTGTTCTTTATCCAGAGGTTCCGGACCGCGAGCAAAATTGACGGCGAAGCTGCGTACTGTCTGGTGAACTTGGAAGCCTCCATTGCCTTCCTTGAAAACGTGGATCTCTCAACACTTCGGGCGGATGAGCTTCCGGGTGGCCCCAACAAGTCTGTCAGACCCATCACACCTGGTGATGCTCCTCCGCCCATGGATCTTGGCATTACCCCCGCCCAATCGGGTCTCGCTCCGGGCGGTGAAGACGGGAAAGGAGAGGCTCCGTCACCAATGGACAAGTCTCAGCGACGCTTGAGCAATTTGATCCAGCAACAAACCAACAGGATTGAAGCAGCCAGCGATGCAGCACGGCAGGCCGTGTTAGACAGCGCAGACCAGGCGTTCGAGTCGATTAATCAGACGCTTGATAATAGCCTCAAGTTCTTGTTCGGCCGTCTGAAAGAGCAGCAAACCGGAGGCAAGAACGAGGTGGTCCAGCCGAAGACTCTCGAAGACGTTCGCAAGCTTGTCAGCACTCCGCCGCCGATGGACGACAATGCCAGCGGGAGCAGTTCTATCAACGAAGAGGCAACAGAATCGACCCGGGACAGCAAGGTGACTGATCTCTTTGGTGGCCGTCGCCCTCTCCGAGAGCGTAGCGTCGACAGTGCCAAGAGTGGCGCAAGCAGCAGACGCGTGGCGTTCACCCCTGCTGACAAGGGTACTGACCCTCTTACGAGCCCTCCGCCACAAGCATCAACACCAACCAGTGCCGGTGCTTCCGCCGTGGAGTCGATGCGGAATCTGGGCAGCACCCTCAACCCGCTGCGTGGATTCGGTGGCATGAACATGCTTCCAAAGTTCGGCAGGGCGAACACCTCGCCCGTCCCAGCTCCCACGACACCGACCCTTCCGGCTGAGAAGGCCAAGCCAGAGCCAGCCCGACCTGCGCCGACATCTTCACCTTCTCCCGGGCCCGAGACTGACTCGAAGGCTGATCCGAAGGCCGCCGTCGCCCTTAAACGGCTTGACGAGTTGAGCAAGACGGCGCCTCCGGTCAAGAAGTTTATCGATGCCAAGAACGCCCAGGACTTGAAGATCGGAGACATTGATGAGTTGTTGAAAGACTACCAAAGGCTTGCAGGTGCCCTCAGGACCGCACTGAAGCCCCAGTGAGTGTTGTAGTACAAACCGAACTCGGTCGTCGTCCCGTTGGAGCGCTGTAGGCTCTTGTATTTCATAGTTTGTATCCAAAGAAAAATTGCTGCATCTGACATCAAAGCTAAGAAGAGGAGGCGTACGCATTCCATGTCATTTTTTTTACTGGCATAGGCCGAGCATTCCTTTCATCTTTTCTTCGGGAGTTTCCAACACAAACACACACACATCGCTGGATTTGTAGAACGGTTGGTGCCGGCGGAGTCAAGATGGGTATCTTTTCTGGGTTTCTTTTGTGAGGGCGCAAGCATGTATAGGGGTTTCTTGTAGGTTTTCTGTCCGTCTGTATAACACTATCTTTGTCCGATGGGGCTGCTACCTTGCTGTTACAGTGTCGTGCAATTCCGTCCGCCGAAACTACCTATTGATCAAAGACCTGAATGACTTATTTTCTGTAGTCATATGGAGGCTTTGACGGACGTTGTCTTTCAAGCAAGGCTAGTCTGTGTCGATCACATGGACGTGTCTGTCCGACGATAAGGGATATAAGGGTCGTCGCCACTCATGGCACATCCACCATTGTCCGAAGCTCTAAGAAGCGCTTAATGGTCCTCATGTGGTACAGGACACCGGCCTGATCGGCAGAAGGAACCTCTATCGTTATTGGCCGGCCAACTATGATACCAAGGGGAATCCGGCCAAAAACATCGATCCTCAGGGCGCTAGTCACTCGCGTCCTCCTTCTCCCCTCCACTCAGCTTTCCGCAAGTCTCGTGCCGAGCCACTCCCGCACCACCAACCCCTATAGCAGCTATCCAGCATCATTTGCTGTTCGGCACATCAGCGTCATCAAAAAATGATGCGCCGACTCAAAACACCATAGAGATGTCTTTCCTTTTCCACCAGGCGAGCCGAGCCGAGCGCGAACCTGAGTTGGGGTTCGGACAATTACAACAGCCACGGGCCCGCGCAAAGTGCCACGTGCCTTGAAGATTTTCCGTTACATCCCCCCGGAGTGAGGCATTGTAATGTTCGTACTCAGCCAATACTCTTGACGGAACCTCAAGAGGAGCATGAGCGAGTAAGCAAGCAGGCCAGAAGCAGGGTGGGGAGCTATTTATGCGATGGTCGATTTCAGAGCGGGAGCCGGGGGGTCGGTGTCGGCGGCACGTGTCCAGCGCTGGGGGCACACGGGTTCCTGCGCTGCAGAAAGGATCTACTCAGCTGCGCGTTGCTAGAATGGTTGTTGGGGGGAGTGAGATTTAAGAGCTTTGACGGTGGGGGTCGGTCGGGCTGCTTCAGAGAGTGGAGGGGGCCGCTGGTTTGCAGCTCTTCACAGAAGAAACAGTAGACCGGGCTGAAAAATGGAGACACTTGTCTTTTTTCTTTTTGGCATGCATTTCTAGTTTCTTGGGTGGTGGCAGAAAATGCTTTGTTGGAGCTTACGGTGTCACAAGGGATAAATGGTGAACAGCATCATGGACATGTCATGCTGAACAGACTCATGTCAGGATGAGTTTGTTGCCGATCTTTGTCGTACTCATCGATCTACTCGGAGGACTCGAGCTTTGCGGTTTTTTACGGAGGTGGCAACACGCCAGTCATCTTGGTTGCTGAACCGGTTCCACTGTCAAGCGCCCTCCTTCGCGCAACTCCTGAGGTCTCCTCCACGTTGAACAGGGCTAAGCAGAGCTTTAAGTTAGGGGTTCTCGTCCTCTTAAAGGTAATTTATCCGTCAGTAATCCGTAGATTCTTCACTCAGTGAAGGTCATGACCGTAAAGCTTTGGTGAAGTTTAATACTCGCAACCTGTTTCAGACCAATTTGCTAGAAGAGTCATTCCGGGCGGGACACAGTCGCTTGTCATGACACATCCTTCGATTGAGAGTATAGAGATCAGCGATACAGGAAGACAAGTGTGATGGTAGTGGGTATCGTGAAAGTCCACTGGGGTCTGTTGGTTCGTGGCCCGTGCGGCACTTGAGCGGCTGACCAGCCTTTCCACGACCATTGACCGCCTTCTTCTTTTCTGTTTATTTCAGAAGACGTCGAAATACTTACATACCATCGTCAAGCACTTCGGAACCTGGTCGTCATTGTTCTCTATAGCCATACACATTCTGCCCTACTGCGAGCGATGGCATCCCTGACTAGTTCGGAACTTTTTCTTTGCGCTCTTCTCGCTAGCACGCCCCTAGATGGTCAGCTTCTCGCATGTCCGTCAGGACCCATTCTCCGCGTACTGGGGTTGATGAAGTTCATGAGCACAGTCCATTGATGATCGGCTGCATTGATGAAAGATGTATATCCTCAACGTACTATAGCCTTCATAAATGTGATGAAATCGAGGTTGAATGATTAATAACCCCAGTAGCAGAAGTAAGACATACGATGCGGTACGCCATGTACTTGCCCCAGGAGAGGAGAACACAACATGAAGTATGGTGGTTGGCGGCAAGGATTTTTGCAAAACTCTTACGGGCGGTACTCTTTTAAGCCGCGCATCTCAACAGCAGGTGGTCACGGCCCCAAATCTCCGACAACCTCTACAGAGGGCACGCGACAGCAAGGTTCACCCGTCCACACCCGCCGCTTGGCCTCCAAGCGCATCCCCGTGCGTGCTACAAAACGATCCAACGTCTCAGAGTACTTTAAGATCTCAAGCATCAATCTTTGCTTCTACATCACTTTGCAATCACCGTGAGATCGCACTGATCGACCTAATCATACATCACACTGTTGTTCGCCTTTGTGCTCTTCGATCTATAAAAGTACCAACGGCGTCCAGGTGCGCCGAGTGGCCATCCCATACCCCATCAAGACGCCGACGATAAGTGACAGTGAATGATGCTGCCTCTCTCCCCTACCAAGGACACCGTGATTACCGTACTCTGACCAAAGTGACGACGCCCTCATCACTGACGCTTCATGCCACGCCGCATCATCATCATCATCATTGATCATTGACCGCATCCATACGACGAGCATCAAACCTTTGCGGCCGGCCTTGATGTTCTGAACCGTCAGAGACAAGAAAGAAAGCGAAGCAAACAGTGAGCGGCTACGTTGTCCAGATCCTCCTCAACAGTGTTCGAGTCCCGGTTGTCGGTGAAGATACAGCATTGTGTTCATTTGGCCCATCCTAGTTCATCCGTGAGGCCTTTTTAAACTTCACAGCTCTGGGCCTTTCCGGAGCGTCCTGTGATCAATCGCATGAGCACGGGCGCGCCGGGAGCGGTGAACACAGGGTCTCGTGAGCATGGTTTCGGACAAGAGGACAAAATAATGGCTATGAGGTTGCTTCCATCACGATGTTCGACCGGCGCGAAAACAAGACTACAGTTCTGATAAGTGCACGGGGTCAAAACTCGGAGGCGTGGATAGCGATGAACTTCTCTTTCCTCCAAGTACGGCATCGGCTCGCTTGAATTCGCAACAAGACCGAAATGGTTGAAACTCTCGTGCGGATGCTTTTTGTCCAAACTTACGTCGTGTATTCGTGTCCACATGGGTGCGTCAACTGCCCGTTCCTCTTCGCCATATCACTACGCGAACCAACCCGGTACCAGAGAAGCATTTCCCACCAACTTAAAGTGTCAAGAAAACTACCACAACCCATCCTCCCGCTGCTACCGAGCCCACACAAAAAGTACCCCAACCCCACCTACACGGTCTTTCCCTGATTGAACAAGAGTCAGTCTGCCAACCATCCCCGGACTGCCACGCATGGCGGCATGACGCATACGATCCCAAGCCGACAAAGCAAGGAAGGCGCCTACGCACGCATTGAACCTCTTCCCCGTGAAATGCAAATGCCCGCACATGGACCAATCCCAGATGCAGCAAGTACAGCCGCGTAGTAGGTAGGTAGTCATGCAGTGTCTCAGCTCCCCGCAACCAGAGTTGCACGTCCGGTTTGACAACATGAGCAACGGCACTCCCAAAACGAATCGGGAGAAATCGGAAAGGGGGGGAGGAGGAGGAGGAGCGCGGTGTGCAAGTCAGCCAGCCAGCACACGTCAGTCACCAACCACGCTCATTGCTTTCGACTAACTCTGCGGGGACGAAACTCGGGCCGGGGGACAGGACGCTGACGACAGCTCGCCTCGTCTCCCCCCCTTTCGAACATGAGACGCGATCGAAGCGATAGCTGCGCAGAAAGATGTGCAACTGATGACTCACGAGAAAATGCGACAGATTTACGTGGAGAAGGAGATCTGCATAAGAGCAAGTTATGTAAGAGGAGAGCAGAGAGACAACGACTTTTTTCTTTTAGCGAACAAAAAAAGAGAGAACAGACAACAGCCGCAATAAGATCCACGCATTAACGCCAAGGGGAGGGGGCGGAAAGAAGCAGACGCGATACCAACGCAACAACCCCCCCGGCCTGGGTCTGGGTCTGGTCTGGTCCCAGTGATCTGACACTCACGCAATGATCTGCATATTTCCCATGCTGATGCTGATGTTGATGCTGCTGCCGGGACCCGAGCCCCGTGCTGCTCAAACCGCCTCCAGACAGTCCCTGTGTCAGATCCCCCTCGAGCCAAGAACCACAGCAGAAAAACAATAATCCCGAAAACACAAAGCACAACGTACGCAAAAGCAAGAAAGCAGAACGCATTTCAACAGCAACAAGCAGCGGTAATTCACACGACAAAAACAAGCGCGCAGTATACAGTAGGAAATAATCCACAACACTCACACACAATTACAGCCCGCAAGCTCTCTCTCTCATCCCCCATCACCTCCCGTTTGCAGGAAGTCTCTCCGCATGCAGGGTTCGGCACTTACAATTACAGTGCCATGCACACAATATACAGAGATACGCAAAGCACAAGATGATACACGAGCGCAAACGGCGGCGGGCCAGCCCAGCCGCCAAGCGCTTCTGCAGAAAAGCAAAACAGGGGCAGAAACGATAGCAGACGCAGAAAAAGGATACGCATAGAACGACGAAAAGGACAGGTTCCCCAACATGCACGGACGAAGACAACGACATGTACGCATAAAATAAAAAGAGGGTATAGAAAACACAAGACACAACAAGCAAGCTTTTATGTGCGTGAGCACTGGGTTAGTCTAGAAAAACAAACAGCAGAAAAAGGGTGACTTTGTACAGCGATAGGTTCTTCACCCTTTTTCGATGGCCAAAAATTCAAAACGTCAAAACGATCGAGAGAACATTAGGTGGACGTAAAAGACAGCAAGAAAGAGATCGTCAAACCGTGTAAAAATCCAGTGGTATCATCGTTTCGGGTATCGTGCGCGGTGGGTATGTACATCCGTGGGTATCCGTGGGGCCGGATAGGTTGGTGGATCAATAACGAGCGGTCGTGAATGGTGACAGGAAGGAGAGCCAAAACATGGAAAGCTACAACCGAAACTGTTTCGTCAACCAATCGATGCCCCGTTTTCTTCTCGTCCTCGTATTCGGGGACTTCTGCATGCTTACCTGTCGCAGGATGCCCGGAAAGTTTCGACATTGGTGAAACCAATGTGCCGCAATTATGGGCATATTACGGGGTAGGTAGTGAGATATTACTGCACCCGCAGATGTACGCGGCGGGGCCTCTATCGCGCGAGCGCTCTCTCTTGCCTTTTCGAATCGAATGTACGTGTCTCAAGTGTTTGGATAGGATTATCTTGAAGAACGAAATAACCCGCTGAACCTAGACCGTCGCCGAACATGCCCCTTTTCATGCTCGCTGAGTATCATCAATAAAAGAGATCCGCACCGTAAGGAAAAAGACTTCTTGAGATTCGAGATAAGACAAAGGAAAGGAATTTGAGGAGATTCGAAGTGTATACGCCATGAGATCGTGAAAGACGTTAAAAAATCGAGCACCTACACAACTTGCACCCAGATCTGTAGCAGAGAGTTAGCCGGTGTTCTTGGCTCCAGAGTTCAGCTCGACGTCTAGACTCACCTCCATCTTTCCCATTTCCGCCTGTTCCCTCTTCGCCTCCTGTTTGCACGTCATGATCGCCATGTCCAGATCGTCTTGGTCGCTCATGGTAATGTAGTCCTGCTCGTCCTTGATCTTGATCTTGAAGTTCGCCCTCAACCCGAACTTGTCTCTGATCTGAGCCACAAATTGATCGAAGCGAGCGTAGGGGTCGAGGAACACATAGCGCGTATCATCCGCGTGCACCTTGACTCGAATCGTGCGGAGACCAACGCTGCGCCTCTGAGATTGTCCGCGAGCGCGGCTGGTCGTCGACGGGCGTCTCGTGCTGCGAGCACGCGCGGGCACCATCTCGAACTCGCCAGAATCGACGTCAGACTGATCAAAAGCGTCCTCCTCTTCCTCTTCGATGTACATGGGTCTTTGCTGCGGCGGGCGACGTGTCGATTTCGAGCGTCCGGCGTAGCTAGGGCGCTCAGCCCGGCCATACATGTCGTACACATCGTCGGGGTAAGCGCTCGCGGGGTCGTCCTCGTCCGAGAGGATACGGGGACGCATGCTGGGACCGGGATTCCTCGTACTCCTCGATGAGGTAGAAAGCTCACGTGTCGGTCTCGGGCGCTCGGACATGGATCTTTGGGGCATCGGGCGAGGCTGCTGGCTCTTCGGGGACTGGTCAAACGCAGCCCGTCCAAGCTCCAAGGGTGCGGGTTTCCGGCCTTCGCCGCGAACGGACTGGGACCGAGCAGTGTATCCATTGGGGGAGGCCTTCGTCTCCTCCGGGGGAGGCGTGGGAGGGAACATGTTGCGGTTGATGGGCGGCTCCGACTGCTGTCTCGATCGACTACTCAATCCTGGCTTCACAAGGTTTGTTGCAGCGTAAGAGACCTTATCATCCGGTCTGTCGTCCTTGGAATTCAGGCCAGCAGCAGACTCCTGGTTGATCCTCTTAATCTCAGCACCAGCGAAGCCAGTGAAGGCATTGGACCGGTCAGAGGCAGCGACGAGACGGGCCTTTCCGAGGTAGTCCTTGGCCTTCAAGTTCTTCACCTTCGCTTCGTTCGGGCGGTATACAATGCCGACAGGAATCGAGAAGACGGTGTAGCCCTCGGCCTCCTCCCGGATAGCTTCGTCGATGACGTCGTGGTCGGGAACCACCTTTTCCTTGGCGGCGAACGACAGGTCCTGCAAGCCTGCATCCTGTTGTTGGAGGTAGATGTAGCACAGACCACGGTTGAAAAGCACCTCGCACGAGTACAGCTTGAACTTCAGGCCCAACTGCTCGTAGTCGATGTTGTTGTTGCCGCGCAGGTAGAGAAGCGTGTCGTTGAAATTGGCCAATGCTTCCTCAAAGTCGCCCATCAGGAAGTTGGAGACGCCTTGCTGGAAGTATGCGACGGCGAGGTACTGATCCAGGCGCACAGCGCGCTGGTAGCATTCGACCTGACAGAGGTTAGCCGGCGGCCAGTCACGGAGCAGTCGCAGTACTCACGGCTCTCTCGTGCTCGCCCAGTGTGGCGTGGATGACGCCCATGTTGAAGAGGATCTTGGAGGTGTCGGAGATGGCATCGAAGAACTTGAGGGCTTCGTCGAATTCGTTATTGTCGTAAGCGGCCAGCGCTCCTACCCACGTTTCGATCTCCTGCGGCGAACAGTCAGCATTTACGGGCAAAGACCAGAGGCAGAGCAGCAGGCGCGGCGTACCTGCTTGAGAGACATGTCGGGCGATCAGCCGGTATTGTTGGAACAGTCAATGCCGGAGGGAGTGAGGAGGTGGAGGGCGCTTCGCAAGCACCGAGCGGCGGGAACGATGCAAGGGTTCGTGGGTCGGGGGCGAGGAGCGGCGTCGCGATTAAAAAAGGTACGGGGGAAGCGCCGGCATGCAGGTGCTCGCAGAGCGGGTATAAGCTGCCAATGAGGAGTAGCCGCCTGGGCTGCGGGCTGGGATGGCGATTATGTAGATATGGCTGGGAATTACGAGCGGCGGCGTCGTCTGGCGGCGGGAGGCTTGGTGAGGCGCGTGTGACGAGGGCTGTGGAGCGTGACGGGCGAGCGGCGGATGCAGAAGAGATTATGAACACACAGTGAACAGCAACAAGGCGGTGGAGGAAAGAGCGTGCGGCTAGCGGCCTCGAGGAAAAGAGCGGACTGCGCAACAGGCACCTGGCCGGCGCGTCGTTCTTGTCGAGGCCTTCTTGAACTGCCATAGGCTCGCTATAGCCCACGCTCCACTATCGACAGGGCCTGTCGCAGCATGGCGTTCCACGACCGAGGCCGTGTCAGGCTGCCGACAGCGCATGATTGGCTCTCGACGCGCCTCGGCGGGCGCGTCCGCCGCATCCACGGCGCGTAGCATCACGACAAGTCACAGTGCTGCCGCCCTGCACCCTCCCGCGCAGCCCGCGCAGCCCGCCGCCTCACACGCTTCTCGGATGACAATGGTCTTGGACGGCCTTGGTCCGCCGTGGCAGCGGTGCGGCTGCGCAGCGCCGTGCGCCGCCCGCCTCCGACGTCGCGCCCCGACGCCTGCTCGCCTGCTCGCCCGCTGCGTCCCCAACTGCCTCAGCACTGTGTCAAAGATCGCCGCCTCCGCCTCCCACCCTCAAAGCACGTGCCGCCCCTCCACAGCCCGCCGCGAGATCACGAAATCAAACCCGCTGGTGCATGAAGCCTGCTCTCACGTTCCCACTGCCATTTGCTGCGTCAGGGCCGGTTCATGCCCCCGCCGTCCAGAGCCGCCCACTCCGGCAAGCCTACACGACTACTTGGGCAATCCCCGCCTGAGCCTAGCCCGTTCGAGCCGGCTCTGCACAAGCACTCCGCGGTTTAGAGCATGCCGCGATCCACCTGTTCCTTGCGCTCCTCCCAAACCGTCTTGCCCGAGCATGAGCACACCGTCTTGTCGTTGTCCCACACGCCCGCGCTCCGTGCAATGACGCCCACCAGCGTGTCGGCGTCGTTCTTGTCGAACCCGCCCTCCTGCTGCCGGGCCACGACGATGCTGCGCCCTATCAGCTCCCACACCTCGACCGGCCGGTCCAGGAAGACGCTGCCCACGCCCCCCTTGTTGACCTGCACCGTGCCAAACACTCCCCGTGCCGGCTTGCCCTCCGCCGAAGCCTTGGCCGCCTCCCAGATGCCGCCCGTCGACTCCGGCCCTTCCGATATGTCGCCGCACTCGCGCACTGTCGCATGATACGTTCCGGCCGACAGCCCGCGGATGCTCAGGTCGACGATGGTGAGATTGGAGGCCACTTGGACCATGCGCACGAGGCCTCGCACTTTGTTTTCGACCGTCGCGCTGTGGCTCTCGAGGATGCAGACGGCCGCGCTGTTGGACGCGCCGCTGCCTCGCAGGATGGCGTCGCGGCCCGTGTCCTGGATGGCCGCGACGATGGACGACGGCGAGGCGGTGCCTTCGATCGAGACCAGCTGGTTCTGCAGGTCGCCCTCGACCTTGCTCACGCCTGCAATTGCACGTTAGCCCGAGGCGCGCAGCGTGCATTGTTCGGTGCTGACCTTGAAGCTTGTACAGGGAGGTCGAGACATCCTTAATGCACGCCTCGCAGCTAAGAGGGACCGCAAATGTAGTCTGTCGTGTAGCCGTTAGCGGCGACCACTGTAATGCCGACGCTTGGTCTAGGGCTAACCTGGAACGGGGGTATCATGTTGGCGAGGATAGGGTCGGAAAACAGGGCGCGCGGGCGTGTGTAGAGAAAGCGTGAAGAAACGGCATCTTCGAGAACATGTATGAAGGTCTCGCGATTGCGGAGCGGACCCTCGGTCCATTCGATTGTTAATCAACGCCCTCCGCCAGTGCCCCGCAGCGCCGCCGAACACCAACACCGCACACCAGCCCAGCCACTCACACTGCGCTCCCAGCTTCACCCTGTTCCAGCACTCTTTCTGGCATGGATCCTCCATTCCATCACCTTTCCAATGACGTCATGCGACGCTTTAGATCGATCCATGTGTACCTAGATGCTGAGCTCTCTGACCAGCGGTTGACACAGCTCAACTTGCCTTCTTGTCGCGATTGATCCACCTCCTCTAGTCCGCCTGCCCCCGAAATCCATATTTCGGTGTCGCATCTGTTGCTCACTCCTGCCAGAGTTGTTAGCTCTGTCTCCGCCTTTGCACCCGAGTCTCACTCCATGTTGTGATCTTTCCTTGCGTTGTTGATGACACATTTCGATTGACCCGATGTGGAAGTCCAGCTAGAATGGTTAGACAAGCCCTTATATTCTCGTTTGACCCTCTGCAGGCGTGACTGAACCTGCTTCGTGGTTTAACGGAGAATCTAAAAGCGTCAGCACTCGCGTGGATCCCGATGCCCAAAGCTTAGAATCATGCAAAATACAATGATTGCTCTTACAATCCTCGTCTAAACCTCCATACCGAGGGTTACGGCGCAGATCCGCTTTGCAGTATGTATGATCATCCTATACAGTACCCTGGGAGATTTTATGAACGAGCATCAAAACGACTGCCCAATGAGGAAGATGAGAATAAGTTCGCTGTCGGTCGGTTCGACTTCCCAAGTTATCGCGACGACGCAGATGTCAATCTCTTACAATGCCATAAGACCGGTATGGAAGTTGCTTTGCACGAGAAGCAATTCCATAGATATCCACTCATGATTGTCCCGTAAAGCTCTCGTGCAGATAGAAGATGCATCGAACTGCCCAATGCGGAAGCCCTCGCACGTGAGGTCGGCAGGTGCCGAAAAAAGTCTTGGCGCGATTTCATCCCGTCGAACCGCAACACCACAGCTCTGGAGAGAGGGACCGGCCGGCATCGCGCGCACCTCCGCAACACCACTTCCACTCCCTCTCCCTCCTTGGCCGGGCCACCAATTCGATCTCCCCTTCCCACTCAGCTCCAATCACGGTCGTCTGACCGCCCGCGAAAAGCCCAGCATGTCGCAAACCGTCGGCAAGGTACCGCATCACCAACCACCCACCCTCCCAACCGCCACGCCCACCACCACCTCTCCCTCTCCCCCCCTCCAGAAAAATATCCCACTGACACCCCCCACCTCCCCCCAAAACAGACCCGCCTCGCCTACTCCCGCGCCTGGCACCACATCGACGCCTCGTCCGACCCACGCCCCCTCGGGCGTCTCGCCTCCTCCATCGCACTGGCCCTAATGGGCAAGCACAAGCCCATCTTCGACCCGTCGACCGACTGCGGCGACTACGTCGTGGCGACGGGGTGCGCGCAGCTGCACACGACCGGGCAGAAGATGCAGCGCAAGAAGTACTACCGGCACAACACGCGGCCGGGGTCGCTGCAGGAGATCACGATGGAGCGGCTGATGCGCAAGTGGGGCGGGGGGGAGGTGTTGCTCAGGGCGGTGAGCGGCATGTTGCCGAAGAATCGGTTGAGGAAGGTGAGGTTGGCGAGGTTGAAGGGTGAGTGTTTTGGTGTTTTTCTTTTCTTTTTTCTTTTTCTTTTGAAGGGGGGAGGGAGGGAGAGGATGGGGTTGTCCTGGTGGGAACCCTTTTCTGGCGGGTTTCGTTGCTGACGTGTTGTGTGAATAGTGTTCGAGGGCGCGGCGCATCCGTACAAGAAGAATATCTTGAAACTTGCGGGCCAGGAGGCTTCCTCGATACGCGAGCTGCCGGAGGTGAAGAAGGCGTTCGAGCAGTCGAGATAAGGAAGGGTGTAGTAGAATTGGCGTTCAGGTTGCATGTCAAAAGGATTCAGGAAGCGGTATTTCTCTGTATGACCGGTGGTTTCGAGGGCGGGTCGAGGGACTGTACAAATACTGTCGGCATTGAATGTGCCATTGGACTAATCCAAGTGCATATGACTCTCCATGGACATGCAGGAGCTGATACTGAGTTGGCGACTACCCGCATGACATGAACGATGAAATCCCGAACTATGCTAGCATGGTTCACAAATCACGAGGCCGCCAGGACAAGCTTTTCAGATGGGACTTAATTCGAATGTCTCTACATGCAGAACCAGAAACGCCGGTCTCGCTTTATGATATCGTGGAAATGACAACGCCGCAGCACAGCAAACATTTACAGCTTCGCCTTGGAACCCTTGCGACCAACGGTGCACTGGATGAGACCATTGGGGTCGCTCTGAGGAGCGAAAACCTCGGCGTCCTTGCCGGTGTTCTTCAGACCCTTGAACCAGCTCAGATCTGCGACGATAGTATCAGCATGTGGAACTTCCCTCTCAACTGAGCGCAATGGACATACCAATCTCAAAGTAGTGCTTGTTCGGCAGCGAGTAGCTGACGGTCTCGACCAGCGGGGCGGCGGCCAGGATCTGGTCGCACATCTTGTACATGGTGTTCTGGACGCTGGCGCTGCTGTCCTTTGCGAAGGTGTCGAGGGTGATGGTCTTGGCCGCGGCGAAGGCGTCGTCGAACTTGGAGGCCTTGGAGCGCACGTCGTCGACGCCGGCGAAGGGCTTCCACTCCCACTCGGCCTTGACCTCGGTGCTCAGGATGCGGTCCCACGTCTCGCCCAGGCGCGTGTATTCGTCGCGGTGGAAGCCGTGGAAGGCGGAGCCGGTGCTCTTCAGCACCAGGAGCTTGTCGATGCCGCTCTTGATGGCGATGCCCTTGGCTTCGCGGACGACGGCCTCGACGGTGCGGATGTCGTCGCCGTCGCGGACGAACGAGTGCGGGTGCGGCTTGCCCTCGACCGTCATGCGCGTCCACTTGTGGGTGATGATCTTGACGTGGGCGGCGTGGATGTGCGAGTACTTGGTGATGAAGTGGGTGCCGACGATGGAGGCGAACAGCTCGGGGGGAGTGACGGGGTTCTGCTTGGCCAGCACGTAGACGGTCTGCTTCTGGGTGTCGGTGGCCACGACGACGGAGTTGTCCGCTTCGGTATACCTGCGGGGATGGGGCTGTCAGCAGCTGGTGGTTTCCGGGGCGCTGAGGCGTACGCACGAGGTCTCGATGTCGCCCTCGAGGAGCACGCGGACGGTCTGCTCGACGACGGACTGGGTGCCATCGCCGTGCTTGTGGACCTTGTAGAGGCGGACGTTGTCCTTGCCGTAGCGGGCGTAGTTGAGTTGAGACATTGCTGCAGGGATCCGAAGAGGGAAATAAGCTGGCGAATCGGCGGGAAAGCGAGCAGCGAGACTGGCTGAGCTGGAGCTGGTTGCAGACAAAGGCGGAGCTGTGCTGGGAACAAGCTACCGGCGGGATGGGGGAGCAAGAAGCTTATATCGCACCCTTATCGGGGAGCTCAGTCCGGCGGACTTCGCCATACGCCTGCGCTGGCCGGCCGCAATCTACATGTCCCCGCGGTCTATGCAGCGGAGAGGCCAATGAGGGCCCACTTGTCGTGGAGGAGCTGGACGCGGCTCACGCCATACCGTGTCGGAGGCCGCCGCACTCAGCTTCGGAGCAGACCCCCTACGCCTCTGAACCCGTCCGCAAACACCAACCACTACGCACCCCGCTTCGGGGCAGTGATATGCCGTGTGCGCCCAAGCAATTTGGGCTACGTAACCCAGGCCGCCTCCGACGATGCCGGCTGCTCGTGCTGCAGCCAGCGGCGCCCTGCGCGGACGGGCCGCTGCCATTGCTGCTGCTGCTGCACCGCGGCCAGCGGCCAGCCGCTAACAGGGCGCCGCATCTACCGGCAGGGCCCGGCAGCTGTGAGGGCAGCGCGCGAGACGGGAGGCAGTCGTCCTGGCCTTGGGCGGCGCAATGACGAAATTGGAGCACCTCTCGCTCAACCCATGCGCTGGTCCCTAGGCCGGCGTGATTGGCGCCGCCCGCCAGCGCGCGCCGACGTGCACACGTACGTAGTAGAATTCCTGGCCAAACGCGCGCCAGACGCGCAGAGCCGTGTTGTCTGGCCAAGGAGGATTGTGAAATTCCGTCGCCGCAGCCTGAGAGGCCCAAGCACGTCGTCCCCCGCATCAGCCTTCAGCCCTGGCCGTGCTGGCCGCTCGCTCTTGCTGCCCACACCTTGCCCACACCCCGGTACATCCACCCTACCTCACCTCAACTCCAGCCCGCTCCTCTGCCCGCAGACGCCGCCCTCGACCGCCCACCCCCCCACCGCCCAAACCCGCTCGCTCTCACCGCTGCCCGCCCCAGGCACCCTCGCACCCACGCCGCCCGACCCGCCGCCCGACCTCCGCTCCGCTCCGCTCCCGGCGTCGCATGAGATGGCAGCCCAGTAGCCCTCCTCATGCCTGCGAATCCACGACGCCATCACCACGATATGAGGCAGCCGTGTCTTGGTTGATGGACTCCCATGACGCCCATCCTGCAGCCCGCGCCCGCGTCGCGCTCCATGTCCAGCCAGCCCGATGTCCAAGCCCCGGACCACCACAACCTGCTGCCTCCCGGCCGCCCCAGCAAAGATGGCGGCCGCACTCCCGCCAGCTACGGCGGGCCCACCGCCCGCGGCGCCTCGTACACGACCACCATAGCCCCCGGCCCCGGCAGCTTCAGCTCTGAGCTGCGCTCCACCACCTCGCGCTCCGACACGCGCCCGCCGCTGATCGAGCAGCACACGACCTTCGCTGGCGACGAGGGCATGCGCTCCGCCTCGGAGGCGAGGCAGGCCGAGCTGCGCGACCAGATAGAGAAGGAGACGAAGATCAAGATCGGCTCAGAGAACCTGCTGGAGGCCCTGAACACCAAGAGCGCGAAGCAGGCCAAGGAGCAAAAGTCCCGCGTCGAGGCCGAGCTCAACATCTCGAACCGCAAGCTGGCCAACCTGCGCCTGGACCTGGAGACCGAGATGCAGCGTGCCAAGGAGCCCGTGTCCTCCGAGGGCCGCTTGTCGTTCCTGTTCCGCAGCGCTCCCTCGCGGGCCGAGTCGTACCAGAATCCAGACGAGGTGGATCCGGACAGCGAATCTCCAACCCTGGTGCTGGCCGACATACTGCAGGCCCTCGAGGTCGAAGGCCTGGCAATGGACTACTACGTGGAAAAGGGAAACTCGCTGGTTGAATTGTTCAAGAGGCACCCCACTCTCAAGTACGACTTGGCATGGTCCGTTTTTGGCCTACGCGTGCAGAACATGTTGCTCAGTGACACCCGCGAAGTCGCAGCAGCCGGATACCGCGTCATGAGGTATGCAATCGCAGACAGGAGATCTCTTCAAACCATCCGTTCTTTCCACACCGATTATCTGGTCATTCTTTCGTTGGTCAAGGAAAGCAAAGTCAGCGTAGAGCGGGAGCAGGCGTTGAAGTTTGTCCGAGCTTTTCTGGAAGTCAAAGACGGCGTCAAGGAGATTTCACGCGCTGTTATCCGCATTATTGTCGCCGTTGCTGAGCACACGGAAGATCGGCTACGGAACATCAGCATCTTGACGCTGGCAGAAATCCTTGTCAAGGACCCCGAAAGGCTGGTATCTTCGGGCGGCATGGGTCCTTTGACAGATGCGCTTGGCGAGGGGCTTTATCACGCCTCGGAAAGTCTGACTGGCTCCTTTCTCTACTTGCTGGATCTTCCCAGCAGAAGGAAATTCCTACGGTCCGGGCACGAGCTTCAGATGCCATTCGCTGCGTTTACCGATGCCTCCTCTGGGCATGCCAATGAAGAAAAACTCAAGGCCAACGCAAAAGTCATTGCTGCACTATTGAAAAGCTGGCCGGGCCTCCTTACTCTTTGCATGCACGACTTCATGGCCACCAGATCTCTCATATCTTCACTATACATTCCCCTTCCTCAGGTTCGAAACGTCATTTTGGAGCTGCTTTTTGACATCTTGAGGATCAAACCGCCATCATGGTCCTCTTCCTTTCTTGCTGGCCGACGCTTGACGACGTACGGCCGAGTCACAAATTTGAAAAACGCCGAATCTACAACGTCCGCTTCGAAAGCGGAGGAGGAAGAAACAAAACGAAGTCTTGTCGACCATTATGTCGCCGTTATGCTGGCCGTATTACTACATTCCGGTCTAGTGCCCGCACTGTTGCACGCTGAGGAGGATTCGATAAACCTGACTCTCAAGAGGAAGACGACGCTGCTCCTTGGCGAGGTTCTCAAAATGGCCAACGAGCTGCTGCCACCTTCATGGAGTGCGGACCTCCAGGTCCTGCCCGACCTTCTCAAATCCGCCGCCCAGTTTGGTGCAGATGACCGCTTCATAGCCACCGGAACCATCTACCAAGTAGATAGCGTCAACCGCACCCTCTTCCGCTCTGGGGGAAATGAGAAGTTTGGTGGTGGTGTAGAATCCGAAGAGGTACACCCACCACACCTGGCGAAAAAACAGTTTAGTGCCCAGATTGACGAGGCCTCGTTCCGGAATCTGATGGCCGAATCACGGGTCTTGGAGACTCCGAACTATCAAAAGTGGAGATGGGATCTCGTCCTAGGAATCCTCGATGGGCCTCTGTACAATCCCAAGCGTCTGGATGAGGCGTTGAGGGCCACAAAATTCATCCACCGTTTGATCAACTTCTTCAGGCCGTTCAAGCACCGCTTTTCGATCTTGAAGAACACCAGACCAAACCAACGCTATGTAAGGGCGGGCTGTTCACTGATGCGAGCTCTTTTAAACAACTCCGATGGAGCCAGGTACCTGATGGACAGCAAGCCGATCAGACAGCTGGGCGAGTGCTTGTCACATTTCGATCGTATGAGTGGTCTCACTTCCGAAGAACCAATCTTCTCTGCAGAGCGCATGGGAGAAACTCTGACTGGTGGATATTTCGCGATGCTCGGCGAGCTGAGCAAGAAGCCAGAAGGTGTCCACATTTTCGAGAGGTGGAAGATGATTAACATGTTCTATCATATCGTGGAACTGCGGGACAGGGACGACTTGATGAAGACTCTCCTCAGCAACATGGACTACACTCTGGATGGACACCTCCGTATCATCCTGTCGAAAGCAATGACCGCCGGTACCAAGGAGATCCGCATCTTCTCAACCAGACTCGTGAGGAAATACGCCACAAGACCGCTTCAGCATGACGACGCGCCCATGCCTGGCACAGGGGTTGCTGAGTGGGCTATTCGTCTTCTGGTCACGCAGCTTTACGACCCGGATGTCGAGGTTTGCGAGGTGGCCATTAAGATTTTGGAGGAAGCTTGCAATCAAAAGAGGTCGCTCGAGTATGTCGTCAAATGCGCTCCGACACTGGACCATCTGAGCGAGATCGGAGCCCCGTTGCTCCTCCGATTCCTGTCAACATCGGTGGGTTACCATTATCTTGATGGGCTGGACTACATCACGAGGGAGATGGACGATTGGTTCTTGGGCCGTAATGATTCCTACGTGGCTCTTGTGGAGGCGTCACTCGCTCGCGCCCTGGCGGACATACCCGAGAAGCCTCCGTCACATTTGGCGTTTGACGAACTACCTGACCCTTCGGATTATGGACTGGTACCCCCTCACTTTTACCGCGAACTTGCCCGGACGTTGGAAGGATGTAAGTTGCTCGAGGCGAAAGGTCACTTCGAGGAATTTGCGTCGACGATCAAGGACTTCTGCATGGAAAAGGAAGACGCGGAAATCATCCTGAAAGTCAAGGGGTGCTTGTGGGCTGTGGGAAACGTCGGCTCTATGGATTTGGGAGCACCGTTCCTCGAGAGCACAGATGTGACAAAATACATTGTGCGGATTGCCGAAGAGTCTGAGGTCATGTCGCTGAGGGGGACAGCATTCTTCGTGCTTGGACTCATCTCGCGAAGCTTACACGGCCAGGAAATCCTGATCGAGTGCGGTTGGGATGCCGCAACTAACATCATGGGCGAGTCGTTGGGCTTCTGCATGCCGCTTGATTTCAAGAAGCTGTTCTCGGTAAGTGCACACCCACGCGTCGTAAAACCCCTCAGAATGCTGACATCATTGCAGCTCAAGCCATGGAAGTCCTCGTTTGTCAAAATCGAAACTTTGAAGACGCCGACGGACCCAAAGAACGGAATCACAGACGACGACCCAATCAACGCGCGGATCCTGAAGCTCGTCGTGGATCTTGGCAACACAGTGTTGGCTAAGCGCGCAGCGACTGACCTACACAAGTACGTTCATTCTTTTACTTCACGCATCATCTGAGGAGTATTCTAGCTAACGAACGGACCAAAAAAAAACAGCATCAAGCAAAAGAAGGCTCCCGGATTCCAGAAGCCAGCAATGTTCCACAAAGTCATGGCCATCCTCGAACTGCACCACTTCCGGCTACCCGTGTGTCGTTTCGTCATCGACCTCTTCGACAAAAACGTGCTCCGGCAGATCGTGCTCGAGGAAGAGAGCAGCTCGGACGAGGACAACGACAGCAGTGACGACAGCGAGCCGCCGCCGCCGCCGATGCAGCCCCCGGCGCCGTTGTTCGCCACGAACGGGACCGGCAGGAGGCCGAGCCAGCTTTCTGTCGAAGTCACCTGATGAGGACGGGGGGGAGGGGGGATCGATCGAGCCGCCTAGACACACACCGGAAAGGAGGAGAAAAAAGAGCGGAACTGGGCTGTGCGAGCGACCCGCGGGTATGGCGATGAGACATCTGCCTTAGCGAGAGAGAGAGAGCTCGGCCGACATGCAATGAAATGGCGGGGTTTATTAGGGAGAGAGGGGAGAAAGGGGATAAAAAAGAAAGGGAAGTAGGACGAAAGACGCAGGGGAGGGGGGGGAGGAGGTGGTGGTCCAGGCAAATGGGGTGGGTGGTTTGGTGAAACATTAGACCATTGTCCGAAGCGGCATGTCGCGTGCGTCATTGATTTCTTCTTTCTTTTTCCCTCCCCTCCTTTCTTGTCCCCCCTCCCCCTCCCCTCTTCTCCTCTTTTACTCCCCTCCTTGCCGGCTTTGTGCGACTGCGGAACGGGAAGCGCAATGTTATACGACTTTTTTTCCTGCTCCTTCTCTTTACGGGCAGGAGACGGCAGGTCATAGCAGCGTCGGCGGCTTCGCAACTTCATCACCGGCTTGGGAAATAGTGGTACGCATGGCGTGTCCTGCACACACACACACACACACACACACACATACTGGTCTCGTCGGAATTTCCGGCCCGGATCGGCAGATCAGGAGCGGGAGATCAGCACAGGGGAGGGTGGACGGTGGTGGTGGTGGTGGAAATCTTGGTTTTCTCGCTTGGTTATAGGGGGAGAGAGGGGATCCGAGAGAGGGACGGACGGAAGGACCTCCCTTTTTTTTTTCTCCCTCTCTCTCTCTCTCTCTCTCTCTTTTCGCCCATCTGCGTGTTTATCCTTTTTCCTCTTTTTTTTTGTTTCGTCATTTTCCCCCTTCGGCACTAAAGCGGAGTTGAGCAGCATCTTTTTGTGGTTAGGGAAAGGGGAAATTTTTTCTGATGGCTCTGTTTTGTTTTTTTGTTTTTTTTTGTTTTCCTGCGTTTGGTCCGTTCGTCAAAACAAAAAGGGAGGGAGGGAGGGAGATTACTACTACTGGCGGGTAGGGTAGGGTAGGGTAGGGTAGGGCAGGGCAGGGCAGGGCAGGGTATCATTGGGAGTAAAGTAGGGCGGGTGATGGAAAGATGAAAAACAGAAGGTGCAAAACAGAAAGAGCGAGTGAGAGTGCGCTCTCTTTTGTTTTTTGGATTTATTTCCCCCATTACGCAGTGATTTGATAGGTGTGTCTGAGTGTTGAATGTAGAAGTCGCGCAGCGCGCATTGAGTGGGCGTATCTGTCCCTTTTCTTTTCTTTTCTCTTCTTTTCGCCTTCCCTTTCCCTTTCCCTTTTCTCTAGATGCATCCTGTTTAGAGAGTTCTCCTTTTTGCTTGCCCTCTCTGTTATTTTTCTCGTTTTTGGCTTCCGTTCTGATCTGTTGGTGTTGGATAAGGTATGAAGCAGGCTATAGTATCGGAAATGGGTATTTCGAGAATGGGGTGTGGGAAAGGAATAGATGGATGGAGGTGTAGTTGATTAGTAAGGGATACCCCATTACTACGGGTGGTGATGAGTGACCAGCTCCCCCGGTGTGTAATACGTAGAAACCCGGTACTGTTGTACAACCATTTCATGAACTCTCTGCTTCTCACGTTCTTTTCTGCTGAGCAAACAAAAGAGCCGGTCAGCCACTGAGCAGTTTCGCCGAGGCAACACAATACCCGCAACTTAGACACCCAAATTAAGAGCCGCCCGTTTTTCCACTACATATCTACACATATCTACAGCCTCCTTTCTGAGAGACACTTCGTCAGACATTGAATCCGAATAACACAAAGGGTATATTCATTATGGGGAGAAGCAAATTTATGGAGAGGAACCCTCAGCTACCTTGCCCTTAGCATGCCACGGGTCGAGGCCTCGGCGGCCCACCGGGGCTCCGACTGCTTTGATTCCTCTTGATTCCCAAGCACCATATAAGAGAACGACGGGTGATATAGGAGGCCTCGCAGCAACGAGAGGCCTTACCGCGGCGGCTGTGAAATATCCCTCCTGGCAGTGACCCCCAAACAGCCTCGGTACCAGCCAGCGCCACTGTTAACGGGGTCGTTAATGATAAAGACGAAGATGGCTGGGAAGACATGGCAAGATTGTGCGAGCATGGAGGGAGTTGATGGATACGGCCTTTTTCGCCTTCTGGACTGTACACGTCAGAAGAGATATACCTATACGACACGAAAGGCGTCTAGACGAGACGAGAGAGGGCCGTCCAGGTCATGACTGAAGTCTCGACTCGACATATCGCCAGGGATGGATGCATTGCTGGATCCCGGATTGGGCCAGAGAGAGAGAGAGAGAGAGAGAGAGAGAGAGAGAGAGAGAGAGAGAGAGCTGTGCAAGGTGCGGCTTTCCCCGTGTACAAGATTCGCGGAGGTCGGCACACCCATCGTTCTCCTCCTGCTGTCGTGCTTGTATGTAGTGCGCCTAATTATAGTATCCTGCCTTCGAGGCTTGGACACCGCGAACGGCAACCAAAAGGGCGTAAGTTTGCCAAAAGCAGGGCAAACCGGAGGAGACTTCTTGCGTGACTTTCCATTCTCATCGTTTGGGGTATGGAAGAACTGCATACTGCCTCGACCGACCACGTTTGTCCTCGAGGCGGGCAGAGAGTGACATCTCGCGTACATCGAGTTGGGTCAGTGGCACAACGGGTCGGCTCTGTTGCGTGCCCGCTACCAACCCCCTCCCTCTGCAGCTTGTCCAATCAAGGTTTGGTGCCGGTTTGCTACCAAACGACCATGGTGATATGCCGATGGAGCTGATGAAGGCCGCAGGATTCTGGATACCCTACGATGCTCAGACTCCCTTGCAGTCGGGGCAAGTGAGTGAGAGTAGTAAGGGAACGACGCGTAGCAGGTAGAAGGATGAATTTTCCAATATCACTCGAAACGAAATTCTCTACGGTCCTCAATGACATGCTTCTCCTCAGCCAGCACGCATGCCGCTGTCGGACGAAAACGAAATCAATGGGAGAGAGCGTTGCACGTTTCCCAGTTCCAGCTGACTGAGTTACATGCAGCAAATGTATGTACGAAGGGAAAGGAAATAGAAACCACGCCACACAGGCATACGCACTCACATGGCACAAGCCTCGGAAACTTTACGGACACACTTCCATTGCAGCAAACGTGGCTTATACGACCAAGGACTAAGGAAGAAGTCTTGCGTCTTCGTTTTGGTTACTGTGGCGTTTTACTTCCCCGGCCCATATGTGGCGTCGACTTTTTTGCGGCTTGTACAACCACTAACCACTATTATGCTTCTACTTCGCTTATTCGTGCAGCACTTGGCTTAGGTTGCGTTGTTGGTGCTTTGTGTAGAACCACGGTATACTACTTGCTTCCTCCACGTCTCGTGCGAATTCCTGCTGAGAGGGAAAAGAAAAGGAAAGGAGTCGCGAGGACGGCGACGGCGAATGTATGCGCGTCAGCACTTTTTGATTGTTTGCGAGCGGGCTAGCTGGGAGCCAGCGCGCCCTTGGTGAAAGCGTGAAGACTTGGGCAGCCAGGAGGCCAGTGAGGATCTGCGAGATATGACGACCGGTTTGTGGTTCATCGGAGAGATCAGGATTGTGAAGGCGGAGCAGTGGTCAGCGTTTGATCGATGATACTTGCATCCATGCAGACAGGGGGGCGAAGTAGGCGGTGCGGGACGCCAGCTCGTGTTAGCGGATAGCTTAACGGGGTTCTCGGCCACGCCGGTCTAGCGGGTGGTATTATTCAGCCCTACCTACGAAGGCTGCAGAAGGTGGAATGGAGAGGCGGGGTGGCTTGTTCCGGGGGGTGGGCGGGTTTGGTGACGAAGGAATGAAGGGTCCAGGTGTCCAGGACTGGGACTGGGACTGGGACCACGGTCTCGTTGCGCGTGCTACGGCGGGGGAGAGACTGCCAAGGCGGATGTTGGATGTTTCGTGTCAGCAGGCAGAGAGAGACATTATTGCAGACGCCGAGCAGGAGGGCCATCCGGAGCGGTGGTCAGCCGGAATCGGGGAGTGGAAGGGTGAGGGGGGACGGCAGCCAATGAGGGCGGGGTGTCGCGGAGGTCGATGACGCCTCGACGGCACCAAAACGATCTACAGGGTCGCGCGCGGCGCCATGTCTGGTTGCACTTCCAACGTCCGTGTCCGCGCGGCGGGGCAGCGAGTGGTGATGCGGAGTGGTCGGCGCCGTTTGCTGCTTGCGGGCGTGTGCAACGCTGTGGTGGAGCGAAGGGCGCGGGCTCGGCGGGCGGGATGCCCGAAGAGGAAAGCAATGGCAGCGGGTTGCACGTAGGGTCGAGCGGGCTGCGGGACTGCCGTTTCTCCACGAGGCGGGCGGCGGAGGCGGAGCGCACAGCCGAGAGGCATTCCGGGGCCGTGGCGTGGGCGGTGCGAACAGCGGCGCACGTTCAGCGGGCCGTGCTCGTTGCGGTCGAGTAGTAGTGAGAGTAGTGAGCAGCGCGGCGCGGGCGGCGGGTCGGCTGGGCTGTGGGCTGTGGGTGGGTTGACAGGCGGGCGTTGGCGGCAGCGCTGGGTTAGGCAGCGCTGTGGGCTGGCAGGCTGGCCGCTGGCCCTGTGGCCCCGGAGCGCCGACCAGCCGACCAGCCGCGGGCGACTCTCCCTAACAAACTGCGATCGCAGCGCATCGTCTTTTGCGCCAGAGATCGGTCTCTGCCTTATTCTGAACAGTCGTCCACCCTCCGCTGGCACATCGCCGATCCGGCCGCCCAGCCCAATCAGTGATAATGGCCTCGTCCACTCGCCGCGCAAAGTGCCCGTCGCCGCCGTCCCTCCACGCCCGCCTAGCAGCCCGCAGCAGCCCGCAGCAGCCCACAGCCCACCGCGATATTATTTGAGCCCTGTGCCCCGGCTCCCATCTCCCGCCGCATCGCACTGATCGCCGCCCTGATCCCCGCCAGCCCAGCACCCAAGCCTGCGTCCCCCGAACCCCGGAGCCGGCCCACCGTCCGCCCTCTGATTCGCATCTGCCCGTGTGCCCGCCCTGCGAGATCCCTCTGCCGAGCCCGCCCTGGTGACTTCATCAGTCGTGCCCGCCCCGCCTGCGCTGTCGCCGCCAGGCCGCCCACAATCCACGCTTTATGAGCTTGCTACGACAAGCAGGACCCTCCTTCACTGGCAGTGAAGAGAAGTCCTTGGACCCGTCGCCCGCCCCACCGCTCTTCATGCGAAGCCGCCCCTCCCTCGCCGCCGACGGGAAGAGTGCTGTTGCTCTAGCTGCCCACGACGACGCCCGCCACATTGTCCGCCTCGTCCAATGCCCCCAGTGTTCGCGCCCCTTCTGCACCCCCGTCACCCTTCCGTGCGGCCACTCGCTCTGTCGCCGCTGCCTCCCCGACTCGTTCCACCGCCAGCACATCTCATATCCCGCCACCCCCGACCGCCGCCGAGGAATAACATGTCCCATCCCGGACTGCGCCCGCGAGCACGCCGTGGGCGAGTGCAACGTCGATGTCACCCTGTTGAAAATCATGGACCTCGTGGCCCAGCTCATGGTCCGGAGCAAGCCCGCCACCGACGACTCGCCCATCGTGCTGGAAGTCGTACGAGACCACGCCCCGGATACCCCAATGGAGAAGGACGCCCCACTGCAGCACGAAGCCACCGTTCTGCACGGCGGCCGTCTCCTCGCCACATACACTCTCGCCGACATGGGCCAGCTGGACGTTGCCTCTGAAGTTTCGTACACGACCTTGGACGGCGACGACCGGGATTTCCACGAGCTGGACACCGCCGTGCTCGACCGGCTGAAAGAGGCCACGGATAAAGAGTTGGATTGCCATGTCTGTTACAATATCCTCTTGGATCCCGTCACCACTTCCTGCGGCCACACTTTCTGCCGGAAATGCCTGGTTCGCGCCTTGGATCACACCGTGCACTGTCCTGTCTGCAGACGCTCCCTGAGCATCCCACCCTCGCTGCAAGGCCAGGCCAGCAACAACTGTCTCGTCGCGCTGCTGAACGCCCTGTGCCCTGACCTTGTCACTGCCCGCGCCGAAGCGGTTGCCGAGGAAGAGCGCGGCATGTCCGAATTGGATACCTCCCTGTTCGTCTGCACCCTCGGATTCCCGGCCATGCCTACCTTTCTGCACATCTTCGAGCCGCGATATCGCCTCATGATTCGGAGAGCGCTGGAAGGAAACGGCACGTTTGGCATGCTCATGTACAATCGTTCTGGCTCCAACCAAGGAAGTCTCGGCCCAGTGCAGTTCAAAGAGTACGGCACGATGCTGCAAATCATCAATGTGCAAATGATGCCCGACGGCCGGAGTCTCATTGAAACTCGGGGCATCGGCCGTTTTCGGGTGCGCGACCACGGGCTGCACGATGGATACATCATGGGCAGGGTCGAGCGCATTGGGGATGTCAGTCTGGCCGAAGAAGAACGTCTGGAGGCCGAGGATGTCAGAGCCGCCCAGTCAACCCGCGACGCCCAACTGGCCGCCGGTTCTCCGCACGCAAACCATGCGCCTGAGCCGACCATCGACAGTCTGTCCACGCGCGAAATGCTCTTGATTGGCGTCGACTTCATCGAAAGGATGCGGGCCAACAGCGCCCCCTGGTTGCATCAACGCATCCTGGACGCATATGGTGGCCCTCCAGACGACCCGGCACTGTTCCCCTACTGGTTCGCGAGCATTTTGCCCATAGCCGAAGAGGAAAAGTACCTTTTGTTGCCGACTACAAGCGTGCGAGAAAGATTAAAGATCGTGGTCAGCTGGATCAGAAGGATAGAGTCTCAGCGCTGGTGAGTCCCTCCTTTCTTTTCCTTCTACCCCCCCATACAAAAGCCAACGTTGCGCAGGGCCTGATCGTTTCCGACCGCTGGCTTCTGGCACGATTTGGCCTTATTCTCTCTTCTCTCTTTTGCTCTCTCACTCTCACGCATGGCGAGTCCATTTGGTGTTTGCATGGGTTCAATCGGTAGAGAACCAAGAGACACCCATGCTAATTCGTTGGCCATGTTTTGGTTGTTGCTGACAGGCTTGCCGGAAACGCTTGTGTAGTCTTGTAAACCGCACCATCCTCGCTCAGCGCTGTCTTTTGTTCGTCGGTAGCATCGTCCTTGCGTGGTGGTACGCGTCGTCGTCATCTCCCGACTCCCCCGCCTAGCGAGATACATACCCGGTCGGCCCCGCGACGCGCCGCCCTTGGCGACGCAGCCCCACCATCGTTTGGGTTTTCCGGTCAGACTAGGTACCGCTGCGGGGGAAAAAAAAAGCATGCCAACGTTGCACGGCAGCTTTCGCTCCCCATGTCCGCAAAACAAAGACGCCGGAGCCGCGCGGAGATCGAGATCCCGATCCTTGGTCCCGTCCACCCCCGCTGTCATGGGCGTCACCACTGTTCCTGTCGATCACGATCGCTTGAACCTTTACCCGCTTGATACCAATCAGGACCACCATTTGCATCGTCCTGTTTCTCTTTTTGCATTTGTAGGCGTTCATCTACCATTGGGGACGCATGGGGCGGCTTTTAGTCATTTACGGATATCAGCATTTATTTCCTCTGATCTCACTTCTTTCTACCACGTCTCACGTGCAAGCGAAGCATCCGGCGTCCATGGATTTTCTTTTCCTTTCCCCACCCCAGGATGCGCAAGTACTGCCACCACTGGCGCAAGCTTATGCGGCGCACACGTTGATATACATCCTCGCATGTGGCTCCTTCCTGTTGTTTTCTTTCTTCAGTCGTCAGTGAAATACCCCCCCCTCCCTCCCATGTCTCCCTACCTCTTTTGTTTGTTACCAAGGGGAGACATGGTACGAACGCGAAAGTGTCAGTGGCGGCTAATCCGCACGGAACATCTGTCACAAATTTCTTCCTTCTCTGCGTCTAAATTTTTCGTTTTCTATATTCCGCTGGTGGGTGTGCTGAAATTGTACAAACTTTATCTTCTTCCTTGGATAGATGACGACGACAGCAAGGTTCGGTATATAAACACCTGCTCGACGATATAACTGGAAAATCATGTCCTTTTCTTCTTTGCATTTATTCTTGCGTCGATAGGGGTGTGCAGCAGTTAGTGACGGTGATGAGTAAAATCCGAGTGGCGTTTTTGTCTCGCAAGGCCTGTAATTCGAGAGTTTACTCTTTGGAGCACAGAAGCAGAGTTCCCGACAATGAATGTTTGCTCCTCAGGTGCGTTGGATTTGGGGCTGGCTGTAACGGAATGTCATATTTAACAGCGTTCTGTAGCTGCCACAGCAGTCACCTCACGTGCAGTTGTGCGGAGGTTGGCTCTGGTCTTCCATGTTGGTACCGTCCAAAGCCGTGCGTTTTGTAGTGGCCAAGAAAAGCGTCAAGCTGGGAGGGTTTCCGATTACCGGAGGAGTTCTTGGCCAGGCTCCAAACCCGCCGATCACACTGATAAGGTCAAGACCATTTCGTATAGTGTTAACAATCGAACACCCCAAGTTACGTCAGCACCAGCTACGAATAATCACAGCTGCATTGAGTTGATGGCAAGTCCCTCCATGGCCGGTGCATCCAAAGCTTGGACTTGACGACAGACCTGCAGGCGGCCATGGAGATTACTCGCACATGTATGGAATGCTTTTTGGCGGAACAAGGTTGAGAGGGCGAAATCTGTTGACCATCTGCCGTTACGGCTTCGCGCTCATTACACATGGAGTCCCGGCTGCTGTCGTCTCATCGAAATACGTATAAGCAATTCGCGCCACCGAATGAAACACATGTTTTGCGTTCTCGCATCACCTTCTCCGCATGGCCATGTACATCCCCGGTCGATGATTGACTCCCCACGTGCATACACAGATGAGCTGGCAATGTCACAGGTCTGCCGTTTCCTTTGGCAGGGTGGAGACGTGTATATAATGCTGTAGCTGTATACTCCACGCCGCGACCATCACTCCCTGAGGAGCTGCACGACTGTAACCCTCAATTACTTGTGGGTCTGCCCGGCTCATAGATGACAACAACTGTGCTGCTTCGTTCGCCCCTCAGTTCCTCACTGCTGCGACAGGTACCAAGACTTCCCCAAGTTCCGCTCGACCCGCAAGCATCAAGAGAACTCGAATCAAACGCCCACAGTCCAGAAACGATACTGTGGAGCAACGACTTGCTGAAATGATGATACGCAGCAACAGAAGATAACACCAAAGACCGTAGATTTTCATAGAGGGGCGTAGCTCACCACCTATGGCACCGGGCTTACGCCGCCTAAGCTGGAGTGACGACCAGTATTCCTTTCCTTGAGATAGACGACAAGTATTGCTGCGTTCGGTAATGTCTTCGTCATAAAATCCGTTCCATGCCAGTGTGGTGGATCCGACTGCCCTGACATAGCCAGCCTTCTTATGAGAAGTTGATCAAGGACAATCGGCGGAGACCATGTGCGCGCGTCTGGCTGTTGCGTGAATGCGGGATGGTGCGCGTGACGCGGGGCTGCGCTGGTGCTGGACGCTGAGCTGAGTGGGAAGGTATATGGGAGTGAGACAGACTGGGGTGATTCAGTGATGTGAGGTTTCGGGATGTGTCGGGCGGCAGTTCAGAACGGGCTAGAACTTTCTGTCTAGAGTTGGAGTCAAAGGCATTGGGTAGGGCTCTGGCTTGGGACATTCATCTCTTGGATTCCTGGCAATCAGCTAGCAATGCAGCACATCTTTAAGGTCTCGTGTCAACTCTCAGCGATTATGTCGAATGATGGGGCATATTGACGGGTCAATATGTCGTCCAGACAAGAATTTACCGCCACACCAGCTAAAGTCAAAGTATTGTGACTTGAAGTATCTATCTCTCAAAGACAACAAGTATTTTGCAAGTAGGCAATCATCGCTGGACGAAACTTTTAAGCCTCAAAATTAAGAGTATCCTTTTTGCAAAATTTTATAGGCGTGCATCGGGGGCGTCCCATAGTAGTGAGTGTCTTACGGTCCCCGGTGACTACTGCTTCGCGGTCAGATGAGCAGCAGAGGCCTTTGGTGCTTTGTGGGCGAGTCCCCACAAGTACTTAAGAACTCTCTCCTCTCTGCAAATCCACTCCACCACCCACAAGCGATCACGAACGCCTTTTGACAGCAGTTCAGGATTTGTGAAAGCAGCAACAACGTTAAACGACACTTCGCTTTGGCGTTTGCTTGCCTCGGCACGAGGACGGCCTTCGGTCTTTTTGGTGATCGCAACTGCAAACGAGATCCATACCACCACCACCGTGCTCCAATGAAGTTGCTCAGCATTTGTGATAAAGGCTGAACAGCATCCCCGACATGCGTTGGAACGCAGGGTGTGGCAACCTCAAGGAGTCACCTTTCTGGCAGCAAACCCCCACGCCAGTCAGAATCATCCAGCGAAGATTAAGAAACCACGCAGTGACTGGACTGAGGTCAATTCCGCCATGGCGCCTAAGCGAGGCTGAGGACTATAAGTAGCGAGTAGAGTACAAATACCTCAAAGCCCGTGTTTCTACCCACACCGTGATCAATAATGTCGGGTGCACCTATGCCTCATGTGGGTTCGATGTACTGCACAAGACAGCGGTTCGACCCAAAGCATCCAAGAAGACAATCATGCAGGGGAATTCGGGGGCGTCTGCACGTTCTTTTTGAGATCAACGTGAGACTTTCTGATATTTGCAGTCTTTTAATCGCTTCCGCACTTTGTCACCGACCTTGAAAGGCGTCTTACGTCTTTTGCTGTACCGAAGGCTGCACTGTGACTGAGCCAGCATTGCCCTGGTTCGGGATTGGGAGCGTGTGCAATGTCGTTGGCGCAGTTTCACGTTGTGAGCGTTGTGGAGAATTACGTACTACCAGCCAAAGATTGAGCTGAGCAACTTCATTCCCTGTTAATGGTGAGGGTCAAGAGTTTGTGTTGATGTTTAGCGCTACGATCCAAGTTCTAGTACATACCTAAAATTAGTAATGTAAGACAAAGAGGCGAGCAACGAGCAGTATCATGATTAGGTCATGACAAGTTCGCAGTGCTTGTAATCGAAATGTTACGCTCACTTCACCGAACTAATACAGGATTAGGTTCTTGAAAACAACTTTTTCTACCGCTTATAACTGCTTTACGGAATACAAGCAGCACCTGCAACCAGTATACAGCCATAGCACCGTACCGCTGTAGTAAGGGTAAGCGGTCACATTACCCAGACGTCTGCCTGTTGACATCTTTCAGATTCAGGATCTGGCTCTGTGCATCTCTCCCGTGCATGCATTCTTTCGAGGCCTGGGCCGTCACATGCGAGACGCTGAGCTCCGCAGAATTCGTGCATGGGAGCCTCGCGGTCTTGTTATAAGCATGTCCACACTTGTCATCTCTCCATTGTTCTCCTCCACCAGGCAAAGAACACTGCTATTGTCGGACGCTCCCAGAGTCAGAAATATTCGACTCTGGATTTTCGAGGTCAACTGAAAGACCTTTACTCTGCCACGGGCAAGCGTGATCGATGTTTTTGAACTGAGCGCATGCGGGGTCTAAGAAGCTGCTGTGATCACCAGGTAGTCTTGATGGTGTTGTAGATGAGCGACGATGACTTATCAGCAGCATCATAGTTCGGTTCTGGTGGTAAACGCTACTTGGGAGGTTCATGAGCTTTTCTTTCGTCTCGTAGAAAGCTCCGTTTACTGAAAGCAAGAGCGGCCCAAAGCCAGCGTGATATGCAAGCCTCTCATTGACCATCAACAACATTCAGGGCCCGGTCTTTCCGCAGTTATCGCATGTACGGAGTTGAAGAGATAACTTGTTATCTATGTACAGGCAAGGCCCTTCACATGCTACGAGCGTGACATGGTACGAAGAAAGCGACGGTACCTGCAAGTAAGATGAACACAAGGCATCAACGCACCTCTGATCAGCAGCTCCCAGAACGCCGTCAGCAAGAAATCGTTTTATCACTGCATTCCAGACACACCTGTCATTCGCTTTTCTTCCTCCCCAATAGCACTACTCCTATGAAATGCTCGATCAAACAACTAGTACCTTGCCTCACTGGACAGTTGACTCGGTAGGTACAATGACTTCAAGACAATGACAAAGGACGATCTCCGTACCCCAATATGCTGGCAATATCCGCGTAGTATGCTTCTTTTACGCCATTGAACAGCAAGATTTCTCGATACAGATCAGCATCAACTTACTAACTCGATGAACCAAAAGCAAACTGAAGGGAGGAATAAAAGCATGTTTTGCAGATCACACCCCGACAAAGGCAAGTGATGCGTAGTACACTGTAGTTTGCTCAGTCTTGCATGAGGTACGTGGGTTACCGTGTTGTCTGACTGAGCTTCGTTGATGAATAGAAATCAGACACACGGTTGATTCGATTCTCCTTTAACCACTCCGCGGGCTGCGTCACCCATGCCACCCCCTCCACACATACGTGTCAAGTAGGCGGCATGTGCGGCAATGCTCCACCTTCTGATCCCACTCACACGCGATGCCTGCACATGATTGCTAGTACCACACGGCACATGCGGAAACCCTTAGCAGCGGCCACTTGACAGGGCAAATCCTGCTCCCATGGATGCATTTAAAAACCTCACTCCTTCTCAACCGACTATCTCCTTGTCAACTTTACAGTGCATTGAGTGTGAGATCTCGATCAATTTTCGCCGGCCGCGGCGGTGGGAACTTGAGTTTCCTGACGTGATACTTCCGTCGAGCCCATATCAACCTTGTTCACAAACATCCCCGCCAAGTCCCCACAGCGCGCTTGACAGTCACCATCCGCAAGCCCGGTCGCAACCGCCCCAAGCACCTTGCCCGCAATCAGCACGAAGAACAGAGCACCACCGCTTGCAAATTTGGCCGGAGCAGATCTAGAGGAAAGGTGAGGTAGTTGGGTGTATCCGAGTCCAGGCCAGCCGATATGTCTGGAATATCTGGAGCTCCCGGATAGTCCGAGTCGAAGTCAGCAGTACCGTCCAGGCTGTTCGCGTTGATGAAAAAAGTCGACAGCGTTGGTTGGAAAATTGGCCGGCATTTTCTGGATGTATCACTAGTGGCCGGAGGATGTCGTATGTCGTATGTCGACGAATCCCCAATCTCCGAAGGACACCTCTTTTGTTGTTTTGAGACCTGACACCGAGCCACGAGTTTTCGACTCGAGCTTGCAGATGAGAGCACATGGAGACACAGTCAAGGTCCAACAATTAGTTAGTGCGGGACGGCAAGCTCCATCATCGCCGCTTGCTATAGATAATACAGCAAGTGCCACGCTCCTCCCAAACCTCGCTGTCCGCGAAACTCTCGCCGAACGTGCTGCCGGCTGGGGCCTCCAGCCACTGTACTGACGTGAAAAGGCAGCTGAGCAAGACTCGACCGACTTTCCTCCATACATGGGCGTCGTCGTCGAAAAGCCGGAGTGGTCCCCCTTCAGCAGAATATATCCCTCTCGAGCTGACCGTGCACCACCACCACCTCCTCCTCGACGCGGGCGGACGGGGCCGGGGAAGGTGTTTTGTGATGTCGGGTGGGGAAAGGGGCAGATCAGTAATTGTCGGGGGAGGAGATTGTTGCATTTTGTGGCGAGGTGGCCGACGGCGAAGGTGAGATGGAGGGTGGGGTTTTCGCTTGAGAAGGGGCGCGGATCTGGGGGTGGGAGGAGGATTGTAAGGGGAGGATGATTGTGGATCGGTGTCGTGAGGGAGAACGGGGAATGAGGGTGCGTTAAAGGCTATGTGATGAGAGTCCGGAACGCCTTGGCTCGGGGTTTATCTGGGTTTCTGGGCGTGTTTGCTTTTACTCTTAATTCTGGCTGGCCAAGTCGAGTGGTATGTACATACGTACGTTACTTCCAGTCTCCGGCTGAACTCGTCTCGATTGTGGGGTGTGTCGTACACGTTCCAGTAGGGGTGCAGTCTTCGAGAAAACCAGCTGAGAGGAATAGGGCCTCACGGTGGATATCGGAGTGGATGGGAAAAAGTCCTGATTGAGGAACGTAACGTCGATTTGTACGGCAATCTCCAGCTCATCAACATGACGCCCGATATCATCACCCCATGACCCTGCACAGCACCAACGGGACACCTTCATGCACAGCAGCCCTTGCCAACTGCTTTCGAGATACCAAGCACTGACTGAGGACAGTAACACGAACAGAACCCCAAACGCCGAGTTCAGCGCTTTTTTGCTAGTCTGGTGACAAAGAGTCATAATCCTCGAACCACCGCGGTCTCGCGTGCACGCAAGACGCACGCCGACGAACAAGCTACGAAGCAGCGAAGATCCTCGCGATCCGTATTTAACAACCCGCCCACACGGCAACAGTCAGCAGACCTACCTCATGGTCAAACCAAGCGAAAGTTGCTCCCACAGATGCATATATTTAGATCCCCAGATCATCGACATCGCCTGTCAGTCAGTCCTTCCATCATCCCCAAGTCAAGCTCACAACGAGGTGTAGCACCAGAGACTGCAACTTAAGATAGTGTTCAACACTTCCCGCTCCCTCGCGGCCGGGGGAAGCCTGTACGCCTCGGCCAAACCCCCCATCTCAGTCATGCTTCGTGAGTTGTGACGCACATGGCGCTGTCCATCATCACCTCAAAATGCTGCACAGCGCCACCTCGACACGTTGGTGCGCATGCATCTAAGGAACTCATTTCTGCTGGGAGATTGAGTTTTGCGGCAGGGGAGGCGGCGCAAGACGCACGAGAGAGCGAGTTCAAATTCCACGTATCACTCGTCATTGAATTACGAAACTGCGAGTCCGAAGTGGCGTCTTTGGCATACCATTTGACAATGGTTTGTATTCCACGACTGCAGGACGCGTTGACGAGGAACGCAAGAGGGGAAAGGATGCCTGTGACAGCGTTTTATAGCGAGTTCGTGCAGCCAACCGGGGTGACCACGAGACCCTGGCGCTCAGAGTGGGATGCGCGCGTGGTAGATTCCCTATCAACCTCCACCGGCCGGCTCACACGACGACACACCATGAGACGAACCAACTGCATGAATATGGGAAACGATCTGACCATCCATCCATTCATCCATCCGAGTCAAACTAATACTTCCATACACACGACAAACCAAAAGAAAGAAAAAGGGAAAGAAAAAACTCTGCTTTTTGATATGGATCCACCCACTCCGCCCGCTATACGCCTATGAACAATGCAGCAGACACACCATCAACATACAACCCCTCGTCCGTCCGTCTCCCCATTCATTCCCTTCAACACCACCCCCTCAAACCGCCGCCGCCACACCCCTCGGCTTCCGCCCATACAACCCCACAACCGCCTCGAACAGATCCCTAACCGGAGGCAACGCAAAGCTCGGCCCGACATCAAACACACCCGCCAGCATCTCCGGCCTGACAACCGGCTTGTCGCCGCCATCATCCTCCTCCCCACCCACTTCCATCTCCATCCCCATCCCCATCTCCCCTCCCACTCCCCCTCCAGACACCCTCTCCATAACCTCCCTCCCCACGCCTCCCTCCCCATCCTCATCCTCCCCATCCTCCTCCCCATCCTCCTCGACGAGCGGCTCCAACTCCAACGCCCCCAAATCCTCCTCCGGCGCCGCCACGGGCCGCACGAGCTGCAGCCCGGTCGCGGACTTGGGCGCGACGACGCGGATCTCGGCGGCCGAGTTGAGGGCGATGAAGCCCCTGTTCCCGCCGTTCCCGCTGCTGCCGCCGCCAGCCGATGCGGCAGGAAGCAGGGCGGTGACGATTTGCGGGACGACGACCGAGTACAGGGGGCGGGGGGAGGAGGGGGAGAAGACGAAGACTTTGGATTGGCGTTTCTTGGGGCCCTGTTGGGGTTGGGGTTGGGGTTGGGGTTGGGGTTGTTGGGTTTTGGCGTCGGCGGAGGCGGCGGCGGTGGTGGTGGTGAGGCCAGCAGCGCCGCCCTCGATGGTGGCGGGCTTGTCCTTGTTCTTGTCCTTGTTCTTCTTCTCGCGCTGTTCGGGGAGCGGGAGGGAGATGGCAAAGGTGCCGGCGTCATCGGCGTCGTTGGTGGTGTTGTTGTTGATGGCGAGGTGCGCGATTTCGGCCTTTTGCGAGCGCGTGAGGCCCAGGGGGCGGAAGCTGTAGCCGTAGCTGAGCTCGTCGTCGACGAGGTCCCATACGCTGAGCGAGTTGGACACGATGATGAAGCGGCGGCCGACGAAGCCGAGGTCGACCAGGCCGGTGGTGTACAGGCCGCCGCGCGAGTACCTTATCGCGCCCGTGGCCGGGTTGATGAAGTGGACCAGGCCCTGGCTGTTGTTGCCGAAGAATTCCTGGCTGGCGGCGAGGACGGAGCCGTCGGGGGAGTAGGCCAGGCGGGCGTGCACGGGGACGAGCTCGCCGGGGATGTCTGAGTTGGCGTCGAAGCCCTCGACGGCGGCTTCCAGCCGGATTGCGTTGCGGTTCGACCAGGTGACGAGACCCTCGCCCTTGGTTCCCCTGACCACGGTGCCGTCGTGCAGCCTGGTCTTTGGTGCCCAGATGCGGACGAAGCCGTCCTCGCCGACGGTGGCGAAGGAGGTGCTGCTCGGGTCGTACTTCAGATCGAATACGCGGCCGGAAACGACCTTGTCGGCAAACCTGTGGGGTGCATCGATGCGCGTCTCCAACATCCACTGGGCCTTCTCCTCGTTCCAGAGCCAGAACTTAAGGTAGACCTCACGTCTCGCGTGCTGCTCTTCCTCTACCGCCTTCTTCTCCGCGGCAAGGTGCTCCACATCCTCGACTGGCGGAACCCACTCCTCGACAGTGGCAAGCCATTTTCCATCATGGCTAAGTTGCAGATGACGAAGGTCAGGCTCACGCAGTTTGGTTGCGTTCGGAGCTTGGTTGAGGATGGTGGCGTTGTTGCGGGTGATGGCCTGGCGGAAGACATGGTGGTTGGACGAGATGTCATAAGCCTGAAGGAAAGGAGCGGGGTGGTTGGTGGTGCCAGCCTCGGTTCTGGGTTGCGAGGCGGGGACAGAAAGCAGGACCTGGTTGGGGTTCTGCGGGTTGATGACAGCAGCTGTACGGCGGACCTGGTCGAGTATGTCCTTGTCAGACGTCGCCTCAGGAGTGAAGAAGCGGGACTGAACTCCAGCAATGTTGGCCTTGGGGAGCAATTCAGTGGTTGAGAGAACAATGACCGAGTTATCTGCAAGCTGAACGGCGTATGAAATTCCGCTCGGAGAAACAACGACACCGTCGATGGCAGACGTGAGGTGAGGGAGGAACTGCTTTTTCGAAGTTTGAAGCTGCCAGAGAACGAGAACGGTTTCTTGGCCACCGGAGATGAGGTAGTTGCCATCCAACGACCACTTGACGGCTCCAACAGGGTTCCTGTGCCAGTGAAGGATGCGAGGAGCCAGGGAAAGCGCAGACGGCACATCCTTCGGGTCCTTCTTCTGCTGCTTCTCAGCATTGGTGAGCTTAGCAATGAGATCCTCGTAAACAAGCAATGCACCGTCAGAGCAACCAATGGCCAGATTGACCTGGCCAATTGGCGATGGGCCCTTCTTTGGCGTCGCTTTGCGAGACCTCTGGCTGTTGACTCGAATATCGATCGAGGTGATTTTCTGAGTGCAGCCGAGTTCCCTCCAGATGTAGACAAGATCCTTGGGGGCGGTAGCAGAGGGATTCTTTAGGTGTCCAATAAAGACGCGATCCTTGGCGGCTGCGGCAATGACTTGACCACCGGCAGCAACGGTGAAAGATTCAAGAGGCACGCGGGTCCTGAGCAGAGGTTGTGCCACCTTATCAGACTCGTCCTTGTGACCGCGCAACCTGTGGGCATAGATGACGTTGCGGCCACCCTTATCCAGAGTGTAGACGTTGTCAAACTTGTCTCCGTTGTCGCTCTCGACAGCGTTGACTGCGATGGCGCGGATGGCGGCAGACAGATTGTAGCGCTGGATCTTGTTTCCTTTTACCCAGTCCCATAGGATGACATAGCCAGAGGCATCGGAAACGTACAGGTGGTTTGGATCAGCGTCTGACAGGGCGTATGCGGTAATGTTGTGGCTGGTACCCATGGGAAGCGTCCGGACAAGAAGCGAGGTTGCGGTGGAGTAGATGTGTACAGCCTTGGCTGTCGCGAAAATGAGATATCTACATTGCATGATTAGCAGAGCTCCATTACACGTCTCGCGGACCCTTATACCTCTCATCTTTGCCGAAGACAGGGTCGATGGGCAGAAAGCGGCCGCCCACAGGGTCGGAAGTGTACCAGCTACTCCTATCCGGGCGGAGCGCAATCTTCACAGCATCGCCCTCCTCTTTCTTTACAGCCTGGGCATTCTTGTCTCCCACAATGGCAATGGCGGTCTCGGTCTTCGCGGAGGGCGCAGCGGCAGCTTGGGCGATTTTCTCGTCCTGGGTACGGATGCGCTTGGCGTCGTGCTTGGTTGCAGCGGAATCCTTGGCCTTCCTCTTGCGACGGGCGTCCTGCGACGCGTTCGGCGCGTCCTGGAGAGTGGTGGGGGCGGCCATGGTGATGTGGCGCAGGGTGATGGTCGAGTTGAACTTTTGAGCGCGGCCGACTACTTTTTCGCGGGCCCTGGTCTTGGCGCCGACACCTCCGAAGTCTTTCTTGCACGCCCGGACAAACACCTTTCCAACCTCTCTCACCACGCCCACCCCGCCGCCCGCCCTCTGCGCCCAGCTCCGCCGTCGCCCAGCTCCGTGTCGCCGCTCTTCCGCCTCGCTACCGCCACCATGATCATCCCCGTCCGGTGCTTCTCCTGCGGCAAGGTGCGCTTCCATCCCAGCCCCGCAACTCGACACGCGCACCCTTGCTAACGTGAAGGGCAGGTCATCGGTGACCTTTGGGAACGCTTCGTCGGCCTGATCGAGGAGGGCACCCACGAGGGGTAAGCGCCATCTGGCTCGAAGTCTCGAGAGCACGCGACTGACCTGACGGCTACGCAGTGACGCCATGGACCAGCTCAGGCTCAACCGCTACTGCTGCCGCCGCATGGTCATGACCCACGTCGACCTGATCGAAAAGCTCCTCAAGTACGTACAAGCTGTAGCTGTACGAGAGCCGCCAAAGGCTGACCCACAACAGGTACAACAACGCCGAGCGTGAGCTCCAGCGCATTCGCCAGGGCGCATAGATAGCCCCGACACGGCAACCGAGTTGATGGGATGGAATCCGCGCGACACCCCAAAAAATACCAGAGACGTATTGGCGAAAGGCGTTATATGGCGCAAGGCTTCTTATAGTTTTTTGCCGGTGGCTACGTGTATGCTCCTGGTGGTTGCACAAAACAGAAGCTGAAGGAAAGCCTTGAACTTTTCCAGAAGATATTTACTTGGAATTTGAAGCATTTTTGCTACCTCGCACTATCGAGATACTGTCTCCCCACCTGTTGCCAGTATCCAGTCAGGACACGGCGACTGGAGAGCTTTGCCCATGCCTCTAGATTAGCGTCGGAAAATGGACAAGGCTGCCCCAACTGCGACGTGAACTTCTCGCAGTGTGCAAGTGCTTTGAGGGCTGCGAATGGCGCGCCATGGACACTTCTTTATCCAACGAATTTAGCTATGCGATCGGCGCTCTTGGCGCGACAGCTGCTTAGTCACCCAAAAATGTGCATCATGGTTTCCCAAGGGCCGTCGTCACCACCGAGCTTCCAACACCAAGTCAATCAACCCATCCCACCGCGCATCCCGCCCTCCCACCACCAAGCACCGTACGTCTCCGCCTCAGCGCATCTGCGCTTCCATCCTCCACGAATTCCACTCGAGAGGGAGGTGAACAATGCACTAACACCGCGACCTCCCCGCGCAGCAAACACCTTCCGCAACTCCTCCACCACCAAAACACCCGATCAAGAAAAAAATGGCCCCCAAGCGCGCACCCGTCGCCCGCCGCCCGGAGTCGCAGAGCGTCTTCTCCACCGCCTACACCGCCGTCACCGATCCCGAGAACCGCCCCGTCATCACCGGCCTCGCCATGTTCGCTGTAAGTTTTTTTCTTTTCTTTTGCGCCCCGGCCGCTTCGCCGCCTCATTGGCCAACGCGACGCTCGAACGTTCCGTGGGTGAATGAAAGAGCGGAGAGTGCTGATCCTGTGGTCTTTTATCGACAGGCTGGTGTCGCTTTCCTCCACAGCAGCTGGAGCGAGTTCCTGCTCCCCGCGTAAACGAGAGGAAGAGGGAAAAAAAAAAAAAGGAAGCGATGGGCGGATGACGACGACGACGACGTCGACGGCGATCGAAGCGACTCGATGGTGGATCATTCGTCGTCGATGCAAAAATGTGGATCTCAACACTGGATGAGCGCGGAAACCGCTGGGGACGATGTACTGTACGCTACTACAAGATGGAGGCAGACGGGCATGAGGGTTTGGCCTAGGTCCTAGGTCTGATCTCTCCCGCAAATGGGGTGGGGAGGAAAAGGCCATGTACAGCATTTATGGCATGTCGGGCGTCTTAGTTTCTTTTTTTCGGAAGAGGGAGGGCTTATGGGATACACCACTTTTCATCAAAAGAACTGGACATGGATGGTCGTTGCTTTGACGATTGGTGATGTCGTTGGAGGATAAGAGTTTCCACATAGTGAAGGCCGGATCCCCCGATCTCATCAACATGACCGATTACCCGCTCCAGCTCGATTTCGAGAGCGAAGACCGAGACGTAATCCTCGTGCGCTCCTCCTGTTCTTATGCTTTTTACTCATCCTTGTAGGGAACGATTGAAGTGCGGTTGACCTACAGTCCATGCTGAACTGCAGCATCAAAGGATTGTGATGATGGGGATACTTTGAGCCTAATGATGAGACTCACTGTGAAGGGTTGCAGCAACTTCGCCGCTGGAGATTGGAGTAGCTGGCCCAACTACGAGCGGAGGCCGGCCGAGTTGGAGGGAAGCTATTACCATATTTTCGTTTCCAGAAACAACGCTCCCGACATGCGATGCATTGCCACTCCAGACCATCGTATGCAGCTCCATCTTTTAAAGATTATGGCACAAGTCATCGTCACCAGGCCGGTATCTGGCAAACTCTTGCTGCTGCTCTGTGATCGCCTCCCACTTCACGATTTGCAGCCCTGCCATGAATGTCGATCGAACTCAGCCAAACCGGCGACAACCACCTTTCATTACCCCCAACCGTTTCGCCCGCCCTCCAACAAGTCCGGGCCACCCGCGTGCCGCACGACCAATGCGGCCACAAACGGATCACTCAACAGTGTCACCGAGTGCGGTAGTCGGGCTAGCTGACATGCAGTAACCCTCTACTGGAGTAAGCCGCTTAAAATGGGGGAGGTCTCGGATGTTCTGAGGATTTATTCGGACCAGAGAGAGAGTGGCCTTTGTGTTCTCGGTTGAAAACAGTCGACAACTACTTTCTGGATTCTGAGACACTTTTGCCATTTCTGTCTGTCGCTCAGGTTGCGTTGTACTCGACAGCGAGGCAAGGGCAAGTAACTCCACGGAGCGGTCAGACGGACATCAGGAGATGTCGGTTTCCGTCAGCTTTTTGTGAAGTTGACCATCATCATCATCATCAGGTTCCAGAGCCATGATTGCAGCGTGAATTGGCGACGGCCATGCTCTCCAGATTGCAAAGTACCACTCAAATCTACTCTCTGCGTGCGAAAGATGGAAGAGTGGTACTTTACAATTTAGAGAGTGTGGCCGTCGCCAGTTCACGCTGCAACCAGTCTGCATAGAACCCCTCCTTACTACCAGGCAGCAGTAAGTTTCTTTACCTATGCTTTTTATAGGCGAATAATAAAACGTAACGATATTTCTCATAACGCCTAAATTAGACTTAAAAGCCTTATAATTATAGTTGAATTATCTAATGATTAAAATGTAGTCTATAACGTGCTTCGCTTTACCAAATCGAAATGACTTTTTGGCGGTACTACGGCTGGTAAACGATCTAGCCTAACGCCATGCTTATTTTCCTTGTACCTCGCCTCTAGTGCAGCCCTCCAGAACGCGATGCTCTCTATGTCTTCTTTACGTATACGTAATGATCCAGGAAAGAAGACATCCAGTAGCGCGGTGCCAAGAAGGGGGTATTTTTCCTCGACCCGTCTTAGTACTTCGGACACGCGCCGGTGGTGAATCGTCTCATGCTCTTTGATGTGAATACCGAGGGCTGCCGGCGAGCGTGGGATGCTAGCGGCGATAACGTTCTGGATGCTACCAAGAAGACCAATTCCCAGCAGGTCTGGATCGCGTCAGCGAGGATAGAGGCCTACACGCAGGGAGCTCCATTCGAGGAGGAAAGGGTCATATTGGCGCAAAGGATTGGAACTTACACCACGTACTCTGCTTCATGGCTGCCACAGTAATCAAGAGCAAAATCCAGAAGACGGCCAGGATGGTGTTCGTGATCCTTGTGAATGGCGAAGCCGGCACAGTACGGGTGCCTCGGGCCAGGATTTCCAGGTCGAGCCCGACGCCTCGCTTGCCCAGAATGACGATTACACTCCGCGAGCCGTTGCCTTCGGTAATGGCGACTGTCTGGCCACCCTTCTTGGGACAGGCCCATTTCTCCCTCCGCCACTGCGGGAGAGAGCCGCTCATTCCAGCGAACAGGTTGCCCGCAGCGGTGACGAGAAATGTGTCCCACTGGCCGTTGACGCCCCATGGAATAGCGGCAATGCCTAGCTGAACGGCAATGACCAAGATGCCCATGAACCATACCAAGTCTAGTGCAGGAACGCCGTGTTCGTTGGGGGGCTTATCCTCGAACTCGAACACAGTAACACGAAGGCCTTCGAAGGGTCGTTTCTGTCCTTGTCCATCTCCGTTTCCTCTCCTTGCCGGTTCCTGCTGCTCATTGTCGCCATCTCCAGGCGGAATGTGTGGCAGCTCATCTCTCATCGTATCGTCGAGGCGGTCATTGAAGTCACGCCACAAGCGGTCTAGTATCCAATTCTTGGTCTGCCGGCTGTGGCCGCTGTTGGGGTCAATTACCAGGAGTGTCGATCCAGATTCTGGCATCAGACGTCCATCTGTACACTCGCACATGAAGTTATAAGAAAATGTTTGATGGGAAGAATGCTGAGGCCAGTAAGCAGGAGGAAGGGCGCACCTCCGAAGCTGGAGAGTAGGGCAGCCGGAGCGTAGGCCACCCAGCCAAAAGAAAAGGCAACCGGCGTAATGGCGCGCCCGGCGAGCTGTGCGATGGCATTCTTGACGACATCCGGTCCAACCAGCAGCAGAACAGACAAGATGTCGCTGGGGTTCCGCCACTGCGCGGCCAGATACGCCGCCACGGATGCCGGGGCCGCAGTCGGATCGCCAGCTTCCCGGACGAGTACCTGTGCTGTGGGGGAAGATGCCAGCCAGGACAGCCATATCGGCGCCATTCTTAGATTGCGTCGTTCGTTTTGGTCCCGCGATTCATTCAACTAGGTAGAATGGCGATCGATGGCTTTTTAGGGTGGGAAGTTTTTGTTGTCGTTCCGTAGGTAAAGGCAGCTCAAGGCAACAGTGATGGGTGTCTCAGCCGCACGACACACGTGCCTCTACCGGGGTAGTACAGGGTTCTCCGCCCCGCAGATGCAGCACCGAATGGCTGGCTGCGCTGTTGCCCCATTTTCGCTTGAAAATTTTATTGCAGACACTTGACCTGCATGGGCGGCGCGATCTGCATCAGCTTGCTTGCTCAAATCCGTACACAGAGATAGTGTTGCAGCTGACGGTTTGCGCGAGTATCCGACGCTTGCGCTGGGGTTCAGAGATTTCTCTGCGATATACAATATTGACTCTGCTCCGATTTTCTCGTCCTGGTCACCGCTGTCACAGAAAAAGAAATATACGCTAATCATCTTCGGACGCGATGTCATGTCAACATGCTATTGGACATCGATACCTTAGCCCCCACGTCCCGGCTATCGTCAGCATCACGGTTGTTGGAGGCGGTGCTCCACACGCTACGCGTTCCGAACCGCACGCCCTTCCCGAGTCCGCCATGATCGGCGAGGAGCCCGATTGGCCTCTCGTGAAACTTGTATCTCATTCGTCCCGTTGCTCCACTGCCAGCTCCACTCTCATCTCAAAAAAAATTTGACATGATGAGTGGTTTTGGAACTCAATGAGAGATGATTCGTGGCCATTTACCAGATCAGGAAAGCGATAGAACCACACAGTAATGGAGGTGAGAGTGGAGCGACGGGGCTGAGGAGCCCTTGTCGTGCTTGTGCAGAAAGCTCTGAATCTGCTCTTTGGCTTGTCCACCTTTCCGTCACTCTCTCCTTCCTTATTCCATTCGGCCGCACTGATGTTCGACACTATCTCTCGGGTATGCCCACCCCATGGAGCGCTTGAACGAGAGATCTGCCAGCCGGATCAAGCAAGCGAGGCTCGGCCCTCTCTATCATTGGTCCGCATCGGCAACAGTCGCCATGGGCAAGGGGTTTTGGACCCCAGTCTTTCAGCTCAGTCAGTGAGACCTCGACTCGTATGAATCAGGGTTTTCCGACATTTGCCGGCAATATAGCCTAACAAGTGCAGATACGCCACCCACCCTTGCCAAAAGCGGTTCTGTGGAGCAAGACAGGGCGTCTATATACGGATCAACTCATCTACATACAGATTTTGTTGGTGGGATGGCTGACGCTATCGGCCCGCTCATGGAAAGAGGAGGGGGTTACCAGCCTTGTATTTCATACACCTCCACGCAAGTCCCCGCGTTGCAATCAACCCAGCTACTGCTACTTCATTGAACACCCTATCGCGTCTGTCCCTTTTTGAGGAGTCACGGAGACCTCCGCGAGTTTGTCGGCACATCTCGCCCCAATGAGACATGGAGTCGGACAAGATATTGGACGCAGTCAGACGGGCAAGAGCCTTCAGGCTCTGCCTACGACGCATCTGGGCTGTCGCTGCGAGCCTTCCGGACAAAGAAAAGAGCCTACCGACTCTCATCCCAGCCCCTGACATATTTTCGGTTCCTGGTCACGACAGGCAGCATCACGAGCATGAGCAGTGCACTTTCGACTTCTGCGAGCACTCAAGAGTCGATTTCACATCCGTGGCACAGCACCATGAGAAGTGTCCCAAGGACTGCGGCCATTTTATCTTCCCCTTGGAGCAGCTGGAAGAACGAGTGGAAGCCGGGAGACCCACGGCCTGGAAGTTGGACGATCGGTCCTTACTTGACACCTCACATCCATACATGGCGGTATCACATGTCTGGGCTGACGGTACTGGCGCAGGGACATGGCGCCCAGGACAAGTGAACAAATGTCTCTACACATTCATTTGCGACATTGCCCGTCATTTTCAGTGTGAGGGATGCTGGTGGGATACAATCAGTATCCCGCTAGACGACGAGATTCGCGGCAAAGCACTCAACAACATGCACAATAACTATGCCGACGCGAGGATCACATTGGTCCACGATCTGTACCTTCGCGAATGGGAGTGGGTCGATGCCGAGACTGCTTGCTTCGCCATCGCCATGTCGCCCTGGTACAGCAGAGGATGGACATCTCTGGAACTTGCCAAATCACACAAGGTCAAGATCTTGTTCAAGGCAAGAAACGACGAGCATGTGATCAAGGACCTCGACGTTGACATACTTGCCGAGATTCCACCCTCCAGCCGTTATCATGCCACTGCAGAATCTATTCGTAAGCTGAGGAGTGCCAGCATACAAAGCTTCGGCGACCTTCTGGCTATCCTGGGTCCCCGCGACACATCGAAACCCCGAGACGTTCCCATTATCTCGGGGCTTCTGGCCGGGGTGGATGTATCTGGAGGGCTATCACAACAGGAGATCTACCAACGAATCCTACGCAAGCTGGGAAAGGTCGCTCAAGGCAACCTCTTCCACAACTCGGCAACCATGTCAGCGCCCGGTTTCAGCTGGTGCCCAACAAACATCTTAGACATGCCTATGGCCGAAAGCGACTCCGCGACCCTAGAACTTCTTGAGAATGGCGACCTCGAGGGGATGTGGAGAGTTCATCCTGCTGACAGCGTCAACACGGAAGACTTCATCTGGAAAGGCACACATCCACTCACGCAAGTATCCCTCAACTTGGCCTTAAACGACAAAAATAAGGCTAGTCACATTCTCTTGGTCGAGAATGGGAAGTCCCAAAGGAGAGCCCTGCTTGTCAAGCCTATGATAAATGAACAGGGACCATTGCCATTGCTTTGCTGTCATTTTGTCGGACCAGTCTACTTCAGCTCTGCTCTGGATGGGAGCATCGAGAACGGAGAATTTTTGGAAGCAAGAGTCAGGATAGGCAGCACGGATGGTATGAAGGAGCTACCGTACGCATGGAGCAGCGTGTTCTCGATGGTCAAGAGTAAAATATTAGAGGGCAAAGCCTCTTCTCTGGAAGACACAGCAACGACCGGACGTGGAATCCAAACTTCTCAATCACAAGCTTCGTTTGATGAGAACGATACCATCAAAATGGGCTCAAAAAACTGGAAGGCGCTCTTATATTTTGAAGAGGAGGCATCGAAATCACTGTTTGAGAAGTCCTGGATGCTTCAGTCCTCCGCGGACTCGGGTTCCAAGTTGCTAGAGGGCATGGCACTGCACTTCATGAACGGCAACGACAGCTCAAACTCCTCTGTGAAAGGCCAAGCACTATTCTACGGGCATCAAGACATCATCGACTATATCATTCCTTGGCTCGACAAAGTCGAAGCTGGGTCGATGATGCTCCTAGCTCTCGACGAAGATGACAAGATCAGAGACGATTCTGACGATGATCCAACAAGAGATTTGCTTGCGAGCGATGCACTCCTTCTAGCTAGTGCGCAGAAACAGGACAAATGGGTCAAGCCTCTAGTCACACTGCTGTTGGATAACAATGCTCAGCATAGCTCCAATCTGTGCGGAGACACGCCACTACATTTGGCCGTGGAGCACGGGTGTGTCGGAATCGTCGAGAATCTTCTGAAAAACCAGACAAATCCGGCAGATGCGGACGCGGTGAATTCAAAAAAGCAAAGTGCAATTCACATAGCTGCCGAGAAAGGTCGCTCTGATGTTGTCAGGCTCTTGGTAGAATACAGCAAAAATTTGAATGCCCGAGACGATGAAATGGGATGGACTGCATTGCATTTGGCAGCTCAGAAGGGGGATGAAGAGATGGTACAGCTTCTCCTGGACCGAGACGCGGATCCAGAGCTCTCAGATTGGAGTGAGAGTGAGGACACAGCGCTGCATCATGCGGCCAGGAGAGGCCACGAGGGCATTGTGGAAGCTGTTCTAGACCATGTTGTGAATGACGATTGGAAGTCAGCGATAACCTCACACTCGACAGCCTCTGATGGTGGCGAGAATATTGACGACAAGACCAACGGAGACACTGGCAAGAAGTTGGATGGCGAGACCAACGACAAGGTCGGCGGGGATAATGACAGAAAGAGTGACGGGAAGAATGAAGAGGGGATGGATCCTAATGTCCCGAATGGCCAGTCTCAGACAGCGCTGCATCTGGCAGCAGAGAAAGGCCATGAGAGAGTCGTGAAAGTCCTCATCAACAAAGGAGCACGGCTATGTGCTGTGGACGGAAGCGAACATACGGCCTTGCGGCTAGCAGCCAAAAATGGGCATGCCAAAACCGTTGGGACACTACTCAGTCAGCAGAAGAGTGAGAAATTCGAGCAGAGCGAACTTGACAATGCTTTACTCTTGGCTGCCGCCGGAAAGCATACGGACACAGTCGACAAGCTTCAAAAGAAGGGAGCCAGGTCAGGCCCTCAAGATTCCCAAGGAATGACAGCCTTGCATTGGATAATTGAATTCAAACTTGACTGTAACATTAAGTCACTCATCGAACGCTTGGAGGATGGAGATGTGGATAAAAAGGATGACAAGAGGCAACAATCAGCCCTTCTTCTGGCGGCAGAAAAGGGAGTGAGGGCTGCCGTACCTCAATTACTCAAGAAGGGAGCCGATGTGAAGCTCAAGGACTCAGAAGAACGAACGGCGCTGCATTGGGCAGCCATCGGACGCAATGTGGAAATCATCGGAAAACTGCTCAAGTCGGAACCAAAGCCTGAGGTAAACGAGCAGGATTATCAAGGTCGAACGGCCTTACATTGGGCTGCTCGAAGTGGATCGATCGATGCAACAATGCTCCTCCTTGATGCAGACATGCACGATGTCACCGAAGACAAGCACGGCCAATCAGCCTTGATATTTGCAGCGTGTAACGGACAAGCGGCAACGGTCAAGGCACTGCTCGATAGGGGAAGTCCCCCAAAGGCGCAGGACCATGAGCAGAAAACTGCCCTCGACTGGGCCGCAACCATTGGATCGGACGCAGTAGTCCGCCAATTGCTTCCAAAGATCGAAGTGGATGAATCTAGGAAGAAGGCAATGGAACTGGCAGCGAATGGACGTCACTTATCTGTCGCGACATTGCTCTACGAAAGTATTAAGGACCCTAAAGTTCAGGCCTCGGTATTCCCTACAGTTCTGTTCTTGGCATCTGCCACCAAACAATATTCGTCAGTGGTTCGAAAACTCATTGGAAGTGATTTCGATCTCAATCACACAGACAAGCGGGGTCGAACAGCGCTGATGCTGGCAGTCGAGAATCGAAATCGGCGGCTCACAAGCGAGCTTCTTGACCTCAAGGCGGAGACTGATTTGAAAGACACGGAGGGAAAAACGGCACTGATGATAGCAACCCAATTGGATGAATGGGAGATGGTTGGATTGCTACTACGGGCCAACGCCGATCCAGATGTCCAAGACAAACGGAACTACACAGCACTGCATTATGCTATTGAAGCGGAATCCTATATGGGTGTAGACCTGCTTCTTAGTAAGGCTAATCCCGACATCCCGGATTTCCGTAACCGCACTGCATTACACACAGCAATAGAAAGGTTTGGACTCGGCCGTCCAGAATTTTTCAGAGAAAGAAGGCGGAAGGGAATTGTGAAGCTTTTGCTATATCACGGGGTGGGACTTGATTTAAAGGACGGGCAAGGCCAGACTCCACTACACTTGGCCGTCCTCAAGGATCGGTATGACATTGTGGAGCTGCTTTTGCCTTTTGAAGATGGTGCCATCTCCAGGCCCATGCAACAAACACACGCCCTAGACAGCGAAGATGCCGACGGGCGAACTCCACTACTGCTGGCAGCGGAGAAGGGATACTATTTTCTCGTGGACTATCTGCTCAACAGTGGTTTCAGGCCAAATGCTCAGGACAAAACAGGGCAAACGCCGCTGTTGCTGGCAGCGGAGAGAGGAGATAGCCTATCGGTAAAAGCGCTTCTATGGAAAAACGCGGATCCAAATCTTCGAGGTCCTCGAGGGCGCACACCTTTATTTCAAGCGGCACGGAATGGCCATGAAGAGATTGTCAGAACTCTCCTTGAGAAAGAGAACGTAAACCTCGATGCTCGAGACGCTATGGGCCGGACAGCGCTGCTGCTCGCAGCCGAGAATGGCCATGCTGACATCGTCAAAGAACTCTTAGATCGCGCAGCAAACTCAACAATTGCGGACTACGAGGGGAAGAAGGCATGGCAGAAGGCTATGGACAAAGGGCATGCGTCCGTAGTCGGCAGACTTCTTTCTGTTCCTGATGCGCCCATCCAAGACAGGAAGTCTGTCAACGAAGCATTACTGTTGGCATCCAGAAGAGGTTGGGTCACACTGGTCGAAGTCCTGCTCGAGAAAAAAGCGGATGTGATATATCAGAGCCGAGAAGGGTGGACGGCGTTGCACATGGCTGCCATGAGTGGACACCAAGAAGTGGTACAGAAGCTACTGAAAAAGGATTTGCACATCATCATTAGAGACGGAAAAGGCCGGACCGCCCTCATGCAAGCTACCGAACACGGATTTGAGTCCATTGTGGGAATCCTGCTCGAAAGGGACGAGGTCAAGACCAACATCGACGGTTGGATGGGCCGAGAAGCGCTGTTGTTTGCGGCCGAGAAAGGTTACACCGGTATCGTCAAGCTGCTCCTCGAGAACAGCGTAGACTGCAATACCTTTGATTCGGAAAAGAGAACGGCAATGGCACGAGCTGCAGCAAATGGACACGGGGCTATCGTCGAGCTACTACTACAGCGAAAGGCAAATTCGGCCATCAAGGACGACCACGATAGGACGGTTCTGCACCACGCAGCCTGGGGAGGCTACGATGATGTCGTAAGCATCCTGCTGAAAAACGAGGTTGACTTCAGCGCTTCGGACAGCCGTGGACAATCAGCACTACACCTAGCTGCGGAGCGGGCCTCGAAAGAAGTTGTTGAACGACTCCTTGAGAAGAGAGCCAATGTCAACGCAAGGTCCATGGATGGTCAAACAGTGCTACACCGTGCGGCCTGGGGAGGTTCCTGCGAAGTAGTTAAGCTGCTACGCCAAAACGGTGCTGATCCCTTCATCCGCGACAACTCGGAAAACAAACCGTGGCAGGTTGCGGCAGAGAAGGGGCACGAGTCAATAGTTCAGGTTCTCCTAGAGGAAGAGGAGAGTGTCTACGATGAGCGCATTCTGGCAAGAAAAGGGCTCATCTTTGCCGCCCAGATGGGGTATGCAGACATTGCGAGCTCGCTACTGAAAAAGGGGGCGGAATCCGCCGTGAAGGATAAGGACGGTCTTACACCACTTCACTGGGCCGCGGCACGAGGCGATAAAGTACTCGTCGACTTGCTTATAAGAGAAGGAGATGGGTTGATTGACAAGCAGGACTGCCAGCGGCGGACAGCTCTCTGCCTTGGCGTCATACGTGCCCGAGCCGCAGTGGTGGAGACTCTGCTTCAGTGCGATGCCGATGCCAACATCCCTGATGAAAAAGGACGAACAGCTCTACACCATGCAGCAGAGACTGGGAACTGGGAAATTGTGCATATCCTACTCAACCACCAGGTTGACCCACATATCCGCGACTGCCAGAAGAAGAAAGCCTGGCAACTCGCAGCCGAAGCCGGCTATCACCAGATAGTCCGCTTATTGTTGGATAAAGAAGTCGTCGGGAACTCCCAGAGTCAAAAAAAGGAGGAGCTATTTCTTAGGATGGCCGAGGAAGGCATGATGCCAATGGTCCAAGTGCTCCTTGAGAAGGGCGTGAACAAGGACGCAAAAGATCGATTCGGAAGGGTAGCGATCGGCCTAGCCGCGGAGCACAGCAAAGACGAGGTTCTCGAGCTACTTCTTTCGAAGGGCGCAAACCCAGGAATTCCGGATTTGAGGAAGCAAACACCCCTTTTGTGGGCAGCAAAAGCCGGAAATTCCAGAATCATCAGCTCCATTCTCGGCGACATCACCCCGACGGAGCGCTCATGCAATGAGTCTACTGCTGAACATAGCAACGCTCTACCGAACTCAACGAAGGATGTTATCTCTAAGGCGGAAATATTAAACCACACCGACTCCGAGGGCCGTACAGCACTATCCATAGCCGTTGAGAATCAGCACGAGAATGCTGTGAGACTTTTGCTCGTCAAAGGCTCCCCGGACATTGACGTCAACGTACAAGACATAGCAGGAAGGACGGCATTACACCTGGCAGCAGAAAACGGCAATCGAAATCTTGTTCAACTTTTGTTGAAGAAGAAGGCAAAGCAGGATATTCAAGACGACCTGGGACGGACAGCACTGCTCCTAGCAGCCGAACATGAAAAGTATTCCGTGGTCGAGGCTTTGCTCGAAGCCTCGGTGGACTATTTGGATGTATCAGATTCGCACAAGCGAACGCCTCTGCAAGTGGCCACCGAACGGGGAAACAAGGATATAATCCAATTACTGCTGAGCAGTGGGGCGGATACAAATCTTGTGGACGAAGAGGAGCGTACGGCGCTGCTGCTTGCAGCCGAGAATGGCGACAAGGAGGCTATTGATCTCTTGTTGAAGAATGGAGCCAACCGAGAACACGGAGATGTGCATAAGAGAACTCCCCTTCTCCTCGCCGTCGCAAATGGAGACAAAGCAGTGGTGGAGACTCTCCTCGGCCATCCTAATTACGACATGAGCATCAAGGATCGGCAAGAGCATGATCAGAATCTGTTGCGCCTGGCAGTGCAGAGCGGGAACAAAGAAGTAGCGTGGCTCATCGCGAGGCGGATCGCATCCAATACACAAAACAGAGGCGCAAACGAAGAACGATGCACACTCACGGAAGCTTCTCCATACGAATCTTCCATGGCCTGATCCTAATGCCTCATGACATCAAACTGGACCCGAACGGGGCATCTGTCAGGGCACGAAGATATATTAGCCTGCCATGCCAGAATAAACTCTAATTAGGTTTATTCCAGTACCTCTTTTAGCCCCCGGAGGGCCTGCATACGCATGGTGCAGTGGGTAAGGGATAGTCCTTACAGCATCATTCTTCCAAACTACAGATCACAAGTTCCGCAATTCCACCCAAAGGTAAAACGGTAAGATCAAGTACTAGCGCAAATAATTCGGGTCTCTAAATCCTACAGTTACAAAACAATTAACGTCAAACCAACTCTCTGCGTGCAGAAGATGCAAAAGTGGCATTAATGGCTCTATAACTGGAGGATTTGGAGACCCGAATTTGTACATACAAACTCAACGCTTACGGAGGTGTTCTGGGGCGTTAAGAACGACAGCCGAGCGAACTTTGTTTTTAGCCGTGGGATTGGGATGCGCGACGCATTTTCCTGCGGGATTTGGTGATATCAACTGGATGAGCGAGTACCGACTGGGGTGATCTATCTCTGTGGGGGACGCGAGTCGATGGCTGTGTTGACCGGGACTTGTGCGGGAACATCGGCCATTCTCGACAAACCCCATCATTACTGGAAAATGTTGATGCACCGCTTGACTTGGAAGTAATGCTCTCACTCGTTAGTCTGTTTGTGTAGGTAGGAGATAGAAAAGTGGAGACCACGCTTCCCACGGCGTTGATTCGTCACAAACTTGCGGATCAGTATGTAAGCACTCTTGGAAAGGTTTTGAAAAGATGTAATCAAGCACCACTTGCAAGGAAATGGAGGGTATTCCTGAAGCGTGTTTGAGCAACAGAGGCGAAGCCAGCGGACTGGAGATGGGTTCCTGAATTCAGTGACAACCTTGGAAACTTTACATGAGAAGATCAATTTGTTCATACGCGCGCACCGTTCTCGACGGACAAATCCGAAACCACCCTACCTCACGAGCTGTTCGACAGGAACACGGCCAAGACAGCAGCATACGCCGCGGCAGCGCCCATCGTCGCCAAAGCCGACGACCCCGAGCAAAAGCTCACCGCAAAGCAAAACAGCACGATGAAGACGCCAATCGTGCAAAGGTCCAGCCCGGCATTCTTCTTCCCGGACAGCAGCACCAGCGGCACGAGCAGCAACGCCGCCGCGCAAAGCGCCACGAGGAACCGCACGATCACGTGCGTGATCCGGATCGTGTCGCGCGGAGACGGCTGCGGCCTGCTGGCACTGCCTTGCTGCCTCTCCGAATCCGTCGTCTCGCTGCGGCCGGCGGCCGGTCTAGTCGTGTGCCGCCACACCGCCCGCGTCAGCCGGTTCAGGCCGTGCTCCAGCGGAGAGCGGACGCTGCCGGCGGGCAGGTCGACCCTGACTAGGCGCGTCTTGTGGCTCTCCCATTCGTTGAGGTTGTCGCGGAAGCGCGAGTGCCAGGGGTCGTCGCACAGGGAGAACGTCTCCATCTGCATGAGCTGGTTGAAGCGGATCAGGGCGTCGTCTGATGTACGTGTTCACGAATCAGCTGGCTGGCTGGAAGATGTTGCGGCAACCGCGGAGACCTGCCGTATTCTTGGACGAGGGCTCTGAGGCGTGAGATGGATTCTTGTGTCACGACTTGTGTGGGGTCCTTCGCTCTGGCGTCTCTTTGGCTTCGCCCGAGCCCGAGTCTGTCAAGAGGGTTTGCGGGACAGAGATTCATTCCGGCTTGATAAAGGTCCCGATCAAGCTGCTCGAGTTCGTGCTCCAGGAAGCGCATGTTCAGCAGGTGGCTCGTTTTGAATCTGCGAAAAGCATACATGGTGAGGTTGCTGTCCGCGGTCGCGATGGGCCAGAGGCGGTTAAACATCGACAAAATCCCAGGGTCGCCATTTGTTCCCTCGCAGCGGTTGGTGTTGGTGCTGACACGAGCGGAGGGGGAGTTGGGGTCGGCGCCTTCATGCTGCAGATGGATATCCATCATGACGAACACTTTCCATTTTTAGCCCGATTATTTGCAAGATGCAGGGAGCTGTGTCTCTTATAATTGCTAACATTCCTTCAGGCCCTACTTAGTCAAGTGTTTGCTTTAAATTGTCCCCATGCGGCTCATTGCTGCCTGGTGGTGGGGAGGGGTTGTATGCAGACTGTCAAATTCTGGATGACGCCCCGCTGCTGTGTAACCACATAAAGGTGTGTTGGCCACCAGGGTGGATGCGCCACTTTTGCACCGGTGAACAGAAAATTGAACGAGCTATTTACAGCAACTGTCTGTTCGATTTGACGGTCTCATCAATGTCAAGACGGGACATTCCAAACATCTTTTCGTAAGTTCCTCCACCCTTGCAGCAAAATTCATCTTCAACCATGATGTCGTCGTTCAAACGCCAGTTCAAACGAGATGACTACACTGTGGCCTGGATATGTGCACTGCACGATTCCGAGCTGCTGGCAGCCCGCTGCATGCTTGACGAGGAGCACAAGCCCATTCCACAGGACGACACGGACAGGAACATTTACCACTACGGTTCAATCAAGGGCCACAATGTCGTTGTTGCCTGCATGCCCGCCCAGAAGCCGGGGCCTGTCTCTGCTGCCAGCCTCGTTCAACCATTACGATCAAGTTTTCGTAGCTTGATGTACCACCTTTTTGTCGGCATAGGCGGAGGTGTGCCGCTCGTGCCCGGAAGATGCAGACGTGACGTCCGACTCGGCCACGTGGTTGTCGGATGGCCAGACAAGACCGGCGAGCCTGCAGTGATCGGATGGGATTACGGTTATCACCAGGAAGTCAACGGCCGTCAGAGCATCCGCCCGATCCAGCAAAAACTTTCCCCAGGCGACCAAATGGTCACTGTTCTCACCAAACTCCTCAACCATTACGAATCCGAAGAAACGAGATTTGACGAGCACCTCCGACGACTCGACATGTATGATGGGTTCGGATTCCCGGGCCGCAACAACGACAAACTGTACCAAGCCGACTATGAGTGCGGCAACGGGGACAGGGAGGACCAATACACCCCATGCGGATGTGAAGAAGGCAAGCTCGAGGAACGAGGAGCACCGCCGCCCCCAAAAGCCGGCCTCACCTTTCATCGCGGCACCATCCTGTCAGGAAGCTCGTTCGTGGGCAGTGCCCGGTCGCGCGACGCAATTTGTGACAAAATCCTCAACGAATCTCGGACCCCTCTCTGCTTCGAGATGGAAGCTGCCGGCGTGGTGCGCGGTACCGACGCGCTGATGATCCGCGGAATCTGCGACTACACCGACTCGCACACCAACAAGATGTGGCAGAGGTACGCGGCAGGAACAGCCGCTGCTTTCGCCCGAGAGCTCGTCCTCCACATCCCCGAATCTTCGGGCCGAGCGACTCAGATGGTGGACCCGTGCTACTTCTTCAACAGCATCGGTGCGAGGCATCTGCTTCTTGACCGACCCATCTGGCACAGAATGAAAGTGTCTGGCATGGCCATCTACGAGCTGATCTACAATGACTGCAAAGACCGCCGTGGCAGAGTCACCCGTAAGTCGATACAACATACAGCCTTCCTCTTACGAGCTATCCGCTGACAAGGGAGCCTGAAGTTGAAGCGCTGAAGAAGCGTTTCCCGGAAGATGCAGCCGAAGATGTGAGCTGGTGCTGGACTGAGGTGACTCAAGTCTCTGATCGAACCTTGCTGGTTCTGCATCACGGGATGACGCTCGCCGTCATATACATGGTGCACTTGTGCTACTACTGCAACGAGGATCGGCGAGATCTCACTATTCCATCCGGAAAGGAAGGAAAAGCCAGAAGAGGGATAATGCGGCATTTCGGCGAATGGGTCAAGTGCAACTGCGATGACAGAGAGTGTCCATGCTTGTGGAACTTTGCCAACGATAGCGGGCTTTGTCGGAATATGGTGAACACCTGTCAGGCGGTTCGATTGCATTACTTTAACGACGAAAAGCGGGACTACGATGAAAGGAGGTTTGAAGCGCTTTCCGAGACTTGGGACAAGACCCGAGGAGATCCGAACCCGGTTTAGACTCATTCCGTGCTTGGAGGACTATCTGAGGGTATCATTACGCCCAGTTGATACAGACGCAGTACAGAGTTGAGGTAGAATTGAGCGTCATGATCTATTGCCAAAAACTATGTTGTATACATCTCTCAGCTCGTTGATGAACTCGCTGCTCCAGTAGTATCTCTACTCACTGGTCCTGTATACTTGCGAATTTTGTCCTGTGATGGCATCTCAGGTGCGAGCGGGACTCGCGGCTGTGGAATAGCTGTTGAAGGTCCACAACCGCTACCGTCTTGGCCAGCTGGATCACCCAGTGGTGTTGAAACCTGCTCTTGACTATTTTGAGAGCTGTACATTGGAGCTCCAAAACCACGTCTGCGTGTGTGAGTCGCGTCTTCGTAGGTGGGCAGTGAAACCAACTCGACATCGTGAGACGATCGCCGTTCCCCAAGTTCTGACGCTCTTTGTTCCCTTTGGGATCTCCTTGTCTTCCTTCTTACCAGGAATGCAACAATGAAGATACACAAAAGAGGGCCAAAGATTGCCGACACTACGACACCAGCAATCTCACCTCCGCTCAGGCCGCTGGACGACGAATTCCCAGACCTTGTCGACTCGAAGATGTCTTTTAGGCTCGGATCGTCCCACATCGGATAACGACTGCTGAACAAGTCAACGAAGGTTCCAAAAGCAGCACCAAAATGCGACTCACGTGTTTTTGTAATGATCTTGCACCATTTGGGGCGCCACGTAGTTAGCGGCATTGGCGTCGTACTCGTCCGTATACTTGAGGGCAGTCATGTCGAAGACGCCGATGCCCTGGTGCCACGGATCTGGCGTTTCGTCCCAGTCTTGTGGATCAATATTATTGCGTTGATCTGGATCGAGGCCGCCAACCATGATCATTTGTCTGTTATGCGTCGCCGTGCAGGTGTGTTGAACACGTCTCGGCAGTGAACTTACATTGCTGGCAAACCAAGTAAAGGATGGGAGAGAGAGAATGTAGTACGTCTGGGCAGTTGGCATGGCTTCAAAGTCTCCGAAGACGAATCTAAAGAGTTCAGCCAACGTTGCGTGGAGCGTTGAAAGCAAGAAGCTACTCACATCTCAAATGTTTCCAGGTCGTCATTCTGAGCCCCAAAAGCGCAATGGTTGTTTGATGACCCATCTCTGACTCTCCCTGCTTTTGTCTCTGGAATTTCGCCCGTGGCTTTCTGGCTGTACCAGGATTTTTTGGCAGGATCAAAGACTGTAACAGTCTCCCACCACTGTTCGGTTTTCCCTGTGTCATTGCTTTGTCCACCGACTAGAACGAAGACGCCTTGGGAGCCGAATAGGGGAACGCTTGTCATCAACCCTGCGAGATTCACCGTCTGGTTCTGTTCAGTCCACACAGAGGCAAAATACGGAACTGCATTTGTGTCGTTCGTCAATGTTTGTGTGCTGAAGTCGAACTGCAGGAGGCCGGGGACGTTGTGCAGCTCAGTCATGTTCCCAACGTCGTTTGTGGTCCACTTGTATATTGCGCCGCCGATGTAATAGGCGTTTTGGTTATCTGAAGCCGATGCTCCCATGATGGGCCTCTTGATATCGGACGGGAAGCTTTTCTCGCCTGTAGGTCCTAAGGCCTCCGTCCATTGCCCGTCTTCTCCTGTGCCGTCGAACGAAAACCGCCATATAGACTCTTCAGGTATAGTTATTGTACCATACGGATTAGGGATATACCCATCTTGAGATATCTCGCCGCCGAAAGAGTAAACATAGCTTGAGTTTGGATCATACCAGAGCGTTTCGAATTCGAGTGGGACGAAGCTTGTTGGTCGGGGGACCGGGACTGATATCAAGGTCTGATTATTCCAGCTGGATGAAAGGCCAATAATCCAAGTTTGATTTTCTGGGAGAAACAGCCGTTAGCTTTGCAGCCGATATATACGTACCAGAGGTGCACAAACCGTAAATAGGCACCCCTGATATATTGGCTACAAGGCCTCCGTTGACAAGAAGCTTATCGCCCGCCAAAACCGCTTGTTTGACTGCGTTAAAATCGTCTCAAACGCGAAGTAGACCGCAATCTCACCTGCATGGCCTGCCCTGCGGCGGTAAGAACCTTGAGCGGAGACTAAGGCAATGGAAAGAATGAAGAAGTGGATGTGCCAAGTAAGAGCTACGCAGACCATTTTGGTCAAGGATGCTATGCTTTATTAGATGGGTAGCGAAGAGGTTCGGTTCGGTTCTGTAGAGCCTAAGGTACTGAGTGGTACCGGCTTTTGTATGGACGAGGCGCATTGGGAAACAGGGACGTCGTGTACAATATCTGACCACATGATGCATTGGCCAAGAAGGGTGCCACACCACTCTCGTCTCTTGAGTGTACACTTTGCGTTGACAGGCATATCTGGAGCTGACTGCACAAGGCTGTAGGCGGAGGCGTCGGACTCGAGGCTTCTCCTGCTTGTGGCTGCAGCAGGCAAACTCCTGCGGCTAGTGTAGGCAGCAACATGCAGAATCTGCCTAGATATATCCGGAAACAAGGATAGCAAAGCGAGAGCGAGGATGACTCAGCCTCTTGGCAGTGAATTTTACCCAGCCCAAATTTAGCTTGGTTATTCGAAGTTGATGTTGGGCGGTATGTGGAAGTCTTCCCAGGTCGATGCCGAGGCTACCCGTGCGGACCCTTTTCTACCCGTACACTGCATAATCTACCGAAATTGTGGAAGCCGGGTACAACTAACGTATTTGATAAGAAGGATATTGGGTAATTAGTGAATGACGTTCTTATACTCGCAGCCATGGATTTAATCTGGCATCTCTTTTCTGGGTTGTTGTGCATCGCCGACGAAAGCAAGCACAACATCGGACATAACCCCGAATCACCAGGTGCGCAGAACCCAATCGGGGATTTCACAAGACAGCGAGTCTTAGACCACAAGAGATCAGGGTTTAAGCGGGCCCGGCAATAAGATGTTCTTAAAATGGCGGAACAAAGGTGTTTTTGCTCTCCGTTCTTGGCTTAGCTTATGCGAATAAGTTTAAATTCGTCATCCTACTATTTTGGGATCTGTCGAACGACGCGCTTGATCTGAAAAGTCTAGATCAAGCGGCTCAAAAATGCTTGGTTGCAAGCGGCTTGCCTAGCGCTTGTTGTGTACCCTGGTTAGCTGTCAGTATGCATGCAGAACATATGGCACACCCTGCCAAGCTGCCAGAGAACCTTGAACATATAAGGCTAGCCATACCCGGTGTTACATTTGATAAACTACTTCATCGTTTCAGACTTCGTGCTCAACTACCGACATGTTAATCAACCAAGCTCTCGCCATTACCTTCGCGGCACTCGCATCTTCACAAAACATTGGGTCAGGTTGCACTAGCGTAGAGTTGCGCAGAGAATGGCGCCAGTTGTCTTCCGAGGAGCAACGAAACTACATCGATGCGGTTCAATGCTTGACAACGAAGGAGTCTCGCATCGGCCTCACCACGAGCCTCTATGACGACTTCCCTTACGTCCATAACGCGCTCAACAAAGAAAGTAAGATTCCCCTATACACACATCTATTCAATGACTAAAATATGGAATAGTCCATTTGGTAGCATCATTTCTCCCTTGGCATCGCTTCTTCATCATGGTGTACGAGGAAGCGCTTCGAGAGTGTGGATACCAGGGAAGTGCAACGTAAGTGACCCGCAAACGCATTCCGAAGTCAAGACGCGCCGCTGACCTTATCCCCGGGGGAGTAAAGTTACTGGGACTGGGTTTTTGATTCCTCCGATACCGCCCACTCACCGCTATGGGACGCGGCAACCGGATTCGGCGGCAACGGCGGTTTATACAACAGATCGAGACTCGGATGCGTGTCGGACGGGCCCTTCAAGGACTTCCGCCCGGCTTACAAGAGAAACAAGCTCCAACCCCATTGCCTGAGTCGGGACTTCAACAACGGAACGCAGCACCCCGGTGACATGTCGGGCCCCAACTACGACGACGCCGCCATCAGGAGGGTCCAGGCGGCGGACAACTACAACAGCTATCGGAAGCGGCTGGAGGGCGGGCCGCACTTTGCGATACACAGAGCCATCGGAGGTGACATGGTCCCCGCGACGTCGCCAAACGGTATGTCGCTGATACTTCCAAGTGGGGCTTCGTGTGATTGGCTAAGGACAATGCAGATCCTATATTCTTCCTCCACCACGGCCAAATCGACCGACTCTGGTACCTCTGGCAGCAGGACGATCCCGAGAGGCGCGATGCCGAGTATAGCGGGATCAGGACGCAGAACGAATTCGACGGTACCGCGCCTCCCCAGGCATCCGTGGACGACATCCTCCCCATGTACGGGCTTGCTGAGGACATGCCCGTAAGCGATTTCCTGTCGACGCAGAACGGTCTTCTATGCTATCAGTACTAGTGTCGCATCGGAATCGTGGTTGGGAGATAAAATGGACCCAGGGCAAGCATTCAATCGATGAGCTTGAGAAATTGCTCAGTTATACTCCGCTAACGTAATTCTACTGAAAGAGCCATAGTGACGCTGCGGCGACTCCTTCATGGCGATTTTTAGTTTGCCCGTTTGAGTAGCTAGTGTTATGGCGAACGGCATCATTCACCGCCTCTGATTTGTTTTCTACACCACATTTCAACCCGAGTTCTTTCTCACCTGATCACCCGAATACTCGGCACTGCTCCCCTCTCCTTGTCAGCAGCTTTTCGTGTATATAAACTATGCAGCAATAGTTAAATCAGAGAAGCAGTAATGCCAATTTCACTCACAAACATGCGCAATCCAAGATGAGCAATTCGCTTTCCCTCCACTCATGCCGCACCCGGCCATTTCGCATCGATATTCTACAGCTCCACATCTGCAACTTCCCTCTCACAATCTTTAAGAGCCATTATAAAGCTTCATCATTGAATGATCTTGCCTTCGAGCATCAAACTCAAGACAAGGACTTGCCTCAAATTTTAGACCGTGACAATATTGAGATCCTCGCCGAAGCCAGAAAAGTTTCAGCTACCATTTGGCATGATCCTCACGATTGATAGTCATGGCTGTCAGATCGTCGTATGGTAAGTGTTATTGTGCAGTCAATGGTTTTAAAACACCCAGGTGCCAGCTTCGCCCGGAGTGTCACTTGACCTGCATTGCCACGGGTCAGCTGTAAAGGTACAAGATTATCTTATTTCTGTGTTAATAAGATCCAGAGAATAAACAATCGTCTCTTTGAATCGATGATTGAGGACACGAAAGCAAAGGCAATTGTCAAAAAAAGCGGACAAAGGGGACCATTACTTGTTTTTCCTTCTGGCTTGTCCTAAGGATATCTTCGCACACCTCATATATCTCCATATCCCCTCGCCTGACTTTCCGACGTTGAGATTCCGCAGCATCAACGCTCCGTGCAGCGGCTCGATAATCTTTAGCAAATCCTACTCTCCACCATCGTAGTCGGACAATGACGCTCCTGAAAGTTCAAAACAGCCACAAAATACGTGTGAATATCAAGTTGCGTGCAGGACGGGGCAAGCCGCCTCCGGAAACGGCTCTGGCATGATAGCGACGCGTCGAGTATCCAGCACTTTCCGCCCAGTCAGGTGTGAGGTGGCGGGTATGTTGGCGCCGCCGTCTGATAGCAGAAGCGTCGGCACCACGAGCCACCAGACGTGCCTTGCAACGGTTGTAGCAGATGCGGAATAACGGAGTTGCGGTGCCAACGTGCGCCAGGGTCATCCAGCTCGTGCAATCGTGGGCCGAACTGGTCATGGTAGGGTCATCCGCGGGCACGTCTGAATTCCTTCTCCCATGTCCCAGCTCCGGTTCGCAAGCAGTTGGCTAGCAACGATGAGGCGTCCAGTGGCCAATGTGTGTTGCGAATCATGGCTGTTCGACAGCGTCATTCCCGATCAAAACAACAGATTCCTCGCGTCCTCCTTTCCACCCATTTTATCCCATCTAGAAGTCACTGGGTAGTTCTTGGGCCAGTCTTTTTGCAAGAATTGCTCTTATTCAATTTCTTGGAACCTCCAAACACTTCCATCGAACCTCCAAGCTCTTTCTCTCCCCTGATACTGACATGTCTCCGCCTACTGCACCACGGAGCCTGGCCAAACGTGCAAGCTACACCTCTCCCATCCGTGTTTCTCTTCGCTTGCTCCAGGACCGCGGCGAGGGTGGCAGCGGCGTCTCGCGCACCATACCCGGCCTCGCTCAAGGTCGCAACGGGAAGCATTCTTACTTGCTCTCCCGCAAGTCTCCAACGCTTCCGCAACAGCCACTCACCTTCTACGACGGAAACCGCGGTTCGAGCCGAGCATTGATCGATCACACGGTTTCAAGTGCCCCCCTAAGCTTGGCCGACGGAGAAAATCCATGCCAGTCTCCGCAGAGTTTGCATAAAATCGCCCAGCCCGACGTGTCCACGTGTACGCGAAAATCCCGACCACTCTCTCCCATCGTCACTCCAACCACCGCACATTTCCCAGTCCTTTGGTAGGGCGCGTGCGTGGGGGGTCTTCGCAATGGGCCCGGTCCAGCTGATGGTTGACGGGTTTCAGTGGGCGGGGGGAAAGTAGCCGGCCTACACACGATGTCCGCCGTAACTTCGATCCACGAGGCCGTTGCTGCATTCATCACTTGGCGGACACGAGCCCCAGTAGTAGTGACGGGGTGGAGACGACCGGCGACGATCCCAACAGAACTGCCGAGCACCGAGGGCGAGGCTGAGTCCTGACCGAAGGAGAGGGGGAGAAAACCAACGAGAAGGGCCCCCATCGAATGTGACGGTCGGGATCCAGCTTGGCGTTTGGAGGCATACGCGTTCGTGTCAAGGCCCGAAAAGATCCACTCCAATCGCGGCTCCACGCATCGGTTACTCGTGCAAACAGCGTTGGCTTTCCTGTGTCGGATAACGGTTCGTCTCACGCCAAGTCCTCGGCCGTTGGATTAGAGTCGAGGCAGAAATATCGCGGTGGTGTCACACGGCAGAATTGCGGGTCGAATTCGCTCCGGGTTGCCTTAACATTCAGTCGAAGACGTATCTGAAGCGTGCATCGTCTTCTGTCCTCTAGCCTAGACTCATCCATCAGTGAAAGTAACTCGTCTCGCAATAACGGCCGAATCGATATTTCAACACGAAAAGCTCGCAAAATTGCCGACAAGGCGTCGAGGCAACCGCAGCCGGTTTGATTGTCCTGCCATCTGAGACCCTCGTGGTCGCAACATTTGCGATTGGGGATAATCCGTTTCTCCGACGCAACAAATGGCGTCTGAGCAGCTCCCCTCCCGTCCCACCCCCACCGGTACGACAGTCGAGTTGGAGAAGAGTACGAATGCAGTGGTACGACGACGACGCCTGGGCGGTGTTGCTCGGTTGGCACAGCGAGTATGTCGTGCCGGGCGGAGCGCTGCGAAACGCGCGTGGTCACCGCATTGTGGCTGGCCATGTTTGCATGCGCGTCCAGGACATCAGGCGTTGGTGGCCGTGGACGGGCTGCTGTCTCAGAACCGTATCGAGGCGTCGCGTTCGCTCTGGGCACTAGGCGGGTTAGTTGGGATGCAGCAATCACGTTGCTGTGGTTGCAGCCACTCGGGCGGAGAGGAAATGGTCAGGAAAGGGGTGGGGGATTCAAGCAGCATGAGGGTCGACCTCTTTCTCGGAGCGTCCAGCATGGGATCGTCCAAGGTCTCGCATGAGCAACGACGCCGACGAAGTTTGCCGGCAGAGGTCCTCAGAGATTGGCGGGAGAACACGTCGAGGCTGGAAGGGTTTCGTTTTTCAAACTTTCTCCGCGGCGTGACGGAGAGTGCCATCGCATATGCATAGCAAGGTTTCCAAACAATCACGGAAACAGACTGGATTCTGATATATGAAGGACGCGATCGAAGATTCTCCGGTGTCGTCAGCCGAGCGGGAGAACAACCTGGCAGTCCGTAACGCGCATGAAAGAGGCCCGTCGGACGAGGCCCGTTGAATCTCGCTAAGGCGTCGATACCGCAGCGCGGGCAGCGAAGCAGAAACACTGCCACAAGGCAGCCCGCGAGGCTGAGGTGAGAGAGAGATTGAATTGTTTTCAGGCCGCGGATGGCGAAGCAGCGCGGAGGATCTTCTCGTTGGCGGATTGCGGGGCGCATGACCGGCCCATCCTGCGATTTGGCTCCCCAAACACTGTCGCGCGGGTCGGCACACTGATGTCGACGATGTTTGGGCGGGGTGAGTGCGTGAGTGCCCGGCAATTTTGGAAGCGTTGTGGGTGTAGCGAGAGCCGAAACACGCGGGCGGCAGGGCGGCAGGGCGACAGGGCAAACGGCTGCAGCGAGGTTGCACCGCTAAGTAAGAGGCACGGCGGGCCTATCGAGTCGGCATCAAGGGACGCGGCTGCAGGCTTCAGGAGGCAAGGCACGAGGCTCAGTCGTCGCGGGATACCGCAGTGGCGGCTATACCGCCTGTCTCTTCTGCGTGAAGAAGGATGGGGGATTCTGACCGGTGTCTCCACAGTGCCACGTCGAAGCACCACCGCAGTCGTACCAACCGCCTTCCCGCCCCCGGACTGAAACGCGCAAACACCACACCGCTCCGGCAGATCTCCCTTGTGCTGTCGAGGACAATTGCTGATCTGGCCGGCGCGCTCCCTGCTGCCCTCCCGAACACACCCCGCGGGCAGGCGGGCGAGCGCACAAGTGGACCGCTCGAGTTGCATAACGCGGCTTCCCCTGGTGCGGCGACGCGACCATGGCGACGAACTGCCAGCGCACAGGTTCCCGCCGCGGCGATGCGCGCTTCCCGAGCGAAAAAGGAGAGCCGCAAAAACTTCCCACCTGACCGCAGCCCGAAGCTGAGCTGGCAATCAAACAAGAAATCAAGCCGCAGAGCTAGCGGGCGGGCCCTCATTAAAGCGAGCAGAAGAAAAATGAAATGGGCGGCGGGCGTCGCGGCTTGGCGCTGATGGGGTTGAGGCTCAAGTCGCTCGCTCCACCGCCTGGTCCGTGGCAGCCGCGCGACGGGCGCTTGTTTGCTTGTTTGGGCTCTGGGTTTAAAAAAAGGAGCCCGAAAAAGAAAGGCTCAGAGCGATGGTTCGGCTCGCCAGATCGCGTCGTGAGATCAGGTACCGTCCGCGATGCGATGCCACGGCGGCATGCACATGGGCCGGCGCAGCGCCCGAGCGGTGAGCTGGACGGCGCTCGCTTTCGTTTGCTGTTTCGTCGCCCTGCGCCAGACGCACGCAGCCCGCGGGCACCGAGTGCTGCGCCAGCCACAGCTTTGGACCAAACCAACACAGGGGCGGTTTGGGTTGGGCCACAGCCGCGCCTTGTCGCCTCATCGGGGCGCTGCGAGGCTTACGGGTTGCATCGCGGCATCGTGGCATGGCTGCAACGGGCTTGGAGTCGTGACGGAACCGAGGGCGCTGCGAAGC